TTGTGATGTGGATGAGAATGAGTGATCTGACAGATGTCAGAAGATGTAAACAGATTAAACTGTTAATCCCCATACATGTCTACAAGGTCTTTGTTATGCTGTATTGTAAAGACTCTTTCTTGTGTTGCTATGGCAGAGTTTGTCAATAAATAAGTGTACAAACAGTAAAGGCGTCAATGTGAATCTGGTCCTACCTGTGGGAATGTTATTGCCACAGGTAGGTCTAATTTTAAACATACCATATAGACAAAGGTACACTTGTTTGTTTCTTATCATAGTTGTCCTGAAAACTTTAACCAGTGTTTCCTTCAGAAAATACTTTAAAAAAAATATATATATAAGATAAGATGTCTCTCCTTTGTAAACAATAAAACAAAGATGCCCGTTCTGAGAGCTAAAAATGTTCATTGACAAATATCATTACATTACAATAACATTTTTTAACTACATGTGTCATGCTGTTGGTATGAATTGTTCCTAAGAATGCACTCACTTGTTTTTGAAAATGTGAGGGGTGATTTGAAAGAAAAAAATCTGGGAGAATCCAATGTGAAGATACTGCATCTTTTTGTCTATGTGTTTAATGTTGTGTGCTGGGCAGCTTCGGGGATTCGTTCAGCCTCTCTTAATCTATCCCTGAGGTTGATGAAGGTGCTCGACCTCCTGCATCATCCTAGTACCAAAGAAAGGATGTCCCAGCGCTCTCAATGGCTACAGCCGTTTGGCACCAATGTCGTAAATCGTGAAGACATTTGACAGTCTGGCTCTTCAGAGCCTGAGGCCTCAGCTAACTGCCGTCCTGGACCCACTGCAGTTTGCATACCAGCTGCGCATTGGTGTGGAGGACGCCATCTTCTTCTTAAACCACAGGGCCCTTTCACTTCTGGACTGTGAGAGTGATGTTCTTTGACTTCTCCAGTGCGTTTAATACATCCAGCCCTGCCTTCTAAGGGATAAGCTGCTAATGATGATTTTATGGACATTTTATGCATTCTTATTTTTCTGTTACCTGATGCAGTTCTACTCTAGTATTTATGTATTCAATGTTTTTATGTTTGCTTTTTATGTCTTAATCTATGTGCCGATGTTTTCTTCATGTTTCTTGAATTCTCAAATGTCCCCTTGGGGACAATAAAGTTGAAGTTGCACCCTGACACTGCAGCCCAGAATATGGACCGTGTCTACATTTGTCAGAGTGGATGGCTGTGTCCCTGAGGTGGGCAACACTGGCGTATCTCAAGGAGCTGTTCTTCCTATCCTCTTCACTCTCTACCTCAGACTTGAGATTCATTTCTAGTTCCTGCAACCTCCAAACGAATGCTGACAACTCCTCCATTGTTTGAAGCGTTAGCTGTTGTTCAAGCAATTGGAACAAGTGATTTTGTTGTAATTCATTCCTCTCTACGGTCAGGGTGTGTAACCAACTGCTTTTCAACCTGCTGTAGTTAAGCCTCTGCTTGATTTTTTTACTTTGACCCTTTCATCCTGTCAAAATGTAAGTTAATTTATCAGCTGCCCTTTTTATCTAAAGTCATGGAGAAAGTAGTTAAGTTCAAGTCAGAATTTCAATCATGTCACAGCAGCTCTGCTTCTCCTTTCATTTGATTCTGCTGTTTAAGTGAGTTTAGACCCGACCACTGCCCATGATACAGTGGATCACTGGATCCCTCGATGATGCCTTGTAGTGTCATATGGGCATTAAAGGCACTGCCCTCAAATGGTTTGAATCATACCTCACAGATTGGAGTTTCTTAATCCACCTGGAAAAATATTCTTCGGGCACAGGTTTTCTGTATGATTGTTTTTTAGAAGGCTCTTAGACTTTTATTTTAATTGTATTGTTTCTCTTGGTTGTGTCGGCACTTTGGTCAACATGAGTTGTTTTAAATGTGCTTCTAAAATACACTTGACTTGACTTATACTTCACCTTACACTATACTCTATCATATTGTACTATGTTAAATGTTACACTCTTATACCGCGCTTTCCATTCTATGAAAAGGGATTTAAAAAATGTTAAAAACGTTATGTAAGGTTTTGAGATCATGACAAAAAAACAAACTGGAGCTAACTTTGACAAGAATGTCAGTGTGCTTCTGTTGTGACAAGCCTTTGTGTATTTTCTTTCAGAGATCCATCTGTCCACACTGCAAGACAAACTGTTTCAGTAACTCTGACAATAACTGCTGAAAACTTTGTATGAGGGTTGTAAGGAAGCCTCATTTTAGCTACACTCATTTTCTAGAAACACCTCTGGTAGAAGCCATGATCTAATATTTGTTCAGTAGATGAGCTTACACAGCAGGCATGTAGAGACTCCAAAAATTAAATATCCTATATGTAACTTACATGTATAAATGTTTTTTTATCGCCCATTAATAAGCACACGGTTAACTGATGTGAAAAAGTAGTGTCACTGTCTATCTGTGTTGCCTGTATACAATTTTTACTCGGGTCGAATTTTCCGCGAAAGCTCCAGGAAGTGATGCTATATGTGCTTTCTCGATGCCCTCCTCACTCCGCTACGCTTACAGAGATCAACAGTAATGTCTGCCGAGACTGTTGTTTGTAGGATGGAGAATTAATCTAATATGAAATCTGTTAGTACAAATAAACGACTGGCCTCTGGCACATCACAGACTCCTTCACAGACTTTCACGTGTATGTCCACTTACCTCCTCTGTAAACATTATGCCGGTAAATATCCAGTGTTTCGCGGCCGATGATGAACTAGTGCAGTTCACCTAATGGCCTGCGGTGTCACTACAAAACGCAATATTTTTGAAAGTTACATATTTAATTTAAGGTAAAAAAAAATGTGCTAATTAAAAAGGGTGACTTGTTTTTTTTGCTTCTTGTTTTTGTTGACTGATGTCTAAACTTTGTTGTTAATCTTTTTTCTGTAACAAGTTGGAACATTTGCCAAATGTGTGTCTTGTTAGACTATGTACCAAGCTCTTAGTAATCTCAGATAAAAGTGTTTTAGTCAATGGACAAGCAGACAGTGTGATTAATAATCAGATGCTCTGTTGACTGTCACAGTGGGCTGTGATGTCATAGAGTTTGGTAACTGATGTAATGATTAACCTTGTAAGAGGACATGGCAACATGATATAAAAAACAAAAAGTGATTCATGTTTCACAAGATTACCCCACAGACTGTATAAGACATGTGACTCAGTGACTTCACCAATTGGTTACTCAACAGAAATTTAGGTTAATTTTTCATTAACCTATAGTAACAGGCAAGGTGGGCCCTAAGGCAGTGGTTCTCAACTGGTCTAGCTCTAGAAAAATGGGGACAGTTCAAAAGATGTGAACAAAGCGTTTTTTTCCCAGGCACACATTCTGACAATTATGCATAACTCTTGATGCATAACTCTTATCTTTTATAAATTGTAAATGAATTAGTTATGAACAAATGGACAGTGTGTGCCAATAAGGACATGAACTCTTCAGACCAAATTCAGTTTTTGTATACCAGGCCATAAACATTTTGTGTCTGCTTTCAAAATAGGAACTGCACTTTTTTAGCAATCCCCCATTGGCTTCATTTTTCAACACCAGAGGTTGCCTTTGGATTTGAAAAATTCAAGAGTCTTCATAACTGGGGTGGATTGGAATCCTTTTTTTTTACATTGATAATACAGAGATTAAGACTTTGAGGCACCCAAAACGAGCCCCAGTCCATATTATGTGTAATTCTACACCTGCTGACAAAGTACTCCAGCAGCAGCTGTTCTGCAGCGGTCTGCTCTTCCACAAATCAAAGGGTGGGAGGTTTGTTTATCTTCCTTAACACAATTCAGAGATTGCTTAAAGGAGCAATATGTAACTCTGATATGTACCGTTTAAAATTGGTACTCTGAAGCTGTGGAGCTGTTGTGGAAACTGAAGTGTCATTGTTTAGCCAGCTCTTTCAACCTTTCTACATTCTAACCTCTCTCCAAGTGTCTCCAATATTTAACCTAGCTTTACCACGTTTCTGTTCGTGGAGCTTTTCAGAAAGATTCCCCGGCAAGAAGAATCCGTAATATCTGAGCACCTCTTGGTTTGCCATTATACCTGGAATAATACCTGGTAAACAGAGGGGCGCCAAAATGGACTGTGTGGTTCCTTTAAAACCGCATTCCTTCTCAGGTCAAAACAAACCATGCCACACCGAGACAAAAACCAGAAGAGGAAGACACACTGTCTGCTGTATTTTTGAAGCCAGCCCTTCAACAAAGAATGTTTCCTTAATGTCTAATGGTAGAGTCAGGTCATTTTACGATTTAATTCAGTCAATATCTTACATATTGCTCCTTTGAACAGTGGTAACTTCATGGTATGAAGATAAAACTACACATGAATGCTGCCGTGTGTATGTAATAGTGATTTATTTATGTACAGCTGATGATACACCAATGTGCATTCAATGCTGCCAAATAAAACACTACACAACTCTGAAAATGGTTGCATGTTAAACACATCATAAAATGACGATACTATGCGTGTGTCTCCTGTGTGGCAGGGCTGTCCTGACCTTGTCAGCAAGCTGTATAGTAATGTCTTACTTTGCATCAATAAGATAAACTTCTTGCATAGAGGTGCTTCTTGCAAAGAGGTGCATATGTTAAACTGGGCTAGTCACTAATCATCAGTTTACCAAACCTGAACTTGTAAGAATAAGATTATGTGAGTTACAATAGCTCCAAGAGGTACTTTAAAGTTAAAAGCAGGGTTTTCTAAATGTCCACTCCTGCTTTGGGCCAACGTATAGCTCAAAAGACATTTGGCTATGTTTTTGTGAAAAAATAAAAGTTTTTCAGAAAACGTTTTCCTCTATGCCATACATGCATTGCAAATTCTCAATTTCTGTGTTCTTAAAACACTGACTTGATCTGTGTCCAAATTCCCCACGCAAAATGATACACTTGAGCATTTAGCCCCATCTACTGGTAAGACCTGGTACTTGCATGGCCCTGCAATGCTTTTGCTTACTGTAGTAGACTGTAGCGTATTTGTATTCGTTTTTAATCACACACTAACAAGAGGAAGTGTTACAAAGTGTGTAATCAACTCTAAATGCACATCAATAAAATACAAAAAATTACTGCTTCTTCATCAAACATTCTCATAAATCCATCTTCTACCTCTTCAGACGAGCATCCCAGTCCTACTTTCAATAGAAAGGTATCAAAAAGGTGTAAATAATCCAGAGACAATGTGGGAAAAAAATTTGCTACAAATCTTTCTCAGCGCAGTTGCAGCTCCAGCTCAGCAGAAGGTGTTGAATTTCACGAGTAGCACTTTCTATCCAGCTTTTACTTTCATTCCTTCAATTGCTCCCCTTCGTTTCAGATTGGTGAAGAGCAAGGCAAAGTTGATGATGTATGTTGACACGCAGACCATGCAGAAGTCCCCCAGGACAAAGGTGAGAATAGTTGCAAGATAAAGAGAGCCGGCTACAGAAACCCAGGAGGAGAAGACCAAAAACACTACTGCTTTTTTGGACACAAACATTCCTGCAATAAAAACAGACAAAGAAGTCACTAAAATACATTACATATGCTCTATCTCATTGTCATTTTTTGTAGGACTATGGAATGTTTAATTTGGCTGAAATATACAACAAGCTGTGGTTCACAAAGATGCTGGATTGCAAACAGGATCTTTTTCTTATTTCAAAAATACTCAGCACCTATAATTTGCAGAGGAAAAACACAGACTTACCAAGGCCCATCTGAAGAGTGTAAAATATGATGCCAAGCAAACTGTTTGGCTGGTTCAGAAGGCTATCTTTGTCAACAAAGAACTGGACCAAGCCAAAGCCACGTCCCCATCTGTCAAAAAGAAAGAGGAAAGAGCAAGAATTATACATTATTAGAATATTATTATATACAAAAGAAAATGTAAAACGCCTGCATATGGGCTTCAACTCCTGTGAAATATAATAAGGCATACGGGTTATTTTATGGACTGCAATTAACAGGGCATCATGCACAGGAAAATGTTAAAATGCTGATGCGTTTGCACAACATTTTAACACGTGGCAGATTCAGGTGCATGAAGGTACCCAAAATGCATCCATGCCTCCTGCATGCAGAAGTCAAAGTAGAGTGTTTGTGGTTCACAATAGGCCTTTTTAAGGTACGTGCTGATGAAGAGTAAAAAAAAAAAAAAACTTACCTGGAAGTAAAAACTTTGGAGCAGCTCACAGACTCCCCCAGGTCGCACATCGCCCTGTAATCTGGGTCTCTCTCTCTGGACTGCTCGACGTAAAGCGCATAAACAGACAAACACAATCCGAAAACGCAGAGAAATGTGCGCGCCTTTCTCTCCCATTTCGGTAAAGCCATTATTGTGTTTTAAAGAAACTTTTAGATGAATGTAGCCTAAATGTCTCCAGGGGACAAAAAGATTAGATAGGCTAGATTTCCTGCTAGACTTTACCACGGAGGTCCTCTGGTCAATGCGACGTGTTAAAAATCCGATTCTCTCTTCTGGTTGGTCCGCTGGATTTGGTTCCTGCCGTTCATAGGACAGCTGTGCAGATGTTGGAGTAGCAGGAGGCGCGGTTATTGTGTATTTAATGTGGACTTCAGTCTGTTTGGTCTTCAGGGGGGAATGTTAAAAACTGCTCATGCAGCCGGCTACCACTTCAGCTTTCTAGGAAACAGTGTAAATTTGTACTTTACGTCGCCCGCTGTCAGATCACATTATTCAGTATGGAAGAAGTACTTGGGAACAATTAAGTGAAGTAAAAGCAGCAAAATGTTAAAGGGCCATTTCAATAGAGAGCTGTATTCATATTTCGTTTCAATTACAAGTACACAGGCTTTGTCAGCAAAATAAAATAAAACAACTGACTAAAAATTGCTGGATTATTTTTGAACAGACAGCAGCTCGGGGCCCCAATCTCCTATGTGTGCGCAAGATCCATAAAAACTTCAGGTTTATTGCTTATTAAATAAGATAATTAGATTTTAACATATTTGAAGTAGCCTATTTTTTTTTTTTTTTACTTTTTGTTTTATATTTGTATTTACTTTATTTCCATTATACATAAAAAAAAAAAAAGAGCTGAACGCGCAGGTAACTGTGTCCTAATGTGGCTCCTCCTAAATAATTTCATTCTGGAAAACGGCGTCAACGCCACCAAAAAAAAACAACACAGAGACCCTACTGTGTGTTGTAAAGTCCCACCTACCCGTACGTTCCTTGCTCCTATTGGATGGTCTTCCAGGCGCCCCTTTGTGTCATTGGTCCGCCAGATGGCACTCAAACCCAACACGGAACTGCACGAGGAAGCGGCAGACAAAAACAAGAGATAGCAGTGCTTCTATGGGATAAAAAACATATATACGGATGCTGTGCCTGGCTCAAAAGGTGAAAATTTGAAGCGTTATTCTGATACGAGTCTCACTGTGGCCCCGTTTGATTATTCTAACCAAGAAAGTCAGGGTTTAATGATTAACATTTGTAGAAAGCCTGCGCTGCAGGTAACTAGCATACGCCCCTGCGTCAGAAAGTGGGTAAGGCTGTCTAAAAGAAGTCATTAATGTAATCTAACCATTCTGTAGGAGCAAAATAATGAGGCGTTAAATTCAGCTCATCTTTGTCTTTTTTCGTTTTAAAGCTAGCTATGATCTAGAGAGGAACTAGATTTGTCTTTTAATTACTGGCAGGCCTATTGTAACGTTTTGGTGGCGTGTTGATCACGCCTCGTTTGTATTAATTTAATATCAACATTTATTCTTTTATATCTCTTGCAAGTCAATATCGTTACTAAAAAAACGAGGGCACTGTGTTTTGTCAATTCTGACCGAACCATTAATAAGTATCCTGAAGTAGCTCTGGTTTCTATGGAGTTACTAGAAGCTAACAGAAAGCTGTGATTAAAACAAACAGGAGTATTACCTGTTCTAATTAATACACCTGTTTTTATTTATTTGGTTCATTTTTACTTCTCAAAATGACTGATTATTAACTAAGGAGATTCATTTAAGTGTTAATAATTAACCAATGAATCAATGATTTGTTTTATCTGTATTGTATTTTTAATGTGACTCCAGCTGTTATACATAGCTTACAATGTAATTTCTAGAACTGCAATTAAGAACCTGCAAAATGAAGGCGTCAAATAAAACTCGCTCTCATTTTCTCTGACACAGGAAAATGTCAGCTAAGGAGGGCGGAGATGGTAAAAATGGTCCGACTGTGGCCATGTCGCCTGAAAGAATGACCACTGACAAAGGCAGAGAAAACCAGAACCAGCATGGAGTCGAGGCAACAGGAGGCACAGCAGACACCAGCACAGCAGCGAAAAACCTGGCGCTGCTTAAAGCACACTCTCTGGATGTGAAGTTTGATGTCGGAGAGGAGTATGATGTTATAGAAACCATTGGCACCGGGGCCTATGGTGTTGTTTCATCAGCCAGGAGAAGGGACAATGGTGAGGCTGATTTGATAAGGATATAACACATGACTTGATGCTGAATAGAGACATTCCTGTACTATTATTATTGCCCTTTTAAACTCATTTTTACACTCACTTTCTGTGATTTTCATTTGGGCATATTTCACAGGCCAGCAGGTGGCGATAAAGAAGATCTCCAATGCATTTGAAGTGGTGACAAATGCCAAGCGCACATTGAGAGAGCTGAAGATTCTCAAGCACTTCAAACATGACAACATTATTGCAATCAAAGACATCCTGCAGCCGAATCTCCCTCACTCTGCTTTCAAGTCTGTGTAAGTACTTTAAACTTTTCAGTGTTACTCAAGTGGCGATTGCTCTTGTTCAAATATCTGCACATGCAAGAAAAATATGTACAACTCTATAGCTGGAAACTTTTGAAAGCTTCCCAAAAATAGATCTTTGAGTCCATCAAGTTACTTCAGGCATTTCACCAGTGTACCTAACAGATTAGGTACACATTTATCCTGCATATGTTTTAACTTTTCATCCATCAGAAGCATTTAGTAGGACTAGTTATAGTGTTGACCAGAAAAATAGTTTGGTAATGAAAAACTAATGAAAATTCTAGGTAAATACAGAGATTTAAATTATTAGCTTATGTTTAACACTATAGTCGACATTTGTAACCAACAGACATGTTTCGGTCAGATTGATATATTTGTTATGATATGTACTGAAGGAAAATTTAAGACATGCATTTTTACAATGGCAAACTTCATCTACCATGAGAGAGATCAAGATGTTTTCTGTCTGTGTAATGATTGTTTGAGTGATGTACTTTGGAGCTTAATAGATGTCAGATAAATCTCACTTTTCCCCCATCCTGTGTGTGAAGGTACGTGGTGCTTGACCTCATGGAGAGCGACTTACACCAGATCATTCACTCTGCCCAGACACTCACCTCAGAGCACACCCGCTACTTCCTGTACCAGCTCCTCCGTGGCCTTAAGTATGTGCACTCTGCCAACGTCATCCACCGTGACCTCAAGCCCTCCAATCTGTTGGTGAACGAGAACTGTGAGCTAAAAATTGGCGACTTTGGAATGGCGAGGGGTTTAAGTTCACACCCTGAGGAATCTCATTCCTTTATGACTGAATATGTGGCGACTCGGTGGTACCGCGCTCCGGAGCTCCTCCTTTCTCTGAATCATTATAGTTTAGCAATCGACTTGTGGTCCGTTGGATGCATCTTTGCTGAAATGTTGGGCCGTAAGCAGCTTTTTCCTGGGAAGCACTACGTCCACCAGCTTCAACTAATTTTGTCCGTGTTGGGCACCCCTCCCGATGGTTTGATTGGCACTATCCGGGCTGACCGAGTACGCTCCTATGTCCAGAGTCTTCCATCACGGACTGCTGTGCCTTTGGCTAAACTGTACCCACAGGCTGAACCAGAGGCGCTGGACTTGCTGGCGGCCATGTTGCGCTTTGACCCTCGTGAGCGAATCAGTGTAACTCAAGCGCTGGAGCATCCGTACCTGGCCAAGTACCATGACCCAGATGATGAGCCAATTTGCGTGCCAGCGTTTGACTTTGAATTTGACAAGCTCCAGATGAACAAGGAGCAAATTAAAGAGGCAATTCTGATGGAGATCCAGGACTTTCATCAAAATAAACAGAGCTGTCGCCAAAGACTGCAGTTCAGGCCCTTGGCGAGGGCAAACGTCAGCACTGCGGCACAAAGCAGAAACCAGCGTGATGCTCAGCCCTCGACGGTTAACATGAGCAAATCAACACTGGTTCCAATGGCACAACACCCGCAAGCAGCACAGATACAGCAGCACATAAGAGAAGTGAAATCTCAACAGCAACAAGATCAAACACCAGCAGAAGAGAACCACACTTTTACAAATCAGATGCAAACTTTTACTGAGACAGAAGTCGCCCCGCCTCATGTGACCCATATTCTGCCTCCTCTGTCAAAAAGTGAAACTGGCCCGGTAGATGTGGACATGCCAAGTGCCAACTCAGACAGCGGTCAGCCAGAGACTATCGACCTAACAACACCAGTGTCTAGTCAGGACACTCCACCAGAAACAATGAGAGACAGTGAGGTTACAGAGCAGCTAACCAGCAGCAGTCAGGCTCCTCTGACTCAGCCCACCCAGAGCCAGTCCATGACCCAGGCGCCCACCTCCATTCCTGCAACGCCAGCACCCACAATGACACCTTTACCCACCACTGTGCCCTCACTTTCTCTTTCAGTGGCACAGGCCCAGTCACTGTCTCAGTCCCTCTCACAGTCTCTGTCCAAGACTACCAGGCCTCCTCCAGGGGCAGGAGAGGGAGCCAGGAAAGAAGGAGCAATTTCAGAGGATACTAAAGCTGCACTTAAAGCGGCTTTACTGAAATCAGCTCTGAGAAATAAGGCCAGGGGTGGTGAGTCTATCGCGTTATCTTCTAATATAATTTAATGTCATTATTCAAAAACCTTTATCTAAATTTGATCTCCTCTTTGCAGACGTAGGTACCTCAGCTCTGGGCATTGACTCCGGGCCAGGGGGAGGCGTATCATCCTCCCTGTCTTCTGCTTCTGACTTGCGCCGGCCTGTCACAGCCCAGGAGCGTCAACGAGAAAGAGAGGAGAAACGAAGGAAGAGGCAGGAACGAGCAAGAGAACGGGAGAGAAAAATGAAGGAAAAGGAGAAAAGAGAAGGAAAACAGGGGGACTCGCTCTGCGGGGTCCTCCTGAGCGACTATGACAAAAGTCTTCTGCAGCGTTGGACTCAGATGAGGGACAGACGCAATGATAAACCGCAGATTCCTAATAATGATGGAGCAAAGAATAATGAGTGTAATGTGAGCTCCCACAGGGGCGTTGATGTTGGTGATAACACTCAAGCAGCACTGGACAATAAAACAGAAAAAGAGGCAAGGAAAATTCAGCCTCATGAACAGTTAATCTCTCAGATTAAACCAAACCAGCCGGCTTTGTTTCAGCCTCCCAGCAACCAGCAGCCTTCGATACTTTTTCCAATGAGCCAGAGGAAGCCCCAAGCCGATATAGTTGTTTCTGTTAGCGGAGGGCTGGATATAATGACTGTCACTGGTGGCTTTGTTAAGAACAACACACTCAAACCTCACAGCGAGCGTAACGGACAAAGTGGTTTCAACTGTTTGGGGAATTGGAGCGGCCCGCCACAGCAACAACAACCAAACAGAAAACCGCAGCCTCAAACGTCAAGCTTTCTTCAGCCACAGCTCCAACCTCAATCTGACCCTCAACCTCCACCTCAGCTGCTTCCTCTGGAGAGTTTTTTGACCAAAGCTCCAACCGGAGAGAAAAACGGAAAGGAGGATATCAGATGCCATAACAACCTCAACTCCCACCATAACCCCTCGACTGCAAGTGCCGGTCAACTGGAGAAGCTGTGTCCTCCTGTAGGAGAGAAACCTGGGCCGCAGACCACAAACTCTCTCTGTGGTGCTTTAGGTGTCCCCTCACAGCCCCATCCCAGCCTCGGATTCACTGATACTGGACAGCAGGGACCCTCCATGGCCCCAGATATTCACACAGTGACACTGCAGCTCTCCAAGTCCCAGGTGTGGTTCAGGGTTTTTTTTCTGCTGCTTTGCACCTTCCTTGTAAGAAGTTTTTTATTGGTTTCTGCAGGAAGTTTATTACTCAACAGAAACTGGATTTATTGACAGCACCGGTGTAACGTAATTTCGCAATCTGATGCCTGTACTTAGTGGATCTTAAGGGTACAAAGTTCAGTGGACCCAATGTTTTCCCTTGTCTCCTGTCAGGTAGAGGATGTTCTCCCCCCAGTGTTCTCGGTCACCCCTAAAGGCAGTGGGGCTGGCTATGGTGTGGGCTTTGACCTGGACGACCTTCTCAACCAGTCACTCACAGAGCTGCACCACTGCGACCGGGACAGGTACAGTCTGATACAGTGAGGGCAATTTTTTTTTTTATACTGCTGAACAAACGCCCAAGTCCAGCTGAAGCTAATTCTACATCAGAGTTTAAGGGGTATGAAATACTTGAATACTTTTCAATAACAGTTGTTTCAATATGACTCAATCTAAATTTGTTTAATGATAAGAATCAGAAGCTTTAAAAAAATATTTTTAACCAAAAGCTGCTGCAAGGTCAAGAGCGTTAGCGCCAACTAAATTACACAAATACAATGTTGCCACGTATTTGTGCAATTTAGACAGTTTGCCTGCAAAATTTGGAAAGGAAAAACAAGAGAATTAACAAATATCTGGTGACTAGGACTACTTTTGTTGCTATGGTATAGAAAGAGATATTGATTTTGTTTCATTCTTACTAGTTTCATATCAAACTTTAAAAACCCTGAAGCAACAAACAATGTAAATAAAGAAGTTAGTAGTTCTTAAGTACTTTATTCAAATCAATGTTTATTAATAAACCACCAAAAGCAAAGACCACTGTCTCAAAGTGAAGTGTATGTCAATGGCCCATCCTAGTTCTGTTTTGCACTTTAATGATTTAATTTGAGTATGAGTCAGTTGAACACCAGGCCGATTGGCTGTCAAACCGGGTGAGTAGCGGTTAAATTGTACATGTTGGTACTCGTCTTCCACTGAAGGTGAGCTCAAAAACACTTTCCCTTTTCAGCAGATCAATGTAAAAAACAGACTTCTACTCTAAATCCCCTGAACATTCATGATTCTGCACAGTGAAGGTCAAACAGTCACTGAAAGTAAATACATGAGTAAGGGGACTCCTGAGTGAGCTGCCGACATAGAGACATTCAGTTTTGGGACTCTTCTGTTCTAGAGGTTTTTGTCTAAATGCTTCCTGTATTTGCCTCCTTTTCCTTCAGTTTCGACTCGGCGCCCCTGTCAGCCTCCCTCTTATCTGATTGGAACGAGGTTCACCGCATGACTCCAGCTGATCTGGAATCACTGCAGCAGGAATTGCAGCTCGGTTCTCCCATGATCCTCTCTGATACAATTCCCCATGACGCCTGACTTAAAAGACATTGTCTCTGATTTTTGTACAAGTTGCTTTCTTTCTAGCATGACATTTCTGATTGCAGACTTATCAAATTAATTTAAATGCTATTTTTAAAGGCATCACTAAGCACTGTTTTTTTTTTTTTTTTACCATGATGTGCTTTTTTTGTAATAAAGAAATCTGAGTCCTAACTGATTTTGTCTTTGGATAGTCAACAAAACGTCAAATGTGTTTAATTAGGCCGAGGTTGAAGTTGGCCTTGTGCAGGTTAGGCCATTTAGAAATGACCTTAATGCCTCAAAATAAAATATGAAGGATGAAAGAATATGTGTTTCTGAAATGATGTATGCTGAAATCATCTAAAAAAACACATTTGATATTTCCCAAGCAAGTGGCAGTGTTAGAGGAGGAAATCAAAAGTTTAGAAAGCGAACAACTGAAGCTTTGAGAGATCAAGTGATACTTGTTGATCCATTTTTCAAAGCTCTGAGTACTGACCTGATTCAACGAATCAAATTAACAATTTATTTCAAATAAGAACACATCATTTATTCAGCTCATAATTCTGATTTAAAATACAAACCTATCAAAGGTACTCTGAATCAAAGATCATAATACATCGTTATAGGTCTAAAATTAAAGGTTATATTACTGTTTATGTTCATCATGACTCCATGTGCATCTCAGGTATAGTTTTATGAGTTTGTCTATTCAAGAAATTAAATCTTTGGACTTAAGTCAAACATAATTCATCTGTTCCTTCATTTGGCCTGGTGCGTGATCTACCTCCCAGATTTACAGCGTTTACGTCGTCTCATCTCTGAAGCTCAATCAGCAGAGTGGACAGACAGCTGATGAACACAGCAGCGCTCCCGCCCCAGTTCTGATCCGCTCGGCCGTACAGCCTGATCTCTGGTATCGTGTCGCTAATGAAGCTGGAGTAGCTGGTCACTCTGGCATACACACCGGGCTGGTTTGCGTGAGCACAGCCCAGTCCAAAGCTCACCACCCCGGCCTGCACCCAGGTCCCGTTCACCATCTGGCAGACAAGCGGCCCTCCTGAATCCCCCTTAGAAGATGACACACAGACTTATTAAGTTTTCTCCACTGGGAGGTATTAAATAGTCTTAAATGCAAGTAACAATCCAAGTTATTTCCAATTGTTTTTGTGATTGGAAAAAAAGAATGCAGCACAACCAGATGATCCAACAGTACCTGGCAGGAGTCCTTGCCACCCTTCTGGAATCCAGCACAGATCATGTCATGCAGGATGTCCACCGGCTCTGTCGGATGCATCTGGTACATCTCCTGACATGAGCTCTGAGAGATGATCGGCACCTCCACCTCCTGCAGAGTTCCAATTCCACCCAGAGGGACTATCATAAAGAATGGAAAAACCAAATGTTTATCATTTCTGCAGTTGATCAGGTGGACATTAAACCTTTATACCTACAGCTCAAAGGGCAAGTTTACTTCTAGTACTTTTTAGTGTAAATCTTCAGTCACAAACATTTAGACAGTGTTTTAATCAATTAGCTGTAAAACTTTTTTTAGGATCTGACGAGATAAAGCCACACTGATGCACAACTCATAACCATGAAAATCATGATGTGAAACCATGACCTCAATTGGGTTAAAGCTAATTTTTGAGTCAGTCACTGTGGTTACTGTAGTGCCCTAAAAATGAATCCAAGTCTATGTAATGTCCCCCAAATACTTCATTTAATCTTACATACACATAACATGCCAGATGAAGAATCAAAAGTTGTCCAGATGTACTAGGAGCTATGTTGCACCGATGAAGAAGAGACAGGGTCTTTTTTTTTTTGGCCAAATTTCACAGGAGTAGTTTTAAAGATTGTCATGGTGAAACTAAGTTACCGTAATATTTTCGCTTAATCTCGTGTTCCCATTGCTTCCACCTAGTTTTAGGTGTATTTCTGTTACTTGCTATTCTGTAGTACATGACACATTGATGTGCTAATAAAAAGAAATAGAAATATCCGCTTGCAAGTTTGCACCTTAATATATTGCCATAGGTGATTTTTGTGCTCTAGTATTTCTCATGGATTCTGCCTGTGTGAAGGAGTTCATTGACTTATATTTTGAATGCCTTCCTTCTCTAAAAGCACAGACATCCACCCCTGGAGGTGAGTTTCCTAAAAATACAAAAATACAATTTGATACAAGCCAGTCATGACGATTCTAGATATGTCTCTCTTGTATAGGGCTGGCTTCTACAACCCATCTGTTCTGTAAATGACACCTACAGGGAAGAGAGGGCAAATCATTCAATATTTACGATTGCCTATTGTCCGCCTATATTCAAATTTCTTGGTGATAAACAAGGGTTTATTTGCAAGCCAGGAGTCCATGAAAAGTAGAAGGCCTTTTTTCAGAGATGTGTGAAACATGTAAACAGGATGTGAAGAATCAGGGAGCTTTACCATCATCCCGGATGTTCCCCCAGCCGGTGACGGTGCACTTAATGCCACCTGGGAACAGGGTGCCAGATGCAGGTAAGCACACAGGCTGGACATGATCTGACCAGGTGACAGGGGTGGACAGCTCAACCAGCGCCAAATCCTTCCCGCCGTGAGGCTCGACGTAACCGTACGGAATCACCACCTGTCTCACGCGATGGGCCGTCTCGTGAGCGTTGTAGCCGTTCAGCTGGTACCGGCCGGCATAGATGATGTATGAGCTCAAATCTGATGGACTGAAAGAAGACGACGGGACACAGAGTGAAAACCGGATGTGCTGGAAACGTGAAACCTCTATCTTTTATAATATTAAATAACAATGAGTAAGGTAATTTACCTGCTTTTTGTAAAGTGTCTCGTGATAACACTTGTTATGAATTGGCACTATACAAATAAAGATTGGTTGATATTTTACAGTGACAAAGGGTAACAAATGGCTATGTGGCAAGCAGTTGCTCCTTTAAAAAGTCGCCATTTACAGTCATTCAAAGAGAAATTATTCAGAAAACTAGAATAACTGCCTCACACTCTCATGTCTCTATCGAACAGTTAAGGTGAAGTTTGCTTCCATCAATAGTTCCCACAGAATGATAGTATTGTGTTTGAAAGAATACTTTACCTTTTAAACAACACAACAGTATAAATAGGCCTACATTTAAAGAAAGAGGTCACATCACAAGACAAACAAAAAAAGGTATGCAAGTGTGGATAAAGGGTAAAGTGACTTCCTTTGGTTGGTTGGATCAAATAATAAAAGTAAGCCAGACGTAATAACATTGCTTCCAGGTGTTTTCTTAGATATCTCACTAAGATTTATTCTTGACTATTCAAGTCTAACCACTTCCTCATTGAGGCTAACTGGACTATTTTCACAGATGTGAAGATATCCAGTCCATGTGTTCCTGTTGCCATCACAACAATGGAACAGACTGTTGTCAGAAGGAAGTTGACTTTTGGCCCTTTGAGTGGAAAACATCATCACTTCTTCATTTGATTGTGTAAACATTTATTGACTCACCGTTTAATAATTTGAGAAATAATGAACTTAGGATGTTTTTTTAAAGAGATCATAACAACCCTGAGTGTTGACAATATAAACCTTGTGCACTCATCCTGCAGTCGGAGTGAGTGCGAGTCCCAAATATCAGAATGTTTGTTCAAGGCATGCTCAGGATATCACACCTGTACGTGTACACAAGAATGGGGTAAGCGGTCAGAAAAATGAAAAGTAGGCTACATTTTCTCCAGCCTTTTAGAGGTATACAGGTAACCAAAATGTATCAACAGGGCCCTGAGTCACCGGCTAGTCGCTCCTCCATATATATTTATTCGACAGAGACCCTTTCCACTACAGCTGCTTTAGGTCAAAACTCATTCTCACGATTATTTTTGATCGATATTAAGATCACAATTAGTGAACATGATTAGTCATTGCTCTGATATTGATGAAGATCATATTGAAGATGTCGAAAAGGATATTCACGGAGACTATATTTTCACTGTATTTTCACATTTAAAGGTAAAGGTAAAGGTAAGTTTACTAAATTGGCATGGATGAACAATTCTCCTTGGGGGTGGGAAAAAAAAAAACACCTTTCCTAAAGAGGCTTTTGTAAGTTGCTGAGGCCATGGGTTAAAAGTAAAATGTGAGTGACAGAACAAGTAAATACTTCCCAAGCTTCTTTTTTTTTTTTTGCCAGCCTTATGCCGCAAAGTGTTAAATAATCTTGGCTTCAGCAGCATCAGATGTAGTCTATCATTACAAGCAGTCACATTTTAAACTCACATTGTGCTCTCATTCATAATTTACTGAAATGTTTTATCGTCTTGTATTTTGTGGACCTTTGATAACATTTGCAATTGAATTAAGAAGAGTTGTCTTACTTGGGGAAACAGTGGGCTGCAGATAGGACCCAGTTCTCTGCGATGATGGAGCCTCCGCAGATGTGACGACTAGTGCCTGACTGGAGGCCGAGGAGAGAGGAAGAGTGAGTCACCTCAGCATCACAGCCAAAGCCCGCTCTCAGCAGGTCAGTCTGATAAACAAGACCTAGACTAACCCTAGCATTTCACTAGGCCTACCAAAAAAGGTCAAACTGATACCCTACTGTAGAAGAAGATGGCTGCAAGGACCGTTATTACCTGTTTAGTCACATCCACCTGCCACGGCCAAGCCCCCTCTGTGGCGGCCATCCCTCCAACTATCCTGTCCTCCAACACCCGAGGTCGGCCACATTGTTGGGCGTAGGTCACGACTACACCTGAATGTTAACATACATGACATTTCTAATTCACGTTGACCGAGAGGATAAAGTGTTAACATGACGACACAAACTTAAAATGTACTTAGTAAGCTAAAATGTTGCCGATTTCTTTTGTAAAGGTGGACAAAGAAACAACAGAGATGGCGGTGGTAGTCGGGAGAAAGGGGGGGGGGGTGAGATTTGATACTCACCTGTAAGGCACCATAAAAAGGCAGGAAACAGGACTTTTGGTAACATTTCAGCAACTAAGTGGCGGCACTAAAATTATTTCAACGACCACTGAACCAGAACAAAAAAATATCTGAAAACTTTTAAACGACGAAAAAAAGGTTTAAAAAAAAAAATCGTTAAATCTACCCCCCCTCCTCTTCTTCTGGGATGTTGTGGCCGAAACTCAAGCAATACATTAAAAATAGTCTTGACTATTTGGGGGGGTGGGAAATAAATTATAGCCTTTGATAAAATCCGCTTGTTAATAATTTCACCGTCGATTTAATCCGTTATCGCGTCCAGGTTCGACCAAATTAGGTTCCAGGTAAATTCCAGGTAAACGCCTCAGTCGCCAACAGCCGAACAGTGTTTTGCAAATCAGCAAATCAAGACACTAACCCCGCCCTCCTCGTCCACACGAGCCAATGAAATTAAAGGCATGTTACTGCGGACTACTCAGGATTATCCGGACACAGGTAAACTGTGCTTTCTGCCTTTTTTTTAACCCATGAAAAAAAAAAAACCGACAGTTTTCTCCACTCTGTCCAGTGTCCAAGCAAAACATGATTGTGAATTTACGAAACGCCTTTGCAATCCCATTTGTGTGATCTTACTTTACACAAAAGTTTTCACAGGTCTTATAGACCAGAATTGGTAAGTTGCATGCAGTTATCCCGCTATAAATAATGTTGCATGCACTGTAAAGCATTGGAGCATTAGGAGGAATATCGAGTTACTGCGGTGGAATTTTTGTAGGCTACCTATTTAGATTTAGGTAAATGTACAGTAACAGACATCATTTTGTTCATTCACTGTTCTCTGGTGTCAGTCAGATCTGATAGAGTTCAGCTGTGACTAGAAAGCAAGGACAGCTTAACGTGTCAAGGGTCTTCCCCTTTATCTGCAATGTTGTGTCTGCTCCAAATTGTCCTAGCCATCACAGACTAGTTTATGTGGGTCAATATGACCCGGACATTAATAATAACTTTAGGATATATTGAAAGCCTTAGGGAGAGTGCTTCAGAATTAATTCATTATCAAGTTAATTCATTATCATGGGAACACCAGCCTTGCTATCCTTAGATCACAAGATGTACAAGTCTACAACCCTGAGAACAACTGAAATTGACTCCTTAGGGGAAAACGTTTGAATAAAATGGATTGGATGTATAATTCTTTAAAAAGTTAAAAACTAATCGGCCTTTCATAATTTTGAATAACTACGTCTTTGGACAAGGAGTGCGACATGTTCCTTGAAAAAAATAAACCAGCTTAACAGGTTTCAATTGGAGTGGAAGCAGCTGGGTTTGGGCACGCACGACATACACATTAACACACATTACGCTGATAAAGACACATTAACACTGATTTGAAGACATGAAGGTTCAGGCTAGGTCAAAGGCCAAACTCTGTGCCAAATTGGCCTTTTTGATTCAGTTGTTTCTTAACTATATGAGTACATGTGTTTTTGGCTGTGTTGTGCCCGTTACACATCAGATTGGATTGTTATTTTTATAGTGTACCACACATCAGGACAGAGGTTATCCAATATTTCTCTTACATGACACCAAATGTTTATTCCTTCTGTCTATAAAGCTGTCTCTCTTTTTCCTTCACTGTTTTCCTCTCTTCCCTCTCTCTCTCTCTCTCTCCCTCCCTCCCTCCCTGCTTCCCTGCCCCAGGCCGTGTGTCTAGTTTCACAGAGCAATTGAAGGTGACAGGGACAGAGAGAGAGGGAGAGGGAGGGAGGGACAGAGGGAGGACACATCACAGTATTGCCCGAGGCTACACAACAGTAGAGGAAGAGCGAGAGATGGAGAGACAAAGAGAAAAAGGAGGAGAGACTCACGAAAGTACTCATAGGGAATTCCAAAAGCAGGTAAAGAATAAATAAAGTTAGGCACATAAAGTTTGAATAAATGAGTGTGTATGTGTGTGAATTGAACGTGTTTGTTTCGCTGATAATAACTTTTTTAAATCACTTGCTGTGTGTTTTTGTGTGCGAGCCCCTTCCACTCTGCTTCATAATATATGAACGCATTATAGGAGCCAGTCAGTAAGAGCAATTATAATGCACTCCCGTTTGTTTATATTTTAACGACTTGATGAATATTTGTCATGGCACGGTTACCATGGTGACTGCCTCCACCGCCGCCGCCTCCCCCCTTCCCCATCCCCCCTCCAGCGCTGAAAAAGCGAGGGATGGCGAGCGAGAGGGAGAGAGAGAGAGAGAGGTGACAGGAATGAACTAACAAGATGCACTAAAAAAAATGTATGTCCTGGAGCTACATGAATCTTTGCAGTGAAGCACGCGCCGTCTCTCTCTCTCTCTCTCTCTCTCTCTTTCGCTCTCACACACACACTCTCACACACACACACACACACACACACACACACACACACACACACACACACACACACACGCACACACACCCTCACAACCACATTATTGCACTCAGCAGCACATAGGGTTCACATAGGTTAAGCCACATTCCAACAACTTGAACACAATAAGACACAACTAAAATGTCTGAATAAAGGAAAAACAGAAGTGAAAACCAGCTAAAAGAAAAAAGGAGGAGGGGGTGGGATGGATAATGTGTGTGTGTGTGTGTGTGTGTGTGTGTGTGTGTGTGTGTGTGTGTACACTAATACCATTATTTCAGGTTGAGTTTTACATTTCTCTCACTAACTTTAAATTAAACAACTTAACAATATTTATTTTTTCAATTTTCCAAATACACTTTTAAAGAAGTGCAATGGTGAGTCTGTTGTATGTACAGTATATTTAGGGCTTAATGTCATAATGTTTCTTCTACACTACATTGAAGAGGCCAGAAATGTACCTTTTTCCTTTGTAACTTTAATTTTGAAGACATAGTTCATCGTTTGCTGCTTTGCATGTAAATCAATTGGAGTATGAAGTAGCATTATAAATTGAAGTAACATTATTTGAACATTAGCACAAGAAGCTGACAAAACTGTCTCCATGTGTTAAATAAACGCACGTCCTCGTCATCTCTTTTGCACATTGTCTCTAGTTTTTCCGCCCTTCACTGGAAAAATCTTGAACATTTCTGTCCATACCTAACACCTCTTTTCATACAACAATACAACAATTAGATTTATAGAACAGTTTTAATTGAAATAATTTTATATTTATGCCATTTATTTTATTCTTTTGGTTTCCCAAGAGTTGGAGAACTGCTTTTCACTTTCTTTCCTATATTTTTTTAAAAATTATTTTCTGTGTTTAATGTTAGGAACCAAAATTATCCTGGCAGCATTCCTTGTCGATCAAAACCTACTTTGTTTAATTTGTGATATGATTTCACTATATGAATTTCCCCAACATTACATCACGTACCTTAAAGGAGCTTCACCTGCAGCTATGCACGTGAAAATGTTGACTGAAGATCTATGCAGCAGTGATGGCAATGATATTCAGTCAGTTTGCACAAGTAACACTCATTTTCATGAAAAGCACTAATAGCAATAATTTTGATACTTTAAATCATGTTTTCTTCCTTTTTACTTTTGTAAAATGCAGAAATGTATTTTAGTTGTGTGGTCTTGTTTCTTAAACTTCAGCATCTGAACGCTTCTTCCACTGCTGTTCTTCTTCCTTTTTACCTTTGAACTTGTCAAGTCCTTTCCTTTCTCCAAGGCACGTCTCGGAGGAAAGTAACGGAGAAAGAGGAGGAAGAAGAGGGAGGAGGGTGGGTGTGTGTGTGTGTGTGTCGGGGGGGGGGGGGGCAATGGGGTTAGCGGAGGAAGAATAGCAGAGTATGAAAGAGAGAGGGAGCGACAGAGAGAAAGGGAGCGCAAAGTCTTGTCAACCGGAAATAAAACAAGCTGGCACCCTCCCCATCCCCAAGCCCCTACACCCACCCCAAAGTCACATACTTCCTCTTCACTCCCTCTATCTCTCTCCTCCGCCTTCCTGCCTCCATCTTCCATCTCTCTCTTCTCCTCTCTTCCTCCTCTGCAAAGAGATATATTTAAACCCGTGGTTCTGCTCTGCTCTGGCTCTTTGACTCGACCATACATACCGTCATACCTGCGTCATTACTTTCGCCTCGCTGCAAACCTCATGTGCCTATCGCACAGGCGTAGGGGCTCCAGGGCCAGACAATGCCTTGTTTTATTTGTCCTGAAGCGTTAAGGCATGTGTGTGTTATAGGTGGAGAACAATACCTCTGGAATCAGGGAACAATACCAAGGTGATCTTGGAAAGGCTGCTACTCAAACTCTGTGCCCTGTGACAAACTCTTCTACAGAATCTTCACTGAAAGGCCTACAATGTGCTGCTAGGAATAAATCACTCACTCCATTTGGCCTCAATATTAAATTAAATGATGTAAGCGTTATGTAGACATGGAACAATTATTTGAATAATTAATTACAAGATCAACATATCATGAACCTTAAATACTCAGATATTTGATTCATTCTTTAAACTTTCAAAATTCAAACAAAAATTTCAACAACAACGAAACTTAGATCTGAGGTGAAATGATTGCTTTTGCATGCTAGGTAATAAAATAAGGGGGGGAGGGGTTCGTAACAAAAAAGGCAATTTGAAGAAAAGTAGTATATTTTTTAATCATTTCTGGTCTCTTCAAACAGTTAATCAATATATGAATCAATCATGAATCTTGGCATTCCCTCAAGAAGCCGTGTCTTTAGCTGACACTGTCCATAAGGAAATGGTATCTTGAGTTATGAATACATTTTTATTTTAAAGTAATGAAAATTATTTTCTTTTTAATGGTACAATTATTAAGAGGTATGTAGTAATCCAATGACATAATTTTTGTGTTATTTATATTTTTCTTGTGATCATTCAGGATTAAATTTTTATCATTCATCTTTTTTTTTCAAAACAACAAATATCTGGTTATAAAGACACAGCAACATCTCATATGGATTGGTTACATTATGATGCACTGATGTGTTAAGCCTAATATTACTTATCACTTATACGTTTTATGTTTACTACATTGAATGTTTTTATAGAGTATATAGTATGATTGTTGAAAAAAGTTACATCAATAAGACAGTTATTAACAAAACCGTTTATGAAAAAACTTAAAACCCTTTATCTGTTTCTTCAATCTGATTGTGACGTTTAGAGCTCTTTTTATTACTTCAGAAGCTACACAAAATCAATATTTCTAATATGATGCAAAGTTTGTTTTATATTTACTTACTTTTATCTTAATGTCCAATAATCGTTTGTTACCTGGTTCTACGTGGAGTTGATCAATGCAGGATTTTACTACACAATACAGTCTTCAAACATCTTTTTTATGTCTCAAAAAGGAGTAAGGAGTCCTTACTCGTGTAAACATTGCGTCAAATAAATTCAGTTGTCTTGTTGCACTTGTGTTTGTGTCGTAATTCGACACACTTTCAAATGCTATCAGTGCTCACTGTTTGTGTGCAATTTATGCTAAAAACTGAATCCCATCATCTATTTATCATCTACTATCTCGCCATTATCGTGGCTTTATGCTCCCCTCTCTCGGCCTCCCCTCCTCCTCTCGCTGGCATTAAGTTCAAACTTGACACTGATGTTGACTCACTTTGTCACCCCTCGGTGGCTCTCTCTCTCTCTCTCTCTCTCTCTCTTTCTCTCTCTCTCTCTCTCTCCATCGCTTGGAGGACAAGAGTGCCCGCAGACGCATTTCTCTCCAGAGCCCCCCCTCTCCCTCTTTCACTCTCTCTCACCCTGTCTAACTCTCTCCATCTCCCTGCTACTCTCTCCTTTACGCACACACAGTGTTGTCAACAAAGCTGGAGAACAAGGGACGAAGGGGGAACAGGGGAATAAAGGTCCAAGGAGGAGGAAAGTAACACGCAGGACCACTCGCAACATTACACCTGGGCGCTTGGTAAGTTTACAAAAATCTCGTGCGTTTATGTGTAATGTTCTGTTCAGAGGACATTTCTTTAAAATGGACCTCATTGGAGGTCTTCAGCGTCCATAACGAGTTTCTTTACCGCCAACATCGGCAAGTAATTCCTGAAAATTCCCTAAAAATCGGATGAATGAATTCTGGTTCCCCCAGCTGCTTCTTTCGATTAGGTGAAGTTTGACCTTTGACACCATGCTTCTCCAGTAGGTTTTCAGATTTCGCTCTTAGCATTCCTTTCTGACTCTTGACAGAGTATATTTATGAAAAACTGCAGGTAATTTAAGATAAGAGGAGATCAAGAGAAAAGCTTCAATCTGTGTTCCCTTACTAAGATAATGATGTTTAACGATACTTAAGCCTTGAGTGAAATAAAAAAAAAATGAATTGGCTAGGTTTTTATGGAGATTGTGTTCATAAATTTGTTTCATCTGTGTGCGATGTGCTGTTTGTGTCTTTTAATGCAAACGCGCGTGTGTGTGTGTGTGTGTGTGTGTGTGTGTGTGCATGCATGCTCATTTCTTACCAGCAAAGATAGCTCTAAAAGCAAGTAGCATAATAAATGTCATAGCTTTCAGAGTGGCTTCTAATGTACCTTAGCTCCCAATGGTATACTAGCCTACCAATGTATAACACACACGCGTTACGACAGCGGCCGTGTAACTAACTCCATTTCTGTCTGTCATCATGAGGCTAATTCACCACAATGCCGACCATGTGTGAACTCATGCGATATGAACCCCTCCTTCTTTTTCTTCTTCTACTTCTTCTCCTTTTTGTCCCTCCTCCTTACCCCCTGCAGAAAGGATAGTAGGAGTCGAAGGAGGGAGATAGGAGCGAAGGGCGATTGGGAAAAGGGCCTTTATTTTCTCTTCATGGTGGTTTGGACTCTCGTAGTATGTATGAGAAGTTAACCATGCTGAACCTGCAGAGCGGCTCAAACTGGAGTGGACCCAACAACTGGTACCATGACCCCACTGGTGTTCAGACACAACACAGTACAGGTGAGGGGGGGGGGGTCCTCAACACATGTCCGTACTCAAGTTGTCTGTTAAATGAAGTCGTTTCTTGTCACATGCGTAATATTTTGTGAACTTGTTGTTTGTTTATAGCATTAATCCTATGTCTTCCATTCTGTTGTCACCTTCCCTTCCTGCCAGTGTCTGACGGCTGTCTGCTGGACACAGAGGGCAGCATGGGGGGAGAGGTGGGTGGAGGAGGGGGGGGAACAGGCCGAGGGGGAGGAGGGGGAGTGCCTGTCGACAGGGACGATGGCGAGGAGTCGCAACTGAGGCTGCAGCTGAAGAGGAAGCTGCAGAGGAACAGGACCAGCTTCACGCAGGAGCAGATCGAGGCTCTGGAGAAAGGTCAGGCCACTCGGTGCACGCACACCAGGCTTTCTCCCTCTGTCTCTCTTTCTCTCTCTCGCTCTCTGCCTTTCAGCCAATCGCTGCCCCCCCATGAGAGTGTCATGACGCAGCTTTGTCTTGCTGCTTTTCCCCTGCCAACACCTTTGTTATTGCAGAACAGTATTTAAACCTTTTTTTTAAATAAGCTTTATGGTCAAATATTTATACAAACATTACACAAAAAATTAGACCCTCAAACTGTTTTTGTTTTTTTGCTTGACAAATGATGCATTAAAACCTATTTGTTGCTTTTTTTTTTTTTTTTTTTACACTTTTGGACGCAAATGATCCATAATCTAAACTCCACAAATATTCCCGATGTGCTCCAAAGCGCCTCTAGCAGCGTTCTCGATAATGCATCATTACCGAAGCTGTGTTGTGCGGCGAGATCTGGCCCTTGTAGCCTCGTATCTACTGAGAGGGATCACAGAGGCACCCTTGACTGGATATGGCTGCAGCAGGGCCCCTTGAGCTAAATCAGGACGCAATGTCCACTGTGCAGCCAAGTGGAAGTGTATCACTGTGGTCACTGTGTGCAAAATGACATTAATGAGGTACGCTGACCTCAGTGTGCGGCCGAGGCACAATAACAATCATGTGTTGACACAGACGCCAATTATAACCCAGCCAATTATAGCAATTTGTTAGTCAGACTTAATTCATGGGTTCGTTATCGGTGTCATTGTGCAGTATTTATTAATTTATCACGTGTTTGCCGTGTGAAAAAGAAGTTATCGACACCTCTGGTAATCTGTTAACATGAAACGCTCATCACAAAAAAACATAAAAACAAACATCGCCAGCCATCGTGCTGCCTTCTCATATGAAATGAGTTGTGTTTACAACCAAAGTTCAAATTGATTTATTTGTTTTTGAATCTGCTTTGACATTCTATTCAAACTGACGTTAAGCATCGTGGGAGCAGACAGTTCAATTTATAAAGATGTCTTCTTTAACAGACCTGAAACTTCAGAGTTCATTAGGATGACTCAGACTGTCGCCATATTCTCGTTAGGACTGTCAGCAACAAAAATGTCAGCAGTTTGTCAACTAAAGATGATGTGACACATAAAAAAGTGATGCTTTAGTATAAGAAAGTGTCAGTGCTACAAAGACGCTGTTGTTTAAACAACGCTGAGTCATGAATTAATTTACCTCTGGGCCTCTGAGTCAGATACTAACAGAGAAAAGTTTTGATAAATGGATTGATAGAAGAAAAAAAAAGAAAATCCAAAATGAATGATTCTTTGAGTTAAGTTTGAGTCCTCCTGAGTGCTTAGGCAGCTTCTCAACTTGAATCCTTTCATTTGAACTTTCTGCGTGTTCCATAATGATAAATAATTGATACAAAGTGCAACAGATAAATATTTTAAAGTATGGTTGTAAGGATACATCTCAGCTTCCTGAATTTGTATATTCCATGGCATGATAATTAGCAGTGCTTATTTCAAGCAGGGATTATCGGATATGCGGATCAATATTTGCTGTAATATTCCGATCATTAATACGTGATTAAAACACATTTGCATTTTAATCTGCGTGAAGAATGAATTCCGCTTTCACATAGATGCACAGATGAATGCAAAATATGTTAACAGCCTGCAGCAAGGGTTATCGGACGAGCTGCTCTCCAGTAGTCCTGTCATCCTCGATTACAGCTCACACTGTGTCTCTGACATTAGTTAATATCTTCCACAGAGTTTGAAAGGACACATTACCCCGATGTCTTTGCACGGGAGAGATTGGCAAATAAGATTGATTTACCAGAGGCCAGGATACAGGTAAAGGAACCTTTCTAGTTTTTTTTGTTGTTTTTTTTTTTACAACATTTATTCTCAACCTGTATAATGTCTGTTAGACGAATGACATTGTCTGACACACATGATGAAGAGACATTTTTGATGGTCAGGTATGGTTCTCAAATCGAAGAGCCAAGTGGAGGAGGGAGGAGAAGCTGCGCAATCAAAGGAGGTCAGGAGGAGTGACTTCCTGTTCACAGAGCCAAGCCCCTCTGACCACTTCCTTCAACACCTCCGTCTATCATCAGCAGCACGGCAGCAGCTCAGGTAACTCAGGTCACCACTCTGCAATAACAATGTATGATTCCACTCATAATTACTTTCTTAGGCTCGTTACAAGATAACAAACCTCAATTCAAGGTCATAATACTTTCGAACTATTTGTTTTTTATTATTATTTTGTTTTCAATTTCAGTTGTTAATGCTGGTTTGTTAGTACAGTTTGTGTTTTTGGTAAATGCTCAGCTTTATTTTAGTGTTAGTTTATTATTTTAATGGATACTTTTCAGGCACAAGACCCAAAAGGATCAGAAATCAAATTGTGTACATAAAAATCGAAATATCCTCCCATTAAAATTTTTTATCCAATTTGACTCTAACTAGCGCTGCCGTGCTGTCACACCAAGACTGATTGGAAACACAGTTTGGTGACATCACAGCGTCCCAATATACTCAAAGAAAAAGCAAACTGAAGGCTTTTTCTTTGAAATAGAATTTACTTTAAGTCAGATGTGAACTCACAATGTAGTTTCAGATATCATTTTTTGTAAGGCCTTGTTTTTTTAAATTTAAAATCAGTTAACGAAAAGGATTTTATAGTTTTTGTCATTTTGTTACTTTTCATTGACGATAATAACCTTTCCTCAGAAATCTCCTTGACTTTTTAACGCTGGAAAACCAGCAGAGTCTCCATTAGAAGTGCATCTATATTACAACACTTCCATTCTGAGATGTTCTCATCACAAGTGTGTGTGTGTGTGTGTGTGTGTGTGTGTGTGTGTGTGTGTGTGTGTGTGTGTGTGTGTGTGTGTGTGTGTGTGTGTGTGTGTGTGTGTGTGTGTCTCTCCAGGGTCCATGTTGAGTCAGGCTGAGTCGTCCCTGCCCAGCTACAGCTCTCTGTCAGTTTTCTCATCCGGAGTTCAGGTTGGACATTCATCATTCATCATTCATCATCAGCACCTCCAAAACTTTAGCAAAGCAGGTCATCTCGACACAGCAGAACGGGGATATTCACTTTAGAACATCGGGGGCATAAATGTAGATATACAATAAAATATCATACAATGTATGTATGCAAATAAGAATACAATCAGATACATAAATACAATAATAATAACACTGCAGGTTTTGTGCAACTGCTATGTATTTTTTTTTTTCAAACAAGCAAATATAAGATATGTGCAACAATGAGTCTCTTTAATAATAATCTTATTAAAGATAATAAGTAATAGAAATAGAAATAACAGTAATAATGAGACTGAAAGGTAGAAACCCTGTAAAAAAGGAAGCGTGATTTTAAGCTTATATATATTTACACTCTGAAGAGGCATAAATGTCAAAAACAATCTCTGAAATCTGGTTTCTGATTTGGTGTTATTAAGATTAGAAACCAATTCTGGGGCTTCATTTGCATTGATTTGATCAGAGTGACGAGTAAAGAGAACTCTGTGGGTTTCCTTTCACGGTTGTATTTTAAGACAACAAAGGTCTTTATCAGTCAGAGTTTATCAAGCTGAACAATGTGCGCTGAACCACAAGACTCAGAGGTCAAAAGGTCTCTGCAGCGTGACCCTTTGTTTGGGGATCATAAGTAATTAATTAATTATTTTTTTCAACTGGAGGGTTCCAAGAATTCTAACATTGTTTGTCAGAAGTAGCAATTGCAGAGCTTCAGATTAAATTTATTTCTATATTTATAGATATGTATTTATGTATATCAACCATATTCACATTTTTTTAAAACCCCTTGTTCTTTATTGGAATACATTTACTTTCAAGTAGAGTTTGATTGTTTCTAAGAGGTTCACAAAGTAGTGATGACAAAAAAAAGAATAACTTAGATTGACAAAGTATCAGTTCAAAAGGCAGTACAAGCCAAATGTAAAGATGTGAAAATATGTGTAAAAATAAGACATATGTTATACAAAGAAAAACGGCTGCTCCTGTAATGTCACTCTAGCACCTCCTTGTGGTTAAATTGTGTCACAACTAAAAACTGCCTTCATGTAATACAGGGCAATGACCAGAACAGGCTTTATACTTCTTATTGAGCGGCTCCACAGATAACAGTAATTTTATGTTGGTCTATTTAGAATCTAATCTTTATCTCTTCTCTCCCTTCACTTTCAGTCCATCCCTCCTCAGTCGGCCTCCTCCTACTCCTGTATGTTGCCTCCCTCCCCCTCTGCCCCGCGAAGCTTTGACTCCTCAGCGTACTCCTCCCCTCATCTGCAGACCCCGTCCTCGGCCAACTCCAACACCGGTGAGTGTTACTTAACACAAAAAAAAAAAAAGAGACACCTACTGTCTGTTATCTCTGCCTGCTCACTGACATTCACGCTGAATTGAACTTTTTCCTCTGCCTCACACTGACACTTGTTTTGTTTTTTTTCTCTCCTCCACTCAGGGCTCATATCGCCCGGCGTTTCAGTGCCGGTCCAGGTTCCAGGAGCTGAGCAGCAGAGCATGAGTCATAACCTGGGTCAGTACTGGGCCAGACTACAGTGAACTACAGACAATCAAAAAAAAGAAGAATAGGAGGGACACAAAGGGGGCATGTAAGATAAAGGTGTCAAGAAAACAATACGGGGACAAGTATGTTAGAGGAGGCACAGGACTGAGATAAAAAGGGGGCCTCGATGAGTTAAAGACCCCGAAATGCATTAAATGTTTACAAATTCAGCCAAGAGCAGCTTTGGTTGCACTTGACAGTAGCTCTGCTGGTATTTGCTTAGTACTATCAGGTTGCACTCACTTTTTTTGTACATAGTGTAAATAATAAGGCTGAAAGGGATTAATTGTCAGCCTGAGATGTGTTAAGGATTACGTTAAAATCAGGATTAGGATCAGGTTTAAGTGAGGATTTAGGTTACACCATCTATTGAGATGCAACAGGTGTAAGAAGCCTCATAGCTGAGTGTTAGTACTGGACCCTATACATTTTTTACTGTGTTGAACACTTTGGCTTTCAATTAAATTACATTTTTCAGTCTGGGAAAGAAAGAAAAAACACCAGAAAGAAAAACGGGTACTTTATTTGCCCTAGATTCTGCTCTTTTAATTCATTAAAGTTTGATCCTATTTTATTTAAAGAGCCAAAGATTTGGTTGAAAGCTCGAAAAAAAAGTCAGTTAGCGGATTCAAAAGCCAATAATCTTTTGTAAGAGATTGTTTGATTTATGTTGAGATTAACTTCATTGTCTCCCAAAGTTGTTGCAACAAAAACGAAAGTGTGGGAAAATGCAGCATGAATAACAGGCTTGGAATGATCATTCTGCCACAGAGAACTACTTGAGTAAGTGATGTGGTTGTACTAAGTAAATATCAGCAGATGTCTGTATAGTGAAGTGTAACCACAGTTTGTTTCTTGTTACTTGAGCAGCTCAATGACGTTGTTATATGACGCTTGTTCCCCAAGCATTTGCTGTGTGAGGCTACTGTGAAGAGTTTGACTTGCTCATGGCAATCACTTTTACTTAAACCTTTAAACCTAAAAAACAAACAAAAAAAATGTAAAACCTGCCTACCCTGCCAGCAACATTACACTAAGACTGATACTGCATATTTTTGTACAGACATCGGTGTATGATGACGATAACTGTGGAAATTGTCAGATATTATTGGAGGGAAGAATGTAGCATGTTGTGGACTCAAATCATCCCACACAAATCATTAAGGATGCATCGTATCAGTGTCGGTATCAGATTCCATCTGGTGCGTGGCTGAATATGAAGTTATTGCATATTTAAAGGTATCAAAGAAAAAACACAAGGTAAAGCATTTTCATTTGATTTTACAGATATACTGCAGCAATTCTAAATAAGTTTAGCATTGATATTTACTTGGATTTGTGGGGATTTTTTATATATCCTAAACTATCAGCCAGTGACAATCATGTATTATTACACAGCACAAATAACTCTGAATGCAAAAACTTGCAAGACAATCAAAGCAGGAGGTGGAGAAGATATAAAAACGAGGGCAAAACTGTGAAATTCTTGCATCACTGTCCATACAATAGCAATGACATTATCAACTGTGCATGACCAAAAACAAGCTGCTATAGACAATCAGCCACTTACAAAAGCAGAAGTGTACATGGCAGGGTTTTAACCTCTGCTCACCGTCCTCCGACTATCAGTTCTGTCGATGCATCTCAGTTTAATCTGCAAGAAACGTCTTTCAACTCTTATTTATTTGTCTTTTCACTCGTTCACATAAGTCCTCTGTGTTGTTTCTGTTGTCGTCGTGTGTTGTGTTAGTACTGTATAGCTACCAAGAGTCAACCCTTTTGTGAAGGCCTTGGATCCCTTTAATGAAAATAAAAATGTGTGTCATGAAAATCCGTTCAAAGGTCTTTATTTCTGATGTTCTATATCCTCTTTACAGTCCACGTAGTTCAGTTAAAAATGGTTGAAATAACATGGGGGTATAACTTGAAATGCATGTTTTGCAGATGTATATTCTAAAATATTCATCACCTTTACTAATAAATGTTTCTATCATTTATTTAGGCAAATTTAGTATGATGTAAAACATGTACGATGTATGATCATTTTATCTTTTTTAAAGACAAGTATTATTTTTGTTTTGCTTTTGTCAGCACCTGGAATGATTAACTAGTAAAATGTGTTTATTTGAAACAAAGTGAGCATAGGTGTAGTTGTACACTGCAGGGATCACTCCGTGTCAAGAACCTATAAAGAAAATAAACTATTTACTGTAGTCCCTCTAAAATCCATGGAACATGCAGTTTATGTCATTTCCTTTTTTTTTTTTGGGGGGGGGGGGGTTGAAATCAATTTGGGGTTTGAAGCTTGTTTCTGCTGTCCTCAAGTGGCCAGAAAATGTTATTACAGGTTTCAAAGAATACAAAAAAAAAAAACACGTTTTGGTTAATATGTTGCGTTGGAGCCATGGATGGATATAACTGTCTTTGTAGTATTTATTTAAGCTTAAGGTAGTCTGTTATATATTGGTGTTTTGGGTTATTGATTATTATATCATTCATTAGGATTATATTGAGTAGGGGGGATATCATAAGTTAAGTTAATTATCTTTTTTCGTTAATAAAAAGGTCAAACTTATTTTACATATCACAGTATTCTTTTGAAGGGCGTCAGACTAAGATATTAGGCCCAACCTTAGCCTCTCAGCGGCTTCATTGTTCAGGAAAGCCGCTATATTTTGTATGCATGTTTATACCATTGATCCAACAGACCCATGTTAACTTAACTTAGAAATGACTGTCTTTGTGGTTCACAATGCAAACTAGGGTTTAGGGTTGGGGAATTGAATAACTCTAACACTGTTTTAATACTATGATACCACTGAAGAAATGTCTGTTTACAGAGGAAAAATACATCTGGCCTGAAAATGTGAGGGCATGGATTTCAATAGGCTCCAAGCGATGTGAAGGTAATATTAACATATTAAAAGATATTGCTGTGAAGTAAGGTCCCAGTAATACTTTATTTGCAAGAGGTATGGAGTTGGGGAACCCTATTTAGGATATAGGCCCACAGTGGTTATTGGAAATGTTTGTCACCTTGTTAAAAAACAAACTTCGACCAACCCCCTGGAGCTTCTTTTGAGGTTCTTTGTCCTCCATACCTTGAGAGTGACAACAGTATAGATATGAGTGTGTCATAATCATTTATACTGAATGCTGGGAATCTGAAGGACCTTTATGTCTTCCTCTGGTGCAGCAACATGAACTGGTCATCACTGAAACTGGACCACCATTAGCAGGGCAGCCATTTGTGCTAATGGTCTGACTCACTTGGATCCCTGGAGGATGGTCAGAAATTAAAGATGGGAGAGGAAGGAGAGGGGGAGGAAGGGAGAGGGAGAGAGAAAGATAATACCAGTGATGCTTTGCAGAGAGAATGACCCACCAACATAATGGGACTCAAAGATGAGATGAGAGATTCCAGTGCACTCCAGTTTAATGTAGCTTCAGTTTCCATTCAATGTGTGCCATCATGAGAACTTTGTGTGATTAACACTTGCAAAAAAAGAAAAAGCTTCTACAAAAAAAAAAGATTTGGCGAATCATTTTTATAGATTCATTCCATGTTGACTAATATAGAAGAACAGGGATGTCAGTATCAAAATAAATAATCAAATCAGCTCGAAATGCATTTATTCAGTGTGAGTGGGATGGAAAGTAAAGTTGAAAATGTTTTTCAACTTTTTTTTTATTAATCAGTTTCATTTAAGCTTTAATTTTCAGAACTACTGCCATTCTTATCAATATTGAGAGCATACTTAGCTAAATAGTTCTAAAGTAAACCTGTCACTGAATATGGAAATAAATATTATTAATGACAATGGAATAATCTACAGACATAACAACAGAATGAAAATAATGAATGAACCTAAAGATTTTGATAATGCCATCTAAGCTCAATTTGAATGAATAAAAAAAATGTAATTTTTGCATATTTTTTTAACATCATTTTAATGTCTGCATCTGTGATATTATCAATCAAACATCAAGCCCCATCAACTTAAACGTCCTTCAATAAAAAAGCAATAATAAGAAAACACGTTTTGTTTTTTTCTTCTTCCTATTTTTCAGGGATGCCTTTTGTCTCACTTTGGAGAGAGTAAGAGCACATGTTGGTCTATATCTTTTCACAAAGAGTTTTTAGATGTCATAATGTCGTCAAACTGTTTAATTCCTACATACTGTATAACCTGAGTTAAAACAAACTTGAATCAACACAAAGGACGACGGCAACTACTTTTAGAGATGTCTACGAAAAGTGAAATTCAGATCAGATTTGTGGCTCGCGCCAGTGAAACCCAACGTAAAGAATGAGTATGACTACACATCACGGAAGACGTCTCACTCCTCTGTGAGGGAGGGGAGGAGGGAGGGGAGGAGGGGGGGCGGCTAGGAGAGTCGACTGATCGATCAGCCCAGCCTAGTCCCAAGAGAGACTGAAGGGGAGACACAACGGTGAGCTTTGTTTCACTTCTCTTCTTCTCTTCTTTGGGTTTCAATTGAGGAATAATAAGCTGCAAATGTTTTGTTTTCTCCAAATAACAAGAAGTTTTATCTTGATAATGTCAAGCGTTTTCTTTTTGCAGTGACTGGGATGGAGTTGGGTCTTCTGCTGTCGATGGTTTTCACCTTAACGGGAAGCACATCAGCAGTGCCAGTGACTGACCAGTATAGCAGAGCAGTGGTAAGTGTTTCCTGAACTTTTTTATCTGTGTTTCGTAAGATCTCTTAAGAGTCATTATATTCTGATTATTCTTTAATGTTTGATTGAGTTCAAATCTATTTAGAACAATAGTACATATCGTTGATTTTTGTATGACTATGATCATTTTTTGTGTGTGCCAGATTTAGCCTATAATCCATGCCTTGCTGATATAATATTATAAAGTATGGTGCAAAACATATTGTTTGTTTTGCCATCCTTGTTCATTGTCCCAATGGGCTTTCTGAAACTTTTTTTTATTAATAAAAGCAGGATGACATATAGAGCACATGATATATTACACAGCGGCCGGTGAACATGATATGGTGGTCAGATGACTCATCTGCCATTAAATTAAAAATAAATGCAGATTTTTTTGTTTGTGTATTTGAAGTAGGCCTGGGAGATATAACGATAACGATGATTATTGTTATATAATTAATTATTGTGACATCATTTTTATTCAATAACAAATGTTCGATAGATTTAAGCCTATACAATACACTCAACACATACATTGATAGAAGGGAAGCTGTCATGGATTGTCCAATGTTTTTTTTTATACATCTTTTAATTATTTTCATAATGTGTACTATAGCCAGCATCCTTAGACGCACATACAAAAAAGAAAAAATAATGAGTACAAGAGTACACTGTCCTTCTCCCTACTCCTCCACTCCCACCCCTACCCAGAAAACAAACCAACATCGACAAATATACAGAAACAAATAATAATGAAACAAAAAGCTACAACACATGTTGTCCAATGTTTTTTTATCACACACTGCATTTGGAAACTTCAAGACTTCCTTTGTCAAGTCATGCACTTCCTCAAAAAATGTGTCACCTTGCAATTTTGCAAATATGAGCAACTGTGTTACAACAGTGTGTTACATGTCTGATGCACCATGATGCTGGAGCTAAGCATGGGAAAAAAATGTGAATGAAAGTCAGTCTTCTTTAGGCCTAAGTAAAAGCATACAGCTTGTTTGTACACAAACATTTTTGGTCTTGTTTTGCCATTAAAAAGAAGTTTTAATGTGTATATGACAGCTTGTTGTGAGCTCAGCATGGCAAGAGAACACCTCAACTACTGCGCGAGGGTAAAGGAAGGGAAGGGCAGGTTTCAAAATCACTTTGAAGTAACTGATTTTGAGATGCATGCTCAACAGGAAGCAACAACACCAGATTAAACCGTTTATTTTACCACAGTCGGTCCTCTTCAGATTACCAAATTTCCGCCTGTTTCTTTTTTTTCTGTATAGGATTGGTTGAGCAGGTATGGCTACCTGCCTCCTCCGGACCCACGAACAAGTCAACTACAGACCAAAAAGGGGCTCGAGAAGGCCATTCGTGTCATGCAGAGATACGGGGGAGTTCCTGAAACCGGGGTGCTGGGTAATGAATTCTCTGCTTGGGTATAACAGGACAAAGCATTATGTGTCCTGTATGTTCGATTCACACGTCATACAAGACTTAAATAGCCTTTAATTTTCTTTTAACGATGTGATCAACTTCTCCCCCAGACGATGCAACCTTCAAACTCATGTCCACACCACGGTGCTCTCTGCCTGACATTGTTGGGAGTGAGGAAATGCTGAGAAGGAGGAGGAGGGCGGTGAGGAGGAAGAGATACGCGCTGTCGGGCCTTAAGTGGCATAAGACAGACCTCACATGGAGGTGTGTTTCCTGTCATGCTACATTGTGGCTTATCTCCTTCCTTTGTTAATCATAGAGCTATATTTATCATTATTTCAGTGGTTTGGTTTTCTGAGAAGTTCTTTTTGTGAAGGGTCACATAAGCTTAGGTCAGTGTATATTTTAATGTCTGGAAAACTAGAAAAAAAAAAAGTGGTCCAAAAATGTAGTTTAAAAGCGCCGTTAAAGGACCAGCTGTTTCAATACCTTCATTATTTTTCTGTAGCACTCAAAAATGCTTCACTTTACAACATGGTTTTCAAAAATTGCAACACATGGAAGAAGGGGAACTTTTTTTAGCTACTGACTATACATATTTGGTGCACTATTACGAAGTATTACGAATGTTGGATTCATTGGAATTAGAGTAATAATCTTTTTCAGTAATGACAGGAAGCCAAGTGCAAAAGTGTGGCTTATTGATGTGTGCATTCATTCTTGGGCAACAAGGAACATCTATGACATACAGAATGAAGTATATCAGTTATTGGTTATACGTGCAATATTTGTTAGAAGGATGTTTCATTGTTGAGTTTATTTTATTCATTGGATTTGTTTACGATAAGAGAAATTTTGAAGATTCTGAACATCATGATTAAATGGCCGTAGTCTTTAGGCTATTATTTGGTTATAGCCTACTTTTAATTCAAATCTATTCCTGTCTTTAGTGTCCACAACTACCCATCATCACACTCCCCCAGCCTGTCAAGCAGCTTGGTGGTCAGCATCCTGACTAACGCCTTCAAAGCCTGGAGCGACTCGGCCCCCTTGAGAATCCATCGGCTTGACGTTGACAGCGGGAGGGCGGAACCTGAAGGGGACATCAGAGTGTCTTTTTCCCGCTCGCTTCACAACGACGGGTACCCTTTTGACGGGCCGGGTGGCACCCTGGCCCACGCCTTCTTTCCCACCGGGGATGAAGTTGCTGGTGACACTCACTTTGATGATGATGAGATCTGGAGCTATGGAGGTATTTCCTAATTCGCATCATGGCTTTTGGGATATACGCTGGTTAAGAATAGCTGTTCTCAAGATTAAATCTGTCTACTCACACACAAAACATAATGAAAAAGTTATCTACAGTAGAGGAAAAGAGATCTTGTACTTTGTGACGACAAACCCAGAATTAAACATTGTTCAAGTGATCCAGTAAGGTAACACTTGCACTTCACACTTCCTCAGGTGACGCTGGCACTACCGACTTGTTCACAGTTGCAGTCCACGAATTTGGTCACGCACTCGGCCTGTCCCATTCCTCCTCTGATCCGTCCATCATGAGGCCTTACTACCAGGGCCCTGTGGAAAATATCCAAAGATTCCAGCTGGCCCAGGACGACAGGCTGGCTATCCAGCAGCTTTATGGTCAGTGAGAAAGTATATTTCATCCCTTTTACAGAATTGACAAGTCTATTTGTCAGATACATTATTATCTCAGTTATTATTATTATCTCAGTATTACCAATACAAGATTTTGTATTGGTTCCATGCCTCTCATAGCTACATTTTGTTAAGGTTTTGGCTAATGGAAGTACAGAAATAGAATGTAACCTACAAATAAAGAGATAAGAAGGCTAGATTGCAAAAGATAGATTTGCTGTGTGCATGTGTGGGGAAACAAGCCTAACAGACTAGTTTAGTGTATTAGCTCTACATGATATCATAATCATGCTAATATCTCTATGAAGCTGTGTTTAGCAGTGGTCTAACATGCTCACAGCAACATTCTTAGAATGAGATGGTAATATTTACAATGTTCCCCACTTTAGTTCAGCTTTTAGCGTTATATACAGTATTTATAGCACTCAATTAATTACAGCTGAGACTGGCCAGATTTTTTTTTTCTCGTTTTTTTGCAAGTGTGAAAGGCTGAAAAAATAAAGCTGTAGCTAAAGAAGGCTTACTAAAACGGCAGTTCATTAAATGTCCACTTGGGGCTGGCTCCAGTCCTTGATAAAATGCCAACTACATAGCAGAATTAAATGTATTTCTAGCATAGAACAAACAACAGTTTTGGTTTCTACAGCTCATGTATTCATTCATGAATACTACAATAGATGAAGGCATAAATGTATTTATAATTAAGGGGTTTGTTTGCTTTGATTAACAGGTAGGTGCTGCTACCTTACTGATTTGTGTCCACTCAGCTAATTCAACTAACTGAAATAAAACCTTTTTTATTCAACATCCTAACATGGTCACCTCTTAATCCATAACAATTTAGATGGCAACAGCCAATTTGCCAAACATCATTATTAACATACACATTTTAACCTGGTGATTGCATAAGAGGGAAGTCAATGGATCATTTAAGTTGTTTGAACAAGCATAAATGTCGACACCATGTTTTGGTGCAACACATTCAATAGTTATTGAGACATTTTAATGTGGGCCATGGTAGTGGTCAGCCAATCAGCAGTCTGACCAACATTAACGTTCAAGCAACTTGCATAGCTACAAATGTTTCTGAGTTCCTTCTGGCCTCTTATCTTTTTTTAGATTTGTCAGACTACAGGATTTGATTTGTATAAAATGTTAACTGTGCATGTAAGCGTGGTCTCTGCGTTGGGCTCTGGCCTGGTAAGTTCCCCCAAAATGGAGAAGTGGCCCTGAAATCCAAGAGAATAAATGTTTACATGATGTTTAAAGGCTTTATATGTGATTTTTCACACTTAAATATAATATAAATCAAGTATATCCTCTGAAAATAACTCTGTGAGTCATGACTGTCTACAACAGGTGTAACACCTGAGTCCCACTGTCTGTGATGTTTTCCGAGTTTTCCGAGTCATATCTTCAGTTTGTTTACATCGCCCGGATGGCGGCTGACTCTTCCCCTCGCAAATAAAAGTTGTTTAATTGAGGGACTAGAGAAAAGAAGAATAACACACTGTACTCACTGCTTAACTGTGTTTCTAGATCACGGTCATTTCGGGTAAATTTACATGCAGTGTGAAGATACGAGCATAATAAAGATCGCTAGCATTAGCATGCTAACACAACAATGCACCGCGAGTTGTTTTGGTTTCATGCTGGTGCTTCATCTGCTGGATCAAAAATCGCATATAAAGCCTTTAAGCTTCATAAAACACTCCAAGACGTATATGAAAAGCCATGAAAAGCCAATCAAGAGGGCACAAACCACCCTGTAATAAACTATTTTAAAACTGGAGCACTAATGTGTGAAAAGGTGCACACAGGCAACAGGGGGTTTCAACAGCTTCCTTCTGTGTGTTAAAAATAAAGCGTGTGCATCCTGTGTGTCAAACCCCCAGGCAACTAAGAGGAATGTTGGTCGCTTGCCAAATTTTTTCAGTGCTTTCATCACCTTGCACAGCCTCTTCTATGTTGTCTGCTGACATGGTTCTGTTGTAGGTGTGAAGGGTGACGGGCCACCAGGTGGTGTTGATCCTGATGTCCCACGCCTGCCCAGTCCACCTCCTCCCAGGCCGACACAGCAGTGAGTAGAGCCAGAGGAAACAATAAAAAATACTGTTCATCCATTCAGACAATAACCCATAAGATATGCATTTACAAACTATGAATGGACTTTCAAAGCACTCTGCACTCTCTTTCTCCCAGACGTATGAATGATGAACAGTAGTTTAAGACCATGTGGTTCAGATAAAAGCCTTTTGATTGATTCTAGCTGTTGCAGTGACAACTGTTATTGCACCCTCCAGTGAGTTTTTGACTAACTACAACCAACAAATTCATTTTACTAAATTTTCCATCCAAGTTCTGACCCCTTGTTCAACGAGCGCTGTCAGGGTGGCTTTGACGCAGTGGCAAACCTCCGAGGAGAGGTCTTCTTTTTTAAAGGTAAGAGGAAAGCATCAGGGATGCACAAAGTAGACATTTTATGAAATAAATACATGCTTTCAATTTCCCAAACCAGTGCTAATCTTTGTCATACAACAAAAATATATTCAGAAGTTGAATCTATTTATGTTTCATGCCCATCTACATCATCTGCTCTGTGTCTGTATACTAAGTCACATGTGTTTTTGTTGTGTTCCTTCTCTTTCCTTGTACAGGGGCAAACTTTTGGAGGACTAAGCAAGACAGGTCTTTGGTGTCCTTCAAGCCAGCTCAGATCAAAAACTTCTGGATGGGCCTTCCGCCAGGAACAAACCGGATCGACTCTGTGTACGAGAGGAAGAGTGACAGCGCTATTGTCTTCTTTATTGGTGAGAAACACTCCCTGTGTTTATGTGTCGGTTAGGTGAATCTATATCTTGTAACGCTGAGTCAAAGTCAGAGGTAAGAACATTGTTGACTCTTCCTCCTCCTGTGTATCGTCCCTTTTTCACACATTATTAAATAACAGAACAAGTTTTTCTAATGTTATTTTTTTTTTACTTAGAACATGCAAAGTGATGTTGATTTATATATATATATATATATACATACTTTTGAGCAAGTTACAGAAGTGATCACTAGATTAAGACTTTTTTTTAATGCATAAACAAAGTATTCAAAATATGTTTATATGTTTTCTGATATATGTTATGACAAACACATTCTCAGTAGGGAGATTCAATTTGAGTTATTATCTGCATTTAATGTCAGATTTGAAAGTTTTTCATCTTTGAGTTTTAAAGTTAAATTTGGACGTGAGCTTTTTGGTTAAAAGAAAAACATAATGAAAATCAATTGTTTCACAAAAAAGGTTACTTCACATCAAATATTTTTAAGATCATTCAAGTCTCATTAAATGATAGTAATGTATATAAAATAAAGCCAATACGTGAAGACCAATTAGGTGGACAGGGTATTAATCGTTCTTTTCTCCAAAGCTAAAATCAGTTCTTGAGCATTTTGACTGTAAGGTTGCTCCTTAGTTGCTGCTTGATGTTTGAAAAAATGGTCACCTGCAAGGGTTTTTCTAGAATTAAATAATTTTCAAGATACTCCTGATCTGTATAGCACTTCTGACCTACCTTGGAGACATTTTTGCTACACTAACTACATCTGGCCAGTGGATGGCACTGTGTGAGATGATTTGCTAACATCCACTGAAGTAAGAGGTTGAAGCTACTTCATCAAAACCTGATCAAAACCCATGCATTAAATGGGAAAAGGCTGTTGAACAATTGTCTGCTATAGTGACTACTATAGATCTGTTAAACTTTGAGAAAAAAAAAATCACCTTTTCAATTGTTAAATTTAAGTAGGATAATGTTTAAATAAACACAATGTTGCATTTTTAATCAATTCTTAATCATTTTTATTGTCATAATTTAATCTACTCATCAGGCTTGTCAGATAAATAAATAAAATGAGAAACAAAATGTAAACCCACAACATCATGATATAATACAAAACCAATTCTCATGTCTATGCAGGATCTCAGTACTGGGTCTTCAAGGACACGCATGCCATGAGTGGTTACCCTCGGCCGCTCTCTGATTGGGGCATGAAGACAAGCAGCGGGAGGGATGTGGAGAAGGTGGATGCAGCCTTCATCTGGGCCCACAATGGCAAAACGTACCTGTTCAGTGGTGGGGAGTTTTGGAGGTTTGACGATACCCGTAAGGCTGAACAGGGACCCAGGCAGCCGGAAGCAGGTTACCCGCGGGACAACAGCCTGTGGGCGGGAGTTCCCCCTGACATGGATGACATCATCACCTGGGGGGCAGGTAACATAGTGTTCAGCCGCACAAATAAGTGATGAGATTTTGACACCAGTGCTAGACAAATAAACAAAATCTCAGAGAAGGTTCATTATTGCCTTAAGGTGACATTTTTCAACAGTCATACACAAACTGCCGTAAGGTATGAAGTCAAAAATAGGAAGAACATCATGACTCATGATGACCTGATAACAACAACTATTAAAATCAGTCTCAAGTTTACCCTATAGGGACAAAGTTTGTACCAAATGAGTATTAATCGATTTATGCACAGAATATTACCACATCAAATCCATCTCAAATGACAGTTGGATGAATATTTGGATAAAGATGTCGTCAATACTTGCCACAGTATAATAAGCATGATGGCGAATGAAACACTTGTAGTGTTTTCCCATTCGCAGGAAACTGACATTTTTAGGAGGAGCTGCATGTGTGAATACAAACATGCACATTTTTCATCCGGAGATTATCCATAAGGTTCTCCTGCCAGCCCCTTGGTATTTTTTTCGCAGAAAGTTGGAGTGAGCCTATGTTAGAAAGCAGCAGGATATAATCAGGAGAATTCAACTCGAGCGAGTAAGAGGGGTTGTTGATGTTCTTCCCTTCGGTCGATGCGCAGCCACAGATTGATGACCAGAACGACCTCTGTGTCCGTAATTAAAGTGCTGCATAACGTTTTCTCTTCACCGTGTATGCTCACTGATATGAAGGCAAATATTCTCTTTTAGTCTGTGAACATTACTTCACTTTGTTGTGTTTTTTCGTGTGATTGGACAGCAGTAGAAATGGAAACGTAGACTCACACAATTTTGTACTTGTGGTCATGTCCAGAACATATTGAGATTTGTCAGATGGTTCTGGTGATTTGAGGAGAGACTTACTGCCTAATCAGCTGCAAAGACAAAAAACGCAGCTTCCTAAGCGTTCCTGTTCAGACCCCCCTATGGGCACCTTAAACCAATTGGAATCTTGTCTGATCTGCCGTGTTTCTCTCTACTTGATTTTCCTGTTCTTCTGCCACTGAGACGCAGGAGCTGCTGATACATGTGAAGTCTACACCAAAAGGATCTATGTCCTTGATAAAAGTGAAATCCAGCAGTGCAATATTATTACAGCCTTTGCTTGTTTAGAGGAAAATGACTGCCATGCAGCTTCCCTTTATGAAGACGTAACTTTGACTATAGTCAAAGTACAACATTTTTATCCAGTGTTGTGCATAAGTAAAACTAAAACCAAAAAAATTAAGACCATTGAGTCAATGTTGCTGTTTCGATTCCTACTAAAAGGTGTGTGTGTAGTCCATTGTTTGATTATAATTTTAAGGAATGAGAGTTGCTCTCCTACTGTTTTTTAGGAGATGCCTACTTCTTCAAGGACAACCTGTACTGGGTGTTGATCAACGGCGGACTGAATCAGGGAGACATCACACCCAAATCAATTGCTGTGGAATGGCTCCGATGTCCTGCGACATCCACTGCAGTAATTCCTCAGATACCAAAGGAGTGTCGCTGTGACTTGAAGGGATCATCTTCATTTGTAAGAAGCAGCTGGCTCCTCCTGTACTTTGTTATATTATGTGTTACTTGTGCTTTCATGTAAGGATGTCTGCAGGCTATTTCTTTTTTTATGGTCTCTTTAATTCAGTAGAGTAAAAAATGCTGTTCACATCATCATCCACTTAGAGTACATCCCAACCCACAAGCTGGTTTCCTATTACATTTTTGTGTCATTAAAAGCATATATATATATATACAGAGAGAGAGAGAGAGAGAGAGAGAGAGAGAGTTTTAATATATATTTATATTAAAACTCTGCCTTAGACTTAACCAGGCCTATGCTTTGCCTATCAGAACATATTGCTGACCTGTGAAAAAAGTACATTTGCATCCTATCACCCTTTTACTATACGTTATCAGCCGCTCTTTTGTGGGTATCAGATTACATGGAGTCTGTGTAGGACAATGTGCGGTAATTCAACACAGAAAGGCATGCAGGCTACTCCCTCATAATGAGGTCTTACGAAAGCAACCTATTTTGTGACTGGCGTACACAATCATTATTTAGTGTAATAGACAACTTCTTTATCAGAGTGAATCTTTTTTAATTAAGAGTAGAATTGTGCCTTTGCACACAGAGCAGACTCTTTTCAGTATGAAATGGCCCCATTTTTGATATTTTGTATATTTTTGATTTTGCACATGTCAGTAATGGAAATGAAATTAATATATTTGTTCACATTTTCTAACAGTTGATGATATTAATTCTGCTTGACAGTATTGTTGCAGGATGCACTTTGACTCCGTACTTTACGATACTCTGCACAGCAAATGCAGCAAACGTTGGAACAAAATCGGTGCAAAAATCAGTACACAGTGTGCCACCACCATTGATGTTCTGTGATTGTAATGTTTCAAACATTATCAGTGTTGCTGTTAATGGCTGATATTTGAAATTATAAATTATTTTATGACTGAGAACAGGAGGGGGGGGGTTAACACTTTTCAAAATGACTTTAAAGAATCTAAAATACTTTAATAAAACAAAGGAATTTCAATTATGTTTTGGTATGATTAGAATTTGCTGATATGTGTTGGTGCTTTAGATTTGAAGCTAAGATCTGTAATCATACTGCAGTTAATCATCTGATGCTTAAACTTAGTAGGTCTTTTTGATTTGTATCCATCCATAAAATCATTCCTAAGACTAAATGTAATCACTCTAAAGGTGTGTACTGAACGTTGTTTTGAAGCTGCAGGTCTGTGTTAGAAGTCAACAAAATAAAAATGGTAATGTAAAACATCAAATCAGAAAAGTATTGCCTTTAAATTATTCTTTTTTTGTGGTACCATAGTCCCAATCTTAAACAGTCTTTAATCCCTTGATCTATAACCGCCGTCAAACTGAGGCTGTGTTCTCGCTTTGCTCGCTCTCACTAGCTCACAACCCGCTAAATATTTCCAAAAGAGAACATGCTGCTCATTCTCCACTGACAGGTTGGTGATCATGAGACCACTGATTGGTATCTTTATTAGGAGGATCCCAACCCCAGGGCCATGACAAGGGCAACTTATCTCACCTACAGCAATCACAGGAGGAATGGCAGGTCAGAGCAGAACTAGTTTAGCCTGACTAACTAGTGTTTTTGATCTCCTCATTGTCAGTTGACTCTTATTTTTCTGCTGTCAAATGTCTTCATTTAGGAATTAGCTGCTCTTTCAGTAGGAACACTTCAAATAGGGCACAGTGTACCCATTCGATCAATGAAGAGTTAAGAGTAAATCAATCAATGAAGGTGTCAGTGGCACAGGTAATTTGATAAAGTTAAAATCACACAGAGCAAACGCTACATACAGTACTGTATGTCAATTATATATGGGAGCAAAGTGACTTGGAACAAAATGGCAAACCTTGAAGGAAACTACACCCTCTGATAAATATACTTGTTGGAGCCATGGATGGATATAATTGTATTTGTAGTATTTATTTAAGGCTGAGGTAGTCTGTTATATATTGGTGTTTTGGGTTATTGATTATTATATCATTTATTAGGATTATATTGAGTAGGGGGATGTCAGGTCACATGGGTATGGGTGGAGATGTATTGATTTAACTCACCTGTTCACCTTTTGTTCTCAGTGGAAGAGAGAGGGTGAGCTGGGTTGACGTATTTTTTGTTGACCGCTATTGTTTCTGGTTCACTGTGATTTTGAGTTAATGCACGTTATCATACGGTAAGTTGATTATCTTTTTTTTGTTGATAAAAAAGTCAAACTTATTTTACGTATCACAGTATTCTTTTGAAAGCGCGTCGGACAAAGATATTAGGCCCAACCTCAGCCTCTCAGCGGCTTCATCTTCAGGAAAGCCGCTATAATACTGTAGCAGGCTTCTATGTCATCGGACTGATAGCCACATCTCAAGTGTTTGCTTCAAGTACAGTCCAAATGGAACCAAAATAAATACTATTTTATATTGTATAAAAAGCATTCCTTTTTAATTATTGTAGAGCAGTGGTTCTCATGACCCAAATTTCTGATATTTTTCAACCAACCAGATTCACGTTTGAACCTGTAACGTTCAAAGATGTAAAGCCAAAAACTGAACCAAACAAACTTCACAGACTTTGTGACAAACATTTTTTTCTCCCAGGCGTGCGTTCAGGACCCACTGAAAACATCTTCATGCCCCACTTTCGTATCCTGACCCACCATTTGAGAACCACTGTTCTCTAGAGTTTGTTAAAGTCGGACTAAAATGACAGCAGAGGAAAGAGATTGATACCAATCCATTTTAATTTAGAAACAGTTACATGAGGTCACAGTTCTGTTACATGTCCAAGTAGTGCAGCACAGGGCAACATTATGCAAATCATGGTGTTGATAAATAATGGTGTTCACTGACAAGTCAATCCTTCATTACACCAAGTGTACATAGATCAGTTAAAATTCTGAATTTGGATAGATGATTCTTTACAGGTTATATATATATATATATATATATATATATAGCTGGAATAATACAGGAGACCAACTCATCTGTCTTCCCATGAAACATCTTTCTAAGTAATCAGGTTGACATTAAGAATATTTAAAGCTACAGTGGATAGCAGCAAAGTTCTGGTGGCGTTGAGGCTCAGGTTTGCTGGGATGCTAGAGACCTCCTGCAGACTGAACTGAGGGCACTTACAATAAATAATTCAGTACGTGATTGGATAAAAAGAAAGATAGAACATACAGGCAAACAGCTAAATTCTCCTTCCATGGCTCTAATGCCTCCCCAGAGTAAGGCCCAGAGCCATCAGCACCAGAGAGTAGCACGCCTTGGAGGAAGAGCTAGTGGTCTCTCTGGCCTGTGTGGTGACCTCTTGTGCTGGCTGGATGCCTCTGAAGACATTCAGCATTACCTGTGATTCATTGTTCCCGATACGTGGCAATTCGCTGAAGAGGTTTATCTAGAGAGGAGATAATGGACCAGTTATCTGCATGAAGCAATGCAAGAACATATTTATCACAACCAGCCTGGCTTTAGAAAGAAAAAGAAGAAACTTACAATTTCACTGCTGACTTTGATTGGATCCTTAAACACGGTCCAAACTACAGCTTCATTGCAGTTAGGTGTGGTCAAGGAGCCGAGGTAACGGTAGTAACTGTCGAGATTCACGCCAAACAGGAGATCATTTATTGAAAAGCCGGGTATAATCGAAACCTCTTCACCTGAGGGAAGAAACAAAAACCTGTAAAGGGGCTGTAGCTGGCAGGTTTGATTACAGCAAAAAGAAAAAGGGAATCACATCTCCTCACCTTGGTTTCGGATGCTGCTAAGGTAGGAGCTCAAGTTTCTCCAGCTTTCAGGTTGCCCGGGTGAATTGCCCACCTGTAAGGTTCACTCATTTGTTTAATCGGCTCAAAGTGGAAATAAATACAAATATTTCCGCAGTGGAACTACTCCATCGAGAAATGAAACTAAAAGGGCAGCACCCTATAAAACTTAGATAAGAGATGGCTGTTTTTGATGAATCATTACATGAACACATTTTTCTCACCTCAATGAAGAAACCAAGAGCAGCCAGTCCTTTAGGGTCTGCAACAGCCAGAGTTGTGTTCCCATTGAAGGATGCCCCAATGTTTACAATGTGCATCTGGGGGAATATAAAAAGGACAGACTTAATTTTCTCACAATTCTCACAACTGTAATTTGTAGCTCAGTATAAGTCAAAAACTATGCACTCAACCTCCATGGGGTAGCGCTTGCCATTCACAGTGTGTTCAGAGCCAGGGATGGAGGTGCCATTACCCCAGTGCAAGTGGAACTGCAGGCTTTCGAAGGTCTGGGGCAGATCTCCCCCTGAGACCGTTAGACCACTGTTGAGGATGACTTTGACTGGAAGAGGGTAAAAAGAGGATAAATGGTTTAAAAAAAAAAAAAAAAAGTTGTCTTTAAACGCTATTTGCAACAAATTGCATTTGCAAAGCTGCAAGAATAAGCAGCGAAAACCTTTTTTTTTTTAATTTATAAAAATTTTACAACATATTTGCCCCACCCCTAACAAGCCAAATTACATCAACTCAGTTTAAGTGAGTCTCTGTCCACACACACCCTCTACTTACTTGTCTTTCCTGTGTTTTCGATCTTACTCATGGCGGTGGTGCTGTCGAAGTTGACGAAGTTGAACGCAGACAGGTTGGAGTTCTCTTTGACATCAGATGTGACAATGTCAATAGGCGACTGTCGCGTGCCATTGCAGAATTGAGTAGCAATGGTCGGCCAGGTAGTGTAACCTATAAAAATCAGACAATGGTGTGTCAGCAGGATGAAGAGGAGCAGTTAAAGTTGTGTGTGATGATATAGGGACAGGGATAAAGATTAGCCTACTCACTGCATTGTGGGAGGTGATAACACCATGCTGGAGGAAGAAGAAAAATACACCAATTTACTCACTTATAGTTAAGATATATAGCCTAACTTTTACAATAATAGTTTAAAAAAAAAAATACCTACCAACAGAATCTGAGGCACAATGGGCGCTGGATACCAGGGCGCACACAGCCAGCACAGCAACAAGCCACTTCATCTAAATATGTAGAACACCAGCAAGTCATACATCCATTTTTTATAACTAAAAAAAACAACAAATGAACAAACATGTTGAGTAGCCTATGTTGCCAAATGTTCGCACTGAAGATAATAGCAACAAACAAATCCACTCAATTTATTTTTAAGGTGTGCAAAAACTAAATTAAATGCAACCAATTTACCAATTAGGCAGACTTTTAAATTACAGGTCACTAACTGGTCCTTGTTTCCCCTGTTTTTTTTTTTTGTTTTTTTTTAGAAAATGCCGTTATTATTTAAGCATATTCTGTTTGTAGTCGTTCCTTACGCAGCTGAATCCATTTAACCTGAGGTGTTGTAGAAGTTGCAGAAAATACAACTATTTAGCACGCAGTGATAATAAACAGATTGCAAAGTAAGGTACAATGAATAAAATAAACAACCGAAATATAGCCCACCTCTAATAATCATCTATGTTAAACCATTTCGGCCGCGAATGAGAGTCACCAGTCTACGCATTAGTGCATTGTAAAAAGAGCCAGTGTCTTACCTTTGACGCACCTGTCTTTCCTCTCAATCTACTGACTACTGTGGAGACTCCCCCAGCCGCTTTTTATGCGCTCAACCCCTTCAGCATCTGCTGCGAAACCGCCTCTACCAGACATCGAGGGAAGTTTTTATCTCACTGCAAGAATGTTCCTAAAGTGATGAGATCTACTGATAGTATGTTTAGAATCCTCTAAAAAGTACTCCGGTACCTCATTGAGAACACGTTTTCTGTGTGTGTGTGTGTGTGTGTGTGTGTGTGTGTGTGTGTGTGTGTGTGTGTGTGTGTGTGTGTGTGTGTGTGTGTGTGTGTGTGTGTGTGCGCACAAATTTGTGAGGGCTGGAGATGTGTATGTGATTGTATTTTGGTATTACAGTGTTCTGAAAAGAAAATTAATTAAGTCAATTCTTTGTGAACATCCAACTTCGATTGGGACATCACTAAGGTATCACCTCTATATGGTTTAGGCACTTGTAATTGTGGCAGTGATGATGTTTAAAAATCAATCTCAATGAATATTTATTAGTCTGCACTTTCCATCATGCTTACACTCTGAGGTGTTTTAGGGTGTAATGTCTATTGTAACGAAAGGCAGGGCACTTGATATTGATAGAACAACATTTAAAGTGACTCTATACTTGAGGGGAAATATCTGTGGAGCAGGAATATAGAACAAAAAAAAAATAGACTAGAATCTTGATCAGTGAACCTTTTTTTATTCTTCACTCCTCCCTTTTCTTTTCAGTCATCTGTGAAGATACTGCAGGTTCAGGATTCCTGACTGATTAATAATGACATGTCAAAATTGAATTTATTGTTCTCCCACATCCTGCATACGTCTGACCTCGCCCTGCACACAAATGCTTTTCTTAGAACTGAATCTATAAAACAGCCTTAGGGACAGGTCCTCTTCAAATAGCAAAAAGGAGTAGGTTAAGTGCTTTGGGGCCATTAACACATTCAATTCCTAAAAAATGTAGAGGTGATAAAGATAAAGATAAAGACAAACTTTATTGATCCCTCATCGGGGACATTTTTGTTTTTTAACAAAAACAATACATGATTAAAAGTAAATGTAAAAGAATTTGAATTCACGGCTATATGGCATTAAGCTTCTGTCTATGAATGTCTACTCATTTTTCTACGCGTTAAAGAGCATACGTAGATTTTGTTTATTAGATCACAAAGATTATAAGCTCTCATTATTATTTATGTCATTTAAAGTTGTGTCACTTTTATTGTGATACATCAACAAACTTGCATGATGGCAGCATATAGTTTCAATCAGGAAAGACTTCATTAAGAATGAACAATCATTTATTTAACAATTTAGGAAATAAATGTGCAAAGTCTTTGGGGATAAGACTCCATCACGCAGACTTCATGCACTCGGAGGGGTAATGATGCTGACAGCAGGATAGGATACCCCCCTATGGAGTCTAGACCCTGGTGGTGGTAGTGATAGAAGAATGCTGGATGTGATGAGAAGTGTGTTTCTGAGGCTGTATCTGAACTCTGCTGAGCTGGAATGGTGGTGACTGGGGCGGAGCAATCGCATTGAAATGACAAAAATGACTGTGGAAGAGAGAGAACAGGTTTTAAAATTGGACTGCGGCAGAATGATTTGTTGAGAGAGGTTGTGGCAGAGTCGGGTCTGTGTCATTAGAGTAAACTCCCCAACTCAGCTGAGCCCCAGAGCAGGGAGATGGTGGAAGTGGTGAAGAGGGAGTGGCTAAATTGAATGAAGAAATTGAATAAATATGCAAGAGAATATATAACCATAAGGTGGGAGAAAGTCATTTCTTTGCAAGTCACAAGTCTTTGGTCTCAAGTCCCGAGTCAAGTCCCAAGTAATGACAGGCAAGTCTCAAGTCGAGTCACAAGGCCTAACCTTTGAATATCGAGTCCTAAACAAGTCATTAGATCTCTTCACCAAATGAAACACCATTTTAACAGAGTAATAATCTGTTACCAAATGTAACAGATTATGAGGTGTTTTTTTTTTTTTTTTCCACCCCAATGACCAATGTGAAACACCCAGAAAATACTTTTCTCTACAAATCCAACCTAGCAGCTGGCTCATTGACACGGCCAGACCTGGTCGTAAACGTTGTCTACCGGCCGTAGAGCAGGAAGATGGGGAGGCAGTTGCTCAGTCTGTAGGGACTTGGGTTGGGAATCGGAGGGTCGCCGGTTCAAGTCCGGAAGTTGGTCTGGTAGCTGGAGAGGTGCCAGTCCACTTCCTGAGCACTGCCGAGGTGCCCTTGAGCAAGGCACCAAACCCTAAAACTGCTCTGGAGCGCTCGCTGTGGGCAGCCCCCTCACTCTGAGACCTCTCCATTAAAGCATTGTGCATGTGTGTGTTCATGTTCATTAGACAGAGTGTAAAATTTAATTTCCCCTCGCGGGATAAATAAAGGATAAATTATAATTATAAGATGCCTGGCACAATGTTGTTGTAATAGAAGGCTTGTTGTGTCTTCTCACTAGCATCCTTTTGCTTAACAGTCTTTCTGTTGGGCCATTTGGGCCACAGATTTTTCTCAAGTGTAGGGAGTGTCGTTCGGATCTTTCTCCCCATCAGCAGTTCCTCTGGGAATCCTCAGGGAGTTGAACAATAGCCCATGAGGGCTATCAGCGGATCTTCCTGCTGGAGGATTCTCTCTGCAGTCTGCACTGCTCTTTTTGCATGACCGTTTCCTTAGGGGTGGTGAGGACTAGACGTGATGTGTCTGAAGTCTAGCTGTTTTGCCAGCTCCCGGAATGCTGCACTGGAGAATTGAGGTCCATTGTCACTCACCACCTCGTCCGGAATCCCAAACCTAGCGAAGGTTGTTTTCAGTCTCTGAATAACCTGAGCGCTGGTCAATGTCGGTAGGTGTAGTACTTCTAAGTAACGTGAATAGTAATCAGTTATCACAAGATAACCATGCTTGTTGTGTCCACAGAGGTCCAGAGCGATCAGGCAGGGGTGTGGAGACCATCAGCTTCTGATAGTTCGTTTTTTACTTTCATGTTGTCTCTGGCACATGGTGGGACATTACTGATATATTCTGGCCATTCCTTTCTGATGAGTTTAATGACAGCCTGTAGTTCGTTGACAGCTGTTGTTGCTGTTCTGATGCTCTCCATTATAGTTGGAGATGCTGGGATTTGGTCAGTCTCAAGCCTGAACTGATCCAAGCCGCATAGATACTTTTTCAAACTTTTCACAGGCCCACACGCCAGCCAGACACTCTTTCTCGATCTGGGCGTAGTGTGTTTCAGCTTCGGTGAGACGCCTGGAGCAGTAGGCCACCGGCTTCCACTCCTCTTCATGGTAGTACACCCCCCCCCAGGCCGTAGCTGCTGGCATTGGCAGACACAGCAGTGGGTTTAGCAACATCGTAAAAGAAAAGAATTGGCGCTGTGGTCAGCATCTCCTTGATGTTCTCACAGGCTGACTGCTGTGAATGGCTCCAGGTCCAGGTGTTTTTGCTTTTCAAAAGTTTGTACAGTGGTTGACCTATCGTGGATAGGCTGGGAACGTACCTCCCCAGGTAGTTCAACATTCCCAGGACTCTTTTTAGCTCCTGGAAATTTCCTGGGGGGGCCAGCTGTTGAATGGCCTCAACTTTGTCAGGGTGGGGCCTGACCCCTGACTGGTCGATGAGATGTCCCAAAAAGCGTAATTGGCTTTGTCTGAGGGAGCATTTCTCTTTGAGTTTCAGTCCTGCCGATTCAACACGTTGCAGTACCTTCTCGAGCCTGGTGTTGTGCTGTTTCATCCAGGTCCCATAGACTAGGATGTCATCCATAAAAACTTCCACACCTTCCAGCCCCTACAGTCTCCAGTATTCTGCGCTGGAAATTTTCCATCATCCAGTGTAGGTAGGATATACCGCTTTCTTTTGACTGACTCGTTAAGTCTTTTTAAGTCCACACATATCCTGGCTTTGCCAGGCTTTTTCTTTAGAACAGGTACTATGGGTGCACACCATTCAGTTGTCTGTGTTACTTGCTCTATGACGCCATTATTCTCCATCCCGTGCAGTTCAACTTTTACTTTTTGTAATGTGGGGAAGGGCACACGCGTGCAGCATGTACAGCATACGGTTGACCACCGTCGTTCAACTGAATTCTGACTGGTTCAGTTTTAGTGTGCCATGCTCACTGTAAGCTTGCTGGTGTGCGTCACTTCATCAAATCACCTCACCAAATTCATTCTCACTGACAGGGACCGGCTGAGTAGATTGTTGACACTCCGGCCGCGGACCAAATATGCTTTGAAGGGGTAATCCTTCCCTATGTAGCTAACTGTAACATTAAAGCGGCCCAGACGCAACAGCTCACCTCCTGGGCTGTCCAATGGAATGTCAGCAGGTTCTAGTGCTCTCAGTGGGGTGAGTGTGTGGAATGCATCCTCACTTAAGATGTTGACATCAGCTTCTGTGTCGATTTTAAATTCCATTGGGATGGAATCAACCTGTAGTTGCACAGTCCACTGCTCTTTGTCATCTGCACTGCACACTGAACCTAAGAAATAGGAGGTCTGTTCAGCCTGCCCAGTCTCTGTGACCTCATTCACTGACCTGTTGCTGTTGCGACACACTCTGGCCCAGTGTCCCATTTTATGGCAGTTGTGGCATGTAGCTTTCCCTCCAGGGCACCTTTCATCTCTGCCATGCTTTGCTTTCCCACATTTACCACATTTTTTCACTCTCTTTTGTCTTGCCTTGTTGTTGTTGTTATTTATTTATTTATTCTGTTTGTAACGCACCTGCTGTACTGATCCCACAGTGTCTCCCTGCAGGTTAACCTGTGCCGCGACCTCCTCTGACTCCTCTGATACGGTCTGTATTGTCAGTGCAAGTGTTAAGTCCGCCATTAGCTGCAGCTTGCGCGAGAGCTCCTTATCTAATATACCAACGACAATACGATCGCGGATAATTTCCTCTCAGTTGGCACTGAACTCACAGTGCTCTGATAGATCATACAGGGCTCGGAGAAAACACTCTGCCTTCTCCCCTGACCGTTGGACCCACTAGTGGAAACATGCCCGCTCGTAGATAATATTCCTCCTTGGGAAAAAATACTCATCGAACTTTCTCGCCACAGGATCAAAGTTGTTTCTGTGGCGGTCTTCGGCAAAAGTGAACGATTTATATATGTTTTCTGCCTCATTGCATAAATCAGGCAGCTCACCTGCACTTTTCCGTTAGCTTTGTCGAGCTTTGTTGAGAGCCTGTACCGCTTGAAGCGTTGTCTCCAGTCTAGCCATTCAGTCAGCTTATCGAAAGTAAAGTTCGCTGGGGGATTAAACTTTGCCATTCCGTCGCCTCCCTCCTTTTATTTTATTTTCGTGACTCACAGGCCACTTCTGACACCATGTAGTTATCGAGGGTCGAGTAACTTTTGTATTTCCACACAGGTTTATTGTAGGCGATCAACATACAGCCAGTTTTCAGGTGAGGCATTAACACAGTGCACAAGCATGTTCTGTCTGTCATAAAGCAGTCTAGTGCTGTAAACATAACGTTGTCGTAACAACTAGTCTGTCATCTACGTGCATATGTGACAGACAGGAAATTGAGGAATTTAAAAATATATAGGCCCTTGCTGCCCTTATTTTTTGTTACGGTTTTTGTTTCTGAAATATGCATGAACCCATATGCCGCCATTGTTGTATACATTACAATGCACTCTTTTTTTATGTCACTTACCATAAGTGAATTCACCCTTTCTCTTACAGTAGAGATGTATGATTTTATAATTGGTCATACAGTATGTAAATTGACATGTTTGTACATCAAGTGCACAAGTGGTGATGATACCATCACATTAATTTTCCATGGGAATTGATGCACACGTATAAACAGGTGTGATACCTGAAGGCCACACAGATGACTTTTTAATTAAGGCTATCTATTCTTTGTCTATTCAATTACTGCAAACTAAATCTGTGAAAGCCGTTTGATGAATCAGTCAAAGACGTTAGAAATGTTTTGGTGGCGTGATGGCAACATGTGGTTTCAAATAGTTGGCAGACCTTTTTTTAAAAGGAGTCATTTGTTTTTTCTGTTACTGTCTTAGTGTAGATACAATCACAAAGGTATCATTCCGCTTAGATACACATAACTTATTCTTACGGTATACTGACACTTGTATCAACAACAGAAAGTAGTACCATGTGTATATATAAAATATGGGCATTATTTCTTTAGATGAACAGTGTATTCTTTCTCAAATGCATGACAGTAAATGGAGTTCCTCTTTCTCACATGCTGTTTGAGTTATTCTGTCTTTAAAATCTTGATTCACTGTCTGTGGAAACGCAAGAAACACAGATTACTTAATAAAGACTACCTATTCTTTGTTACTCAATTACTACATTCAAACTAAATCCATCAAAGCCATCCTTACAAACAAATTACTAACTGAATTATAGTTTAGCTCCTGTTATTTCCATTTCCGTCTCTATTAAAAAGGAAATAATCTTCAGAAAAGGTAAAGGGGTAATAATGGATTTGAAGTGTCTAAAAATGTAAATTCTGGTTGGCGTTTTTTGTTTTGGATTTTGAAAATTTAAAAAAAATCAGAGAATCGAAAAAGACCAAGGACTTTGAGTTTTCTGTTGTATCTTTCATCACACTGATTTACAGAAGTCTTATAGTATATAGTTATACTGTGAATACAATTTAGATAAAAAATATAAAACATGTATGCTGGTGGACCATCGAACAAACAGTTCTGACTTCAACTGATAAATCCTTATATTTTGCACAAAAAAAAACACATTAGAATTATACATTTTGAGAAATTTCTGAAATATGCATGAACCCATATGCCGCCATTGTTGTATACATTGCAATGCACTCTTTTTATGTCACTTACCGTAAGAGAATTCACCCTCTCTTACAGTAGAGATGTATGATTTTATAATTGGTCATACAGTATGTAAATTGACATGTTTGTACATCAAGTGCACAAGTGGTGATGATACCATCACATTAATTTTCCATGGGAATTGATACACACGTATAAACAGGTGTGATACCTGAAGGCCACACAGATGACTTTTTAATTAAGGCTATCTATTCTTTGCCTACTCAATTACTGCAAACTAAATCTGTGAAAGCCGTTTGATGAATCAGTCAAAGACGTTAGAAATATTTTGGTGGCGTGATGGCAACATGTGGTTTCAAATAGTTGGCAGACATTTTTTTAAAAGGAGTCATTTGTTTTTTCTGTTACTGTCTTAGTGTAGATACAATCACAAAGGTATCATTCCGCTTAGATACACATAACTTATTCTTACGGTATACTGACACTTGTATCAACAACAGAAAGTAGTACCATGTGTATATATAAAATATGGGCATTATTTCTTTAGATGAACAGTGTATTCTTTCTCAAATGCATGACAGTAAATGGAGTTCCTCTTTCTCACATGCTGTTTGAGTTATTCTGTCTTTAAAATCTTGATTCACTGTCTGTGGAAACGCAAGAAACACAGATTACTTAATAAAGACTACCTATTCTTTGTTACTCAATTACTACATTCAAACTAAATCCATCAAAGCCATCCTTACAAACAAATTACTAACTGAATTATAGTTTAGCTCCTGTTATTTCCATTTCCGTCTCTATTAAAAAGGAAATAATCTTCAGAAAAGGTAAAGGGGTAATAATGGATTTGAAGTGTCTAAAAATGTAAATTCTGGTTGGCGTTTTTTGTTTTGGATTTTGAAAATTTAAAAAAAATCAGAGAATCGAAAAAGTCCAAGGACTTTGAGTTTTCTGTTGTATCTTTCATCACATTGATTTACAGAAGTCTTATAGTATATAGTTATACTGTGAATACAATTTAGATAAAAAATATAAAACATGTATACTGGTGGACCATCGAACAAACAGTTCTGACTTCAACTGATAAATCCTTATATTTTGCACAAAAAAAAACACATTAGAATTATACATTTTGAGAAATTTCTGAAATATGCATGAACCCATATGCCGCCATTGTTGTATACATTGCAATGCACTCTTTTTATGTCACTTACCGTAAGAGAATTCACCTTCTCTTACAGTAGAGATGTATGATTTTATAATTGGTCATACAGTATGTAAATTGACATGTTTGTACATCAAGTGCACAAGTGGTGATGATACCATCACATTAATTTTCCATGGGAATTGATACACACATATCAACAGGTGTGATAACTGAAGGCTACACAGATGACTTTTTAATTAAGGCTATCTATTCTTTGCCTACTCAATTACTGCAAACTAAATCCGTGAAAGCCGTTTGATGAGTCAGTCAAAGACGTGAGAAATATTTTGGTGGCGTGAGGGCAACAGGGTGTTTCAAATAGTTGGCAGACATGCTAGTTGCGAAAGCAGTTTTTGAAAAGGAGTCATTTGTTTTTTCTATTACTGTCTTAGTGTAGATACAATCACAAAGGTATCATTCCGCTTAGATACACATAACTTACAGTATACTGACACTTGTATCAACAACAGAAAGTAGTACCACGTGTATATATAAAATATGGGCATTATTTCTTTCGATGAACAGTGTATTATTTTTCAAATGCATGACAGTAAATGGAGTTCCTCTTTCTAACATGCTGTTTGAGTTATTCTCTTTAAAATCTTGATTCACTGTCTGTGGAAACGCAAGAAACACAGATTACTTCATCTATTCTTTGTTACTCAATTACTACATTCAAACTAAATCCATCAAAGCCATCCTTACAAACAAATTACTAACTGAATTATAGTATATAATTAGTTATACTGTGTATACAATTTAGATAGAAAATATAAAACATGTATACTGGTGGACTATCGAACAAACAGTTCTGACTTCAACTGATAAATCTTGATATTTCTACATATATTCTATTTATACATTGAGAAATATGCGTTAACCCACATGGCGCCATTGTTGTATACATTGCAATGCACTCTTTTATGTCACTTACCATAAGTAAATTCACCCTAGAGATGTATGATTTTATAATTGGTCATACAGTATGTAAATTGACGTTTGTACATCAAGTGCACAAGTGGTGATGATACCATCACATTAATTTTCCATGGGAATTGATACACACGTATAAACAGGTGTGATAACAAAATTATTTTCCCTTAAAATAAAGGCTGGAGGATTATACTTTATCCTCCATGTATTCTGTTCTTCTGATCCAAAAAAATATGTATATTTCAAGGTGGGTCTTAAAAGCAACATAAATTAACAGAAACTTCAACTCAACTGTATCAGTGTTTTATTCATTATATTTGCTTCAGCATCTTGTGATACAATTTACTATAGTAATTAAATAATGAACTGGTGAATGCAGACATGATCACTATAACACTACATTTGATAATAACTTCAGGTGACAATTTGGTCGGCATTAAACTTCCATCCAGTCTGTGCCTGGATGTCCGAACCCATTAACAAGTTAATTAAATCATTTAAGCTTTAGTCTATACTAATACAAGCATTTATTTTACAATGTTGAAACTAATTGATACAATCACTATACTACAACAGTAACACAATGCAATAATTAATAAACTACCAGGCTTTAAATAGTGGTTAGAGATGACCTTTAGACCCATAAATATGATAAAAAGGGAAACTGTGCAAGTCAGTAAATTAGTGCATTATACATTATTCTTTACAGCAGATTCTGTCTCACAAATGCAGATTATATGAAAGAGCACAGAGACAACCTAGCAGCAGAAATAGTTGGATGGGACCAGGGGCACTTGATGCAGAAGTGAAGATTTTCCTGTTATTAAGAGCCTGTGCAGGCCGAAACACGTTCTCATATCCTGCATGAGTAGGGAACAGCATCATCTGGTGGGATTAGAAAAATTGTTAGCTTTCACATTTTGGACAAACTCAAGTTAGATACATTTACATGAGGTGAGTTGGAAAGAAAGATTCAAGGAAGTTGTCACATGGGTCAAAGTGGTAAACCTCATTTAGCAAGTCAACACGGGTGTGAGTCAGTGAACGAGATTTGTTTTCTAAACCTAAAGACAGGGTGAGGTCTTTTCTTAGATTGCAGGTAGACAGCTTCCTATTGTTATAGCTGGCAATTACCTTCAGCTAAATATCCATGTTTAACACGTAACATTTAATAATGTTAACGGTTGGAAACCTTTAACAATGGAATCCAACCAGTTTTTATTTTAAGTAAGCTGACAGCAGCTCACTTGAAATGAGACAGTCACAGGTGTTTACTAGTATTGACTTTTTAAGTGTTATTTCTTGCCAACCATATACCATAACTTTATCAGACTTGTTATTCCCATCTTTAGCTTTTGTTTGGTCTTCTGTACCATCCTTTGTCTATTTTATTTTATTTTATTTTAAATGGCATCACGAATCAGCGAAAATAGCCAAAACCTTTTCACATATAATCCGTTAACATAAAATCTTCAGAGTTTCTGTTTAGGTGTTAGATGAGCTTTAATAGACTTATATTGTTGGTACATCAAATGGAATTGATAACAGAACAATATGATCTACAGCAGAAGAGAAAAGTTATTTTGTCCATTAATTCAGTTAACATTTCATTTGAAAACTCGTCATACATCAGTGATTTGTAAACATGTGCACATAGCAGACATTCTGAACGAACTGTGACGCCAGCAAAATGACAACATGATTTCTTTGATTGGTGACGGCAGAGACAGCATTACATAAATGGAACAAAAAGTCCTCCAGTAATGAAATAGAACTACAACATATCTGATATATTTGAGAATTACTATGAATGTAAAATCTAATGCCTTTCATTACTCTACTCCCATTACACATAGAAGGCAAAAAAAACAGCACCAAGATAAGGGGCACATACCATGTCTTTATCCACTTTAATAGACTCTTTAAAAATGGTCCAGACGACGGCTTCATTACAAGACGGGGTGGTCAGGGAGCCGTTGTAGCGATAGAACACAGCTCTGTTCACGTCACCAAGCAGATCATCAATTGAGATCTCTTCTGTGACATTTGCCTTTGAGCCTAAAAGAAAGCATAAATACTCAAGATCAAGCGGCAATATTCAGTGTATTGTGTATTTTGGGTAAGCAATCGTGTGCACCCACTGATGTTCTGTATATGTGGAAGGTAGCTAGTCAGTCTTTTCCAGGCATCAATATCAGATGTTGGCTTGGATGTGGGACCTGTCTGCAGAGACATACAGGTGCAAAGAATTGAAGCATTTGACAGAATTGCAGATTGTAATCCTCTTCTAAGGAAAGCTTCACCTCCTACCTCATGATGAGATTCGTCGCTGCTTTTGGTAGACTCTTTAGCCTAGAAAATAAAATTTTGGAAGATTTATTTACACAAAGTAATCATTGGTTTGCAATTTTTATTTACATTTAAGAAAAAAACATAGGCTTCCATTTCCTTTGCAAATATAAAAGATGGATATGATTTAGGCTACAGATGATCAGAGACTTTATACAGAATGCACAGGCTTATAACCACAACAAAAAATAAATTGCCTACATCACTTCTGTTTAGACTCCTTGCACGGACTACAGCATGACTGAATAGATTTTGAGATTTTTTCATTACTTTCAAGTGTCCTTTTCTAACATAAACCCTTTTCACACATACGAAAATCAAAAGTCGCACTGACTTTACCCGGAGTTTCTCCGACCATACCCCGAGTATTTTTTCCGCAGAAAGTCCGATTGAGCTGATGTGCGAGAGCGCGTACTCTCACAACTCTGGAGATTTCAACTCAAGCCAATGGGAAGAGAATGATGTTTATATCCAGCGACTGCCTACAGTGTCTGCACGCGACCCACTACGATCTCTGTGCACGCAAATAAACGGCTGCATTATGTTTTTTTGTTCGTCAGTATGTTGTTCTCCTCTCTTTTGTGGATGTTGTCATTCCATTGGACAAAACATTTCATAACCCCATTTGCTAGGATACTGTAATCCAACCGCTAATGTTAGCATTCAACCACTTAATAGCTCATGTAACTAAATTTACAAGTTCTGTTGCAATGCGTACTGGGAATTTATGCCTCTCATTTGAATGTGTAACAATACAAACAGTCAGGCCTATTATCTTTCTACAACTTCATATCTAACTGTGACAGTAAGTGTCTGAATGCTAACGCTAGCTGTTGTCTGACCATGGCTAACAGGTAACTGTTATGTTGCTGTATTTTCGATGTTTTTATACTTTCCTTTAGCCAGCTAGTTAAACTCCAATGTTTTGCATCCTTAAGCACAACAGTTTGAGATCATTACAGCTTTTCACCTTCCTACCTGAGGCTCGACTTTTCTGGAAAGGAGGCCAGATATACATCAGGGGAAATAGCCACTGTGTGAATACAGTCATTTCCCCTGCTGTACATCTGGCCTCCTTATACAAGTGGACACATGTTTTTCAAATGCCTGGTTGAACCGTAGAGGCGATGGAGCTTTTGCTGTGACCCTGACGCTCTGAATTGAACTGCATAAATGGTCAGCAAAGTCTTTAACCACTTCATTTTATTTTGATGTCACAGTATATTAAGTTGAAGAGAAACTCCTGCACACTGTCCAACTTGCAAACAAACACTTATTGGAAACGTTTCTGTACGAGACCTTCATCAGGCACAAAGTTAGTCAAGATGGGCATGGCATCTTAAATAGGGAGTGGCTACAAGCCTGCAACCAATCATCATTATGACATCAACTCTGGATTAACGAAATAATAAACATGAACATCAGCTTCTCGGTGACATTGAAATGTCTGCACAAATAATTTGTATGTGTTCAGCCCAGCTGTGAGTCAAAAAGATTATTGTTCATGTCGTGTTTGAAGAACATTTTATCCTCAGCTTGAGAAACTCTTAAGCCTGTTAAAAGTCCTCCTCACTACTCTTAACAGTTTGACACCTTAGGAGCTCGCTAACCGCTGAGACACTTCGTGAATAACTTTCATCTTTACAAGGATCAAGTCTTAACTTTTGTCACCAGGACCAACTCTTAGTACTTAGGAGGATTTGTGAATACAGCCCCAGGTCTGTAGGGGCGCTCAGTGGGACCGTTTATTTACAGGAGCGAGTAAGAGACACCTGACATGGAAAGTTTTGTTCAGATGGGAAAAATGTAACTCTTCCTACTGGATGTAGATCAGTGATTAAATCATTATGTTTCTTCCATCATATGATTGAATATATTGTTTTCTTCATTAAAAACTTTCTACCTTGAAATTGTGTTTTATACACATTGTTTCAGCTGTTCCTCAACCTTTGAGCCACCATAATCATACATCCAAATCTTATGAAAGCCAGTTTTGTTATTGTTTTTTGTCTTGAATGTGGGGAGGACTTTGTGTGAAAATATTATACATTCAGGTCACAACTATTTGACCTACTATAACAACTGTTGTCTACTACACTTTCTGTTACCTCAATGAAGAATCCCAGCACTGCCAGGCCATTAGGAGTCTTTATTGCATCCTCCAAACTTAAATCCTTTCTTTTGTTCACTATGTGCATCTGGACAAAAAGACAATAACGACATTGAGTATACAGTGGCAACCTAGAATTCAATTAAAAATGAAATGCCAATAATAATGTTACAACCTCCATTGGGTATCTGTGTGAATCCACGGTGTGCTCTGAGCCCTCAGAGTCTGGTGACCTGGAGCCCCAATGAAAGTGGAACTGAAGGGTGGAGTAGACGTGTCCCAGACCTCCTCCTGAGACCTCCAACAAATCCTCCTTCAGAACACACTTTACTGAGATCAAAGTCAAAGTTTCATTAGTAAACTTTTATTGGGGTGTGTGTGTGTGTGTATATATATATATATATATATATATATAGCAGGTGCAAACACAATGTTTAAAATTACATTATAGAAAAATGCAGATAAAACAAATTACATGATCTTCACCAGATCCCAGCTGAAAAGATATTTAAGATTTTTATTAATACAATAACTGGGGCTCAAATTTATTCCATGTTATAAATATACGGGTATCTGTTTAGATAATAAATTATCTTTTAAAACTCATTGGAGAACTGACTAAAAAAAGTAGTGCCTTACACTGAGCAGTAGATATCAGATTGTACAAGCAACTTTCTTATCAGTACTTGCTTACGGGGACATTATTCACATGCATGCTGCTGCACATACTCTTAAGCCCCTTGATGCCGTATATCATAGCTCTCTACGGTTTATTACAGGGGACATTTTTAGGACGCATCACTGTATTCTTTATGACAAGGTGGGCTGGACATCACTTTCACTCGGAGGGAAAATTATTCCTCTCATTTATAAAGCCGTCCTAAATAAATTGCCTTTCTATTGATCCTCATTTTAGGGATATTTAATACTTTACTCGTTCTCATGACTGCATCGTTCTCAATAATTCTTCTACTTTCATGAATTCGGAACTGGGTGAAACTGCATTCTCATATTATGCTCCCTATAAATGGAATAAGCTTCAGGACTCCCTTTAAACTGGACAATCTTGTAACTCTATAGCACTCTGTAACTTTTGAGTGAAATGTTGTCTGAGGCATGCTCTTGTTTTTTCTGATGGATTTTGATTGTGTTTTATACATTGTCTTGCATTTTTGCTATGTATTTATGTTTAAATGTTATTACAGAGCATCATTGCAAAAGAGAGTTGTGCTCTCAATTGGTTTTCCCTGTTTAAATAAAGGTCATATTACTTTGATTTACTACAAAGAAAAATACACCCCAGCTTTGAGGCAGGAAGAATTAAATAGTGGCATTATGCTTGAATTTATCTTTTGGACTATAAATTGCAGCACATTTTATGATCAACCACATATACTACAGTAAACTGTATTGTTTGGTTAGGAATAATTGATAATAAATTCTTCAGGAAAGCCATTCATAACAGGCTGACTTTAGTTCAACATTGAGTGTAGACTTCGAAGTTAAAGTTGCTCCATGTGAAGTCAGTAAATGTGTTAAAAATAAAAAAAGAGCAGATAATGTGAAAGAAAACCAACCTACCTGCTTCTCCTGTGTTAGTGATGTATTTGATTGCATGTTTTTCATCAAACTTTGTATAGGTGAACTCTTTGAGATGGTTATCTTTCAAAGTGTTACGTGTGTCTATGTTGATCGGGGACTGGAGTTCGCCGCCACAATAAGACTGAGGCAGGAGCTGCCACTTTGAAGGGCTGAAATCTTGAGGGTGAAGAAGAAAAATCAACATTTTAAAGACAAATTTGAACACAATTTTGACTCAATTATTTCAACCTGTACAAGTTTGCTGGTATACATACGACAGTGATCATCATAGCACCAATGACCTTCAAACAAAACAAAAGAAGAGAACAATAAGAAATGTGTCTGCCAATGTCAGAGTATGTTGGGTGACACAGATTGGTGTGCATGTTTGATTTTTAACTCACTTGAAGGCAAAGTAGTTGCAGGGGAGGCAAACACTTGACGTCCATTAGTATTTTGGGTTGGACGAAATACGTTTGAGATTCCTGTCTTCATGGGAAAATTTTGAATCTAAGAACAAAACAAGACCCACTACATCAGATGAACCACAGTGATTTTAGCAAAACCATTTGTTGTTTTTTATTGTAGCATTTTTTTCTAGCAGCATAGAATATGAGTTGTGTCCATTGGTGTGGTTGTCCCAATGTCTAAAGGTGACTTCAAAAATCCATAATATGTGGATTTTATTACTTCAGGCCGAGCCTAAGGGTCATACTTTGGTGACGCCACTGATTACTAATCCAAAAACCATGAAAAACATGTATAGCCTGTTCTTCTTGTGACAGGTATATTTCTAGAGATTCTTGACAGACGAGTCCCCACTCTCCATTGACTTTGTAGCGGATGCAGATGGCTTCTTCTCTACTTCGTCTGAAGAGTGTGTAAAAGCTGCCGTGAGGTTAGATGCACTACCAACATGGTGATTAACACACAACTTGTTTTGTTTGTAGAACTTTGGCAATTTAAACCGTAGCAGTTGAAGCTATGCAGGCCTAGTTTTGGTCTTTGTTTATTAAATGATGATTTAATCAAATAGTCATGATTGTTCAAGTATCTAACTTGTGGTCTAACTTGTCTAGTCTCCACTATGGAGAACAAACCTGATATATACTAAGAATTTGTCAATATAAAGTGGTAAAATAATGACATTGTGAAATCTTGCTAGTTAGCAGTTTAGCTCTTGATAGTATATTGAGATGATGGTTTTCCTCTATTGCGGTTTACATGTGTAGTTTTCTTCTGCATTGTCTTTCATGACATATGTATTATAAATATCAGAAAGACTAATCCAATATCACTGCACTCCTTAACAGTACAGCACCAATGAAGGACATCTTTCATTTTACCTTAAAGTGATTTATTTAGAGGACTTATTGTTTTCAGCTTCTTCCTCATCTAATCGATTAACAAAATGCATTTGTTATCCTGTAGCCTCGAGCAGAGATGAAAAGCTAGCTACAGAGGCCTTAAAGCTCCATTTTCACAATTCCACACCCCCAGATATGTTTCTTTGCCAAAATGTAGTTATCAACCCACAATCAAAAAAAAAAAACTAAAAACAACAAAAGTTAATGAAGGTGATGTGTTAAAATGACTGAATGGTATTTAATTAACAGTTAAATATCTTGCATCAGAAAAAAGAAAAATTGAAATCACATCACAAACATATCTTCAACTTGTATCCCCTCTGAAATTTTGATCTCAAGCTTATGGAGCCAAATTGATTGCAAAAGCAATTCCTCAAGCCAAAAAGAAAAGTTTTGATGTTTTACACAGATCAAAATTCAATGGCTCATAGCCTGCTTGTATCCCCCTCCCAAAATATAACTCAAGTGCAACCACTTCTCTTTAAGAAAAACAGGCGAGTCATTACTTTATGTCAGGCAGGCTTGACAATGAGTAAGGTCTTCTACCTGTTCTTTTGTGAAGTGTCCTTAGATAACATTTGTAATGAATTGGCACTATACAAATAAAGATTCATTGATTGACTGACTACTGTAGGCTTACCTATATTTTCTGCACAAACAAAATGTTTCCCTTACAGGCCTCCAGAGTATTTCTGTTCTTTATCTGGAAAGCTTTAAGCTCTTTAGATCTGCCAAGAAGAATAGCAACTAGTGTTTTAGTCTTTCACCATAAACCTAAGCCTACCTTTTGATTAAGAATGCTTAATAGACCTGTTTTACTTTTAATGTTCCCTTCTATTACTTTAGTTGTGACATGACTATTTATGTATATGGTTAACATCTTGTTCTTTTTCCATAGTCTTATCACTTTCTTTTCTGTCATTGCCAAGTTAGCTACCAACCTGTATAAAAAGATGCTTGGAACTTCCTGGATTGCAAGGTAGATTGACAGATGCAAAGCTTTCAAAACCAGTGTCACAAGGTTGAGTGGTATGGGAAAGGCTTGAAGGTGTATTCACTTTAACCCTTTAAATACCATACAGTAACGCTGCAAAAATCTAGATGTCTAAAATGAATTAAAATATTTAGAATACAACTTTTTGAAGTATTTGTTTTCCTTTTGCTGTTCAACAGACTGGTATGTTTGAAGTTGAGGTCAAAGAGTCAGGCACCTGTTGATCCACCTGCTGGGCCACGAGCAGAGTCATGCGTACCGCACAATCTGCTGGCTGCTGATGGATGTCATGAAAGATAAGATGGAATGAAAGACCGAATGTGTCATTCTGCTACGTGCACATGACTGATAACCTTTTTTTCCGCCCAACATCACATGCAGCAGCATCTTGTCTTGTGGCTATAGTCAACAGAAAAAAAACAAAAAAAAAAACAAGCCTGACTTATCAAAAACGACTGTCAAAGCAGACACCAGCATGTAGAAAGCCAGTATGTCCCTGCATTTGTTTGTGTCCTCTGGAGACACTTGCCTGCATTAGCAGCTTGTGTAACATTTTGTTATGATTCCATTTGCCCAAGGTCATCACAGTCTTTGGATGTGTCTGGGTTTCTGATCAAGGCTTAAAGAAAGTAAAGTTTCAGTTAACTTTGTACTGGAAAACACAGGTAGAAATGTCCTTCAGAGGGCTCCCTTTTACTGTGATAAAGCCAGTACACTAAGGTTGAATTCATTCTTCTATCTTTGCCAAAGTATCTGTACTTCTGTGTATTTCAGTAGAGATTCTGAGAGCTTCACAGCCTCTTCTAAGAAATTAATTCTGTTCTCTTTAGAACAAGTTTCATTCTGCTCAAGGTTTCTGCCCGTGAAGGGAGGTTTTGGTGGATTAAGTTTGTTCTTACGTAACATTATAAAGGGTAAACAGAGGCCTGCTCTATGTTTAAAGTTTAATGAGATTACGTTTGTTGAGAGGTCACATTATATAATTAAATGATATAACCAAACATAAGAGGGATAGCTGTTATGCTCATATCAGAATTAGATTTTATCTGATCAGAATACTCGGAAACAGCTGAGACTCTGAAACTGTTCAATGCTCTATTTGCCAAATGTGTCTGTGTACAGTTTGATACAGGAAGTGTACACTTGGTTATTGGAGAGTTTGGCCAACAAAGATGTTGCATTACTAAATACTTAAAGCCCTCTGTCTTGTGAGGGGCATGTGCTGACTGCCCTGACCTCCTCTTACACTAAAATAACAACTCTAGTCCAGCCAACTCACCAGATTTTTGTTGATGTTGATTGGCTCTTGAAACACTGTCCACACAACTGCTTCATTGCAGTTGGGCGTGGTCAGGGAGCCCATGTAGCGGTAGAACTTTGTGCGGTCTACATTTCCAATCAGGTCATCGATAGAGATGGTGTGGTTAAAGTCTACTGTGCCTGTGAAAAGATGTCAGACACAGAAGACTCAGTGAGTGGTCAGGAAGTCTACTTTTACAACAACACAGCCCTAATTTAGAGCTCAGCATTACAAAAGCCCACAATATCTAATTTCTCACACTTTTATGTTGTCAATGCACATGTGCACGGTGTGTTTTTAGATGTCACACCATGATGCAACATGGTGAGTAAAAGCTCACAAAAAGTTCTCAAACTGTAGTTAGGCGTGGCACTATTATTGTAACCTATCACCCAACAATATAGTTCTGGCACGATATGCACATTACATTTCATACAACAGCAAAAGCAGTTTTAAATCTTGGTTGCCTAATTACAGTAACTTGCGGTTTGGCATCATGGTGCACAGAGTCACAATGGAACAACAAGCATCTACCATACCTGCGGTGTTTTTCAGGTAGGACGTGAGATTGCTCCAAGGTCCGGACATATCTCCATCCTCTGTGGCCTTTAGGGAGAAAACTGTTTGTTAATACGCAGAAACATTTAAATGAGGGAGAGGGGGGGCGATTGCAACACTTTTGCATTTCTCTTCAGTTTGACAGGTATTATTTAGACTTGACATCCAAATTGATATATATTAAAGTTACATCTGTCTGCTACTCAAATATACCATTTAAAGATTATATTAAGTGCAAATATGATCAGGACAAAATGTAATGTATTAAAAATCCATTTAATTTCTCTAATTGACCGTTGCTTTTTGTTTCATAATGCAAAGTATACAAAATATATATTTGATATATGGGCCAGCATGGTATGGGCAGTATCTAAGACAAAAGAATAAAGAAATATATATACATATATTCTCAAACTTTGACCTAAAATGTATTTTAGTAATTTTCAGATGTGGACTTTTGAAATGCTGCTTTGCTGTTGCTATGGTTCCTTGTTTCAATCTCTTCATCACAGGTTCAGAAAAACATTTTAAAATGTTGAACATACATTTATGAAAAACCCCAGAACAGCGATTCCCTCTGGATCGTTCACCGGGTCCTGCATACCTTTCTTCAGACTGACTATATGCATCTACAAGAGATTACATTAGAGTGATCAGACCAAGCAAGGTAACACAAGATTTCTTTATAAAGAAAAGTGGCAGTTGAATAAATTAACTGTCAGTAAACAATGCTGTACCTCCATTGGATATCGGTGCTTATCAATAGTGTGCTCTGAACCCGGATGATGTTCTGTATCCCCCCAGTGAAGGTGAAACTGAATCGTTGAATATGTTCCATCAAGTCCCCCTCCACTCACTTCAACCTCATTTTCCTCCAAGATGCATTTCACTTTACACCAAAAAGACAGAGATGAGTGTGAATTTAGTCACATGACATTTCAGGACTTCTGTCACAAGTTAAACTGTCTGTAGTCCGATTTAAGAAGATAATAAAACTGAATTGTCACTCTCTGTACCTGTATGTTTATCGATTTTGATCGACTTGATTACATTCTCCGAGGAGAAGTTGGCGAATGTAAAGTTATGCAGGTTTTGGTCAGTCTTAACATCACTGGTGACGATATCAATGGGAGACTGTCTCTTTTCTCCACAGAAAGTTCCAGAGATGTCTTTCCAATGAGCCGGGGTGTGCTCTGTGACAGTAATAGAGATGCTCTCAATAGCTCAAACTAATGTAGACTGATGATGGCTCATTTAAATAATTCAAAGAGTCTGAAAATGTAAACTTTTACTTACCACAGCCAGTGTAACACCAGTCACTTCCAGCAGCTGAAACAGTAATAGTCAATACAAAACAAAATGTCAAAAGTGACTTTATCAAATGTTGGAGGAACATTGTAACTGGGACCAGCTAGCTGCTCTCTGTGTGTGTGTGTGTGTGTGTGTGTGAGAAAATCTACCCGTTTTTCACCACTACAAGATTTAAATGTAATGTTGAATCTGGTGTCCTGAACAATAACTCTAATTTCTAAATTAGAAGAGTTATTAGGGAGGAAAGCACTCAACATCAGAAACTTATCAGGCAAGCAAAACCATTGTTCTCTTATTTCTTAGTACAATGTATAGATGTGTCTTTATTGCTTTAGCTACTGATATAAACTTAAAACAGTCAGATAGCCTTAATCACTGCGTCTCGTGCTTTAGAAGCATTACAGTGACTAATACATGTGATCCATCAGTTGTCACTAGGGAGGGGGGAAAAAAAAGGCAACCAGTCAGTGCAACAGCATGTGAATTCCTCGAACAAGCTTCAATGCCAGCACTCCCTTTAAATTAATTACTTAAAGTAGTAGTTAGAGGCAGTTGTGGTAGCAATATTTGTATAAATAACATTGCTAGGATTAGTATGACTATTATAAGCATACATGTATTTGGATTCATTCGATTTCATGCAGTGGTTTATTGATTTACTAAAAATATTTCCCATCTCTTCTGCAGTTTGCACTCCATTTGTTCACCATCTAATCCCTTTTTTTTTTTCCCCTGAGAGTGCACACACTCGCACGCATAGAACGACGTCATTATTCTGTACCGTGACAACCTGTTTGTTTAGTTATCCTGTACCTGTTGTTTTGGTCTTCCTCTTGTTGTTCTGCTAGTTTGTTTTTTTTATCTTTGGCCTTGCATTTAAAAAAAGAATACTAATCAAAAAAGGCTTTTATTTGAACAGCTGCTGTCTGAAGCAGAGAGATGGGAGTTGGTCAACCTGTCATCTTTGGCTGTATGGTTATGTTTCTAGTGCCTATTAATGTTCCCAACAGGTCTGTATCAGACAAAAGCTATTTTAAGCACACAGCCAAAAAGTAGCCTTTGTTCACATTTTCCACTGAAGAAATTCACAGTGATGTAGTGGGTAAGGAAGTTCAAAGGTGTGATAATTGTTTTTGTTTAAAAGATAGAAAACACCACACATGTACGGGACATGATCAGCAAACAATAAAATGTACCACAGGAAATGCCAAAATCTTCACTCCTGAAACTTCCTCACAGTAACTTTATTAACAGCAATTAAGAAGTATCTGCAAGTACAGCCATTCTCTGTACCCTCATCACGTTACCTAGACGTTGAACTCTCCAACTAAATAACCATCATTTATAAAATGTTCAGAATCAAAGAGGTTAATGTATGAACATTTTTCATTTAAAAAAGAAAAAAGAAAAGAAAATAAGTCATTAACAAAATCACAAGATTTTCATTTTTCTGTACTTCCACATGATTATATTTGTTTTATAGAACAATAAAATACAGATTATTCACATTTTAGGTTTCTACAGTCTTTTAACTTAAGTTGGACAAAATACATGTTTCATGTTAGTGTAACTCTGCATTATTTTGAAATTTGTCAAAAGTAGTCAATGTGTCATGGTAGGCAGCAGAGCTCCTCCACTTAATTGAAACCAACACTCTACTTACCACATTTCACCAAAGCTCCAAAACACAAGCACAGCAGAAGGGAGGAGACCGCCATCTTGGAGGGGAGAAAACAGACCTTTTACCAATCTGAAGTTGGATTTCTTTTTAGGTTTCGCAGCCATTTCACAGCATAATAATGAAGAAGAAGTCTCTCATTTAGAAAAAGAGGAAATCAGACTCACTGATGTATAGTGGTATACTAGCCTAAATGACAAAGCCCTATTGTATGTTCTGTAATAAGTCCACAAAAATCAATAGGAATTTTGTGCTTCGCTGCAGCTTCAAATCATCTTACCTTTAAGGCTTTAAACGTTGAAAATAAAATGTGTTGCATCAAAAGCAGCTGTGAACTCCTGAATAAGTCCACCAGTGATGAGAAGTTAAAAAAGTGTGTTTCTAGTCAGTGATATAGAGCAGGAGGGGACATACAATAGGAGGGAGGGGGGGCTTTTGTATACATCACTAAATCAGAATGGGGGACACAGCCAATCTACAGGTCTCGTCAGGATGTTGTGGTCAAAATACAGGTGCTTGGAGCGTGCCAGTGATCTGGTTAAGGGGGTTTACGCAGCAAAGTTACTGGCTAATTCTAATGACACAGAACAGAAGTTTCCATACACAATGCGGGCTAGGTACAAAGGAGATTACTTGAATGTCATTCAACTTTAAGATTTATTAGCTTAATTTAAGGATTATAATACTATAATATAATGGCATTAGCCTACTTGTATTAACTTCACAAATGTATAATTAACATGCTTAATGCAAGTTAAGTCTCATGGACAAAACAATGGAATGCAATTTTAAGCAGACATAAAGACATTTACAGGCTTAATAATTGTTGCCATTTATGCCTTTTTGTGTGAAAAAAAATGGTTCAACTTTGTTTTTCATACTTTAAGGAGGCTAAACATCAATTGTTAAATGTTAACTTTTACAGATATGCAGACATTGTGTTTTATTTTATTGAAATATATGTCGATACTAAACAGTTATCATGTGAAATAAATATTTTTTATGTAAACCCTGAGGAAATAATTCAAACCAAAGGCTACAGCAAACTCCAGGACATCTTACACTTAAAATCTCAATTCTAACCCCTAGAAAGGAAGTTGTATTCAACACAGGGTTGACTGTATTGTTGAACAATAGACTTAACACATACACACAAAAGTACAATCAAGATAAAGGATACTATGCCACTGGAATTTTCTCAATATCCATTAAAACCCTCTATAAACATACAGCACAGAAGGAATAAGCTTTTAATTGACAGGTGCTCCTGAAAACTGATACCTGAGAAGCTAAACAGGATTTGTTATCCAAACATTGGATTATTCAGTAGACTTCAAGCTTACACAAGCCATTGTAGGAATGTTGACTATATATATCGTAGTAATCTGAGACGCAATGTAGGCTGGATATGAAGCACTCTTGTTATAAAAATGGTTAAATTTCAGCTGCTTAACTTGTTTTGTTTTATAAGGTTAAAAAATATTTAATGATTTCCCGAGTTCTAAATCAGACCTGAACTCCAACACAAAATAATACCAACATGATAAAGTTAAGGTGGCAAATTATAACAGCTATAGCAGATTTAGAAGTAAGATTTAAAAATTGTGTAAGTAATGTGGTGTCCAAAATGAATCCTGCATTGTGAAGAAAAGAATCAACATTCAGTGATAATTGCTGGAATGCTTTTTGATGCTATGATTTGGATATCCCTCTTGTTTGTTTGTTAGTTAAATAGCAGGCTAGCATGTGGTTAGCTTGGCCTCGCACAAAGACTGGAACAGCCAGCTAACAGTCACACTGCTTATTAAAAAAATAAAAATCTGTTTTATTTTGTTCATTTATTCTGTTATATCCATACAAAAATATGAGTAAATGTTTGCTTTTTTTAAGCTGGTTAATTAATAGACTTTTTCTGAGCTAGCCTTTATGGGTTTCTGCTGGTGTGTCTCAAGTCAAGAAAAAAAAATACAAACATACAAAAGGAAACTAAGTGATAAAAAGAGACCTTTAGATTAAGGTAGGCAGATTTTATAACTTTCGGACCAGGTAGGGAACCCTAGCTAGCTGTTACCTTGTTTTTTCCAGTGTTTGTGCTACACTAAGCTAACTTGCTGGCTCTAAATTCATATCAAAAAAAGAAGAATGATTGGTAGGTGTATTTTTCTTGACAGAGGGCCAAATGTTTTTGTACCTGGTCTTGTTTAGGCAACTCCTACTGTATTTATGTATACGTACCCAAGTCTAATGGGACATCAACCCCATGATGAACCCACACAACAGGTTTGCTGTCCTCCAAAATGTCCTGACACACATCATTTGTGTTTATACTTCTAATAAAGAAACAACACACGCCTTTTCCAAAACAAGTACTAAGGAGAGGCACTTTATACTAACTTAATTCACAAAAGGAGTTGACAATGTGTGGTAAGAACCAAAACGGAGGTAGTCATAAAATTGAAATCAATGTTTAAAAAGAGAACATAATCTAACATGATATTCATTTCTGGTGTGCTTTGAATCATTTTAAAGTGGATTTCATATGGAAATGTCTGAAATACATAATATTAACAATTAGGAGTAGACTATGCGGTCAATTGCCTAAGAAAAAGGACAGCCAGTTCCTGCACTTATACTCAGTAGCTGTGTCAATATGTTATCTTAATGTACAAAGCCTTGGCTCTTTAACTGCTAAAGTCTCTTCCTCCTTCTTTTATCAAGTCAATGCCAGAAAAAGATGTATTCCATGGAAGCAGACAAGCCTTTACCTGGATCCCTTCCAGCAGGGTGAACGCCAATAAATCAGAGAGCCCTAAAGGAGTTCTCACCTGACCTAAATAATTTGGCTTCATGTGAGCCGCAGCTGGATATCCTTTAGTAATCAACATGTGATTGGCCAGAACGTTTACTTCATGAACATTTAGATTCTATAGATTTTGTTGTTGTTTTGTTTATTTTAGATATAACAGGGACACATGTATGTCTCCTGAACACTTTTCTTTTTCTTTTCTTTTTTTACCAAGTGTCTCTCTTAAAACTGGGTTGAAGTGATCACCATGGTTTCTGGTCTCGTACCCCTTTAAGAGCTCCTTAAAGTAGAGGTTTGGTTTTCAATGTTATTTGGTTAAAAAAGACAATTAACAACTTCTTTGTCAAAACATAGTTTATTATTTTTCTTATTGTTAATCATTCTTTATTTCAATGTGTATCCAATAAGCAACAGGAAAGTACATTGGTTTTTAAACTAAGTTGTGGGTTGAATCTTCAGAAGTTGTTATGTTCTTACATAAGAGTATTTTACCAGGGACTTTATACCCGAGTCGTTTACATTTATATTGAATTGTAGCTCTGGTTTGAAAGTAAGCCATAGCCATATCTATATGCACAAAAATACCTCTAAAAATATTTCTCAATAAACAATGTAAAATAATAGATTATAATGAACTCAAAAAAGTGTGCATTAGCACTGCTGTAACCTCTACCTTTAATGCACATGTGCTACAACAAGCAGAGCTTGACGGAGAAGGATAATTGTATCATTTAGTTAAAACTAGTGATTGTGAAACACTTGTTTTTGATGTTGTGTTTTTCAAATTTAGTGAGGGTTTATAATACATTTGCATTTTGCATAAGTTACCATTGACATCACTTTCATCTATCTGGTGCATTTTAACTGATTCCTGTCAACTATACAATTTTTACTTGACTGTTATAAGAGTTCTACAAAAAACATTAAAGCCTCAGTAACGTTTTTTTTTCTTCTGTTATGTGTTAAAAAAAAACACATACAGTATGCAGGTCATTAAAAAGATAAGAAAAGGGTCTCCTTTCAAAGCTAGTTAAAATCAGTGTCTAAACAAGAGTTAAAACCTAGTCGTGATTTTTCCTTTTTGTCAGCTGCTCGATGTGAAGCTCTTGTGGGAGTCCTCATGTTGCTGGAAAGGTATGAACAACCGGACAGCTCTGATGCTGAGTGCAATACCTCATGAAACCACATGGTGGTATCAAAGGCTAGCTTAAAGAAGAGAGGAAAAAGACCTGCAAAACAAAGGTCAGAGCATTAGATCACTCAACACAAGGTTATGCAATATTTCCCAATATGCTTTCATTTGGTGTGTGTTGTTTCAGTAAATAACAGTAGCAGCAAAAATGAACCATCAAACCTGGTTTGACAGAATACTCGTTGATAGATCGCTCTGTATAATTAGGACCATAAGATGTCCATCGTTAGGAATGAATGGACCTTGCTTCTTCATTACTTCCTGATAGGCTAATGCTTATTGGGCATTATCCCTTACAAGAGCTGTGAGTAAAACATCTTACTGAAAGAGGGATCCAGTTAGCTCGTCAATAAGGCCACCTGAAAAAAAAAAGCATATTAAAGTTAAGAAAGTCCAACGTTGGGTGAATACATTTTCAGAAAGTGCATACTCATAATGAGGAATAATAACCAGTATTTACCTGGCGTGCAAATTGTGTCACAAAGTAATGGGCAAAGGTAGCAGGATGAACATTCCTGAAACACAAGGAATCGGTTACACTGATTTAGGTCTTGTCCGACTGAAATGTCTCCTGTGATGTGTATTATTTGCTGTATCTTTTTATTTGAAATTCTTACTTGGCAATGTTCACAGTGCTCTGACTCGTCTCCCTCTTCACAAGGGCACTCCCCACAGTTTTTGGAGCAGTGCTGAAAGAGGGAGGGAACATCCCATTGTACAGTCATGATAACTGATTTGTTTATTGCCACAAAGCACATTTATTTATTAAAACTAAAGATCTTTAATTTTAAGTTTTGAAAGTCGTCAACTGAAATAAATATAGTATGGTTTACCTCACAGATGGAGCAAACACTACACAAAGAGCCCGGGTGGAATTGGAGCAAGTCAGCGACTGGCTCCTCTTCAGTTACATCATCTTCGACTTCTGCTGCATCGTCATCTGTTGGCAAATCTAAATAAAGTAAACGGCAAACAACAACTTTGGGCTAAATAGCTAGACTGATATTAGCCTGACATGCAATACTTTTTGTCTTTGGGTAGCCAAAATGTGAGCCAAGAAGAAGCAAGAGATTGCAACAACTAAATGCTCCTAATTCAGAATCTAAAACACAGTTTCTACACTGCAGGGCTCTGACTGGTCCATTCCATGCAAGCAACACTATCGACACGTTTGCAATTTATGTCAGGTCAGCGTGCCATTTTGGTCCATACTGAAATATCTCACAAACTATTAGATAGTTTAACACACATTCAAAGTCACCAGCACTACCATGAGGTTTGTGATTCAGAGAGAAATATCTCCACAGCTTATTTTGGGAAAAACATTTGTAGCATCCAATAATGAATCGTCATGACTTAATGATCTCTTGACTTTTCAGCTTACTAAATCCAATTGTCAAATTATAATTTGTCCAACACATTTTTAATAACTCATTACCTGCAACACTAGTAACATTCAACGTCAGCATTTTATTTAGTCTAGTAAAACTTCATTTTACCAGGAAACTACAAATACAAAATCTTCTTTTAATAGGAGTCCTGGCCAAGACAGCGACAATTCAAGTGCCACACAAATAAACAACAGACCATGAAAACAAAAACAATAAACTTACTATTGGATATATTATTATTATAGTATATTTCATGTTTCCAAATACTGATATCAGTAGTATCTTTCATAGGATTAGTTTCTGGATTTCAATTCTCAGGATATGCTGAAGTCTGATTTGCTTTAACAATAATTTGTCAGTGTAGATATTACAGCCATATCTTCTAAATCTAGTGTTACAGCAGCCAAACACACAGACATGTAGAACTACTTGTATTATCCTAAACATTATCACAAGGTGATTGACTAGTTTAAAATACAGCACAGCATGTACTCCATGAACACTTGAGACAAATAAGTTGCACTGATTGATGGCACTGATGACAAACTGAGAAGTATTTGGACTTCGGTGTTCCAGCTTTTTGTTAGATATTTAAAGCCTGGGAATTAAGAACATAAACTAAATTGTCAAAAGACCGGATCTTCTGGTTTTGGCTACTTAATGATTAGCAGATTATTCTTGAACTTTAATTAAATTTTAAGGGGTTTCATTTTGGATCAACATTTGAGTTGTCTATTTGTCTGAACTTACACACTTAAACAGCACCTCTTTTAAGGGGGGGTCCCAAAATAGGCGCATTAGTTCAACAAAAGGCGTAAAGGGTTCAGATAGTGCTGGGTGTCAGGTACCGCACAGATAAGCGTGTCTATTTTAAGACGTAAATGCGTGACAGAGCTCCTACTGCAGCTACAGCTAGCAAAACAATGTCCGAGGTTACTGAAGAGTAAGAAAACATTCACCAGTTGCAGGAAATGTATACATGTGTTGTCCTTTGTCTGAATTACGGCTTCTTTTAGTTGTTTGATAAACAATTAATATATAAAAAAAATCTACTTAAGAAACAAACCATATTAAATGTAGTGTGGATACCTTCATCTTCCAGTGCATCAGTTGTGTTCTGTACAGCAACATCCTCTTCTTCTTCTTCAGCATCATCAGCCTCCTCTTCTCCGGCTAGCTCCTCTTCCTCAGTTTCGTCTTCATCATCATCTTCAGAGGCCTCTTCCTCCTCCTCTTCTTCCTCATTTTCAGCTTCAGCTTCCTCATCTGCATCCTCCTCCTCCTCTTCTTCTTCTTCTTCCTCTGCTACTGTGTCCTCAGCGTCCTCTTCAGCGTCATCATCTTCCTCATCTGCAGCCTCTTCCTCTACTTCCTCCTCTTCTTCCTCAACATCTTTCTCCTCCTCTGCTGCTTCCTCCTCCTCAGCCTCTTCTTCCTCCTCTGCTTCTTCCTCTTCTTCCTCCTCCTCCTCTTCTTCAGCAGCTTCATCCACCTCTTCTTCCTCCTCCTCCTCCTCCTCCTCTTCCTCAGCAGCTTCCTCCACCTCTTCTTCCTCTTCCTCCTCCTCCTCAGCCTCCTCTTCTTCAACAGCTTCCTCCACTTCCTCTTCCTCTTCCTCCTCAGCCTCCTCTTCTTCAACAGCTTCCTCTACCTCTTCTTCCTCTTCCTCCTCAGCCTCCTCTTCTTCAACAGCTTCCTCCTCCTCTTCTTCAGCCTCTTCTTCCTCAGCAGCTTCCTCCACCTCTTCCTCCTCCTCATCTTCCTCCGCTACCTCCTCCACTTCTTCCTCTTCCTCCTCCTCCTCCTCCTGTTCCACAGTCTCTTCTTCTTCTGCTTCTCCCCCATCTTCCTCCTCCGCTATCTCTTCTTCACCAGCACCATTGTCACCCTCAGCGGCCTCTTCAGCCACCACCTCCTCTTCATTTCTGGAAAGGCCTTCCTCTGCCTCGGCCACGTCCTGGGCACTCACCACACCAGAGAGCGGGAGCTGAGAGGGGCTCAGGAGCACCAGCAGGAGTCCCACCACCCAGCCTCTCACAGGAGCCATTTTGGAAAACTAAAACAGCCAAGTACTTTTCTGATATAAAAGTCTACACTGGAGAGAAGTCCTTACTTTGTTTCTTCCACCAAACAAAAACAAACAATAAATTATTATTTTTTTAACTCTTTGACAAATAATAAAATCCACAGAAAATGTAACTAAGGTGCTGGTGATTCAGAGAATTTGCTTAGGTGCTGTCCGATAAGGAGAGTCCGACTGGAACTGACAGAGTGACAGACCAGGCTTGTGTGGGAACACAGAGGACACAGTGGAAACACAGCTGGGTGTGTGGTGTAGTTGTGTGGCCGCTTGGCATGAGTGACAGAGGCACATGTACAGGAAGAATGCTCCTGATGCCCTTAACCCAGTGTGTGAGGGAGGTGGGGGTTTGTGTATGGCAGACAGGAGGGGGTTAGGGGTGTGGAGCACAGGGAGGAGGGGTTAGGAGAACGCATGGGAATTAGAAGGAAATGTTCAATTACATTACATTAAAATAAATAAGTCGCATTGAAGTAATTGAAGTTTAAACATAGTTTTTTTCACAGTTTATTTTTGGCTTTATGCCTTTGTCAGAGATAGGGCAGTGTATAGAGTCAGAAATCGGGGAGAGAGAGAGTGGGGAATGACATGCGGGAAAGGAGCCATAGGTCGGAAGCATGGACGCCCGCTTGGAGGACTATAGCCTCTGTAGATGGGGCACGCGCACTTACGACTAGCACTACCGGCTCCCCGAAACATAGGTTTTTTTTGTTGCTCCAATGTTTTTCGGGAGTTCATAGAAGTACATGTAATTGCATATATGTGCATTTCTGACAGTGTATTAAGGGTTCATTTCTACTTTTTTTCTTACTAACATCAAATTAGAGACAATAAATAAACGTATTTATAAAAATTTAACAAATGACAAGTTAAAATGTTGGAAGATCCCCTCAAAAGGAAATTAAATTCAAATTGATGAACTCAAAGTGAATAAATTATATAATTAAAACTAAGTATATGAGACTTGGAAAAAAAAGTGTATACTTTTGCTGTAAAATCTCCATCCAACAGGTTGAAGAGGAATTGTACTGAAGGAAGCCATACACGTCTTTTTCTTTAAAGGAAACCCAATTCAAAAAAAGTACTAAACCTTGAAGGCAAAGTAATAAACTATGTCTGCTGGGATAAATCAACTGGTCTCAGACAGTCTAATCAGCAAAGAAAAACTGTGCTTGCCAAACCTGAAGCAGTGGAGCAGATGTCAGAATGATGTATGGATTGGATGTAAATAGAAGGAAATGGAGATGTGTGTGCACATATGTCGTGTGTTCATCTGCGTTCAGAATTGGTTTACATTTTAAGTAGGCTACAGAATATTTTTTACTTCCTTTTATTTTGATTAAGGAGACAAAAATGACATTTTGACTCAGCAGCATTGCAGGTTGTTTAAAAGAAGAAGCCTGTGACAAAATCACTCAGACAGCGACACATGAGGAGTGAGACACACATGCTCACTAACATGGGAACATATTTGCACATGCAGCTATCAGGCAGAAAGTGATGACACTGCTGCGCTCAGTGTGTGAGCCGCTGCTGCAATTGACAGGTGGTCTAACCAGCTATTTACAGTAAAGGCTCCTTCAATAGCTCGGCACTACTATGTGACCTTCAATAGAGCTCTGGTACACTGAAACTCAGCACCATGGTGCACCTTTCACACTCTCCATATCCCCTTCTCTCTACAGTGTATCCACCTACCTCACTGATCATTTTTGGTCACACTTTCCCCCAGTAATTCTTGTGTTCAATTGTTGTTACACATGAAGTTTTAGCTCAACTTTTAGGCAACAATTATTATTTTCTTGCTTTGAAAGGAAAGACATGTATCACTCTCTTGTCTCTGTGCGTTAAAGACTAAGTTATGACTCAGCGACCTGTTCGCTTAGCTTACTGTGGCCTAAAGGCTGTAAGTGGGGAAATAACTAGCCTGTTCCCATCCAAGGGGAACACAATCCACCTACCGACTTTAACTGTACTATATTTTACAGTATATACCATCATTTTAGCCAGGTGAGCTGTTGCCACTTGTTTCAAATATTGCTAAGAAGCTAAACTTATGCTAACTGTCTGCTAGCTCAACAGCAGAGTGTAATGACTTTTTTTTTTCTTTAACACAAAAAGAATGCATTCATTTTACTATATTTAAACTTTATTGACCAGAATAAAAAGTAGCAACACAAATACATGATATATAGAAAGCATTTGGCCAGAGGTTACAAAATACAAAACAATGTGCACTGACAGTTCTGTCCCTGTAATATCATCATAGTTTCAGTGTAACAGTTAACACCTGTACTGTAAAAAGAGACTTTCAGCCATCAGATTGCAAATACAGCATTAAAGACATAATAGCATCTACAAATATAAAACATTACACACTTAAACATTTTTAATACTGTAAAAAGGAAGTGATGGTTGATATCCATCCCCTCTCTTTCAGTTCAAAGCTATTTAAACCTTTTTTGTGAGTTATTCCAGTGATGAACATGGCTGGAAAATAGTTATACCAGTGTGTGGTTTATTCTTGCCAACCCTGAGCAAGTAAACACATCTTCAGGGAGAATCAGGAAGCATTGGAAGAAGAGGGGAAAGCATCTGTGCAGAGAAAAGAGACAATATAAGAAGGGGCACGGTAGGTACGGATGCCTGGAGGAAAGCACTCAAAATATTCAAACTAGTCAACCAAGCCACGCATGTGACTCTCCAACTTGCTGACTGTGAAGATACATGTATGTGTATGAAATTACCTCTTAATGTAGGTGGAGGCCGGGGAGGTTTGAATGTGCTTCCTTGTGCCAAAGTATCCACAATCCAGGTGAGAGCGTTAGAGCAATACTCCATCTGAGAAGAAGGTCACAGGGTCAAGAGCTTTTTATTAATGTAACGCAACTCAAAGACGTGGCGGAAGGCTAAATATTTCTACTTTGCAAAAACCACTGTTTTATATCACTGAGTACAATCCATGTATCAAGCGACAGCAAAGGGGGGCTGTGGGCTGACCAATATGTGTGGGCATGTTTCCCAAAGGTGCAAACTACTCTTTCACAAATAAATAAACCAAAGTCTTTTCATACATACACAGCCTATAGAAGATAACCAGAAGGTTGCCTTTTGCTAACAAGGCGCATATCATCCCCCCCCCCCATATCCCCTACATATGATATCAATATCAGAACATGGAGTTCTAGTTGTCGTGATATAAGTTACTATGTTATATGTGGAGGGGTGACATTCATTTAACCTTTCCATGGGGTAGGATTACAAGCATGTTTTTTTCAAAGCAAAGTCATCAATGTATCAAGAATGACAAATAAAGCTGACATATACAGAATGATGGGTGTGAGATAAGATGAAATGTTACCTCAGTTTCCAGAGCTCTCAGTCTGTGGTCAAAATCTCTGCTCTCAGTCAAATGTTTTATGACACCATCCACCCTAAAAATTGAGAAATTTTACCTCAGCATGATGAAGACAAAAAACAAGTAATTAAACCAACGCGGTGTCGGTGCAGAGAGTCATTCTCACTTGACAGACATCCGTTTGAGCCTCTCAGAGTCGCTACTTTTCTGGATTGTGTACTGGGCAGTCAGGAAGTCCTCCTTCTGGATGGTTTCCCACGTCATTAGTCTGTTAGCAGCTTTTCCCGTTAACTGCAGAACTAGAAGAGAATGCCAAGGTTTCTATCATCATCACTATCATTCATTAAAGCCACGGGGATTCCTGTGCCATGTAGGAAGAACCAAAGCATCTCGATGAGTGTTTCTGCGTCACACAATAACTTCATGAATATCTTCAAATACTGACCGAATTGGTGGATCTTGATGGAGGGCACCTTTCTGATGATCCTCTTGATGAAGAGGTTTATATGAGAGAGGATGATAAAGGGAGGAGCAAGCGAAGGCCGGCAGTGATACTGAACTATCAAGTTGTAGCGCTGGAACTTCCAGTAGATGTCGCTGTTAGCCTGCACTTCAGAGAAGGTGTTGCTAAAGAGCACAGATAAGAAATATTGAGATGAAGCATGTCGGTGAAGCCAGAGAAAGTTTGAGGGACAGTTCTGTGCTTGTTCTTTACCTAAACATGGCAATGAGCAGGTTGATGAGCAGGATGTTGGTGACCAGCAGAAAAACAACCAGCAGGATCACCACCAGCCAGTTATTGTGAAGAGTTCTGCACGGCTCATAACCGCTCTTAATCAGAGTCACGTTGTCTGTGCATGGCATGTCCCAGTCCTTCCCCACTGGCGAAGACACACAAAAAGCCAAAGTGAATAAAGATTATTCTAATTTTTATAAATGTGTTATTACTGAATATTGACACAGAAGCAGATTTTTTTTGTGTATATTTAAAAAAGAAAAACATGTATTGATGTCAGAAAAATGTCTAGCACAGGCTTCAGAAGACAGGATAAATATTTCTGTTATTTAAGACTTTTTTTTGTCAATATGTATAATGCTCAAACTATACCATCCATCTGTTCCACAGGAATTTGTCCAAATATGTGCAAATATGGCCTGTAGAAAACCCGGCGAAAGATGCGATCAAGTTTAGGGTCATAGGAGTAGAGCAAGGCCTGATTGGCTACACCGTATGCCATTTGCCACACCCCCAGGAAGAAGAGGAAGAAGAAGATATCCTTCACCTAAATAAGAGAAAATAATGAACTTAATTTACTATGATTAACATCCTGCAAGTAATGCTTGAAGCAAAGTAAAGTGCAAAAATACGTGATTTATTTATTTTGTGCCTCACACAACATATCTACAAAAGAAAGAAAGAACAGGGATTGTACATATATGTTTAAAGACTGATGCAAACGTGCTTGTAAATAAAAAAAAGATGACTAAAAAAGACAAAAATAGTACCACTTCAGGAAATGCTTCTTACCATCTTGCCAACAATGATAATTTTTGGTCCCAGCTCTTTGTGAATGGCAAAGATGTGAAGGAGACGGATGGTGAAGACCATGAAGTCCACACACAGGACATCTCGGCCAAATCCATACGACCAATCGAACATCCTGAAGCACAAATTGAAACTCACACTGAGGCCACAGCATCACCCAGTGTCAAATGGGAGTAACTGCAGGCAATTAAGTTAAAGGTTCTATATGTAACTTTTTACATGTATAAATAGTTTTAATGCCCATTAATAAGCCAACAGTTAACTGATGTGAAAAAAGTAGATGTTCACTGTCTATCTGTGTTGCCTGTATACATTTTTTTACCCGGGTCGTATTTTCCGCGAAAGTTACAGGAAGTGACATTTTATTTAAACTCATCACACACTCCCGCTACAGCCAGAGGCCGCCTTCAACACACTTCTATCCACCCTAGGAGCTCTCAAAGGCGGACAAACTCATCACACACTCCTGCTCTCAGCCAGTGCCTGCAGAGACTGTCGTTTGTAGGATGGAGAATGAATACAGACACACAGACTCCTTCACAGACTTTCACATGTGTATGACCACTTACCTCCTCTGTTAACGTTATGCCGGTAAATATCCGGTCTCAGAGACTAATAGGGACAGCGAGCAACAGGTTACTGGTGCATTTCGCCTAACGGCCATGCAGTGTCGCTACAAACGCAGTATTTTTGAAAGTTACATATAGCCCCTTTGAGTGAGAAGTGTGTGGCCAGATAGAACTTTTCGGAGCCAGGATGTATGAGATGATTTGTGGGACTCTTAACATATTCTCTGTTAAATCTGTTTTTTTTTTAATGTTGTGTTTGTTTCTTAACTCTGATTATTAGGGTAATCTACTCCAACTACAAACACTCGGGTTGAACAGTGCATGTTCGATGTATGACTGAATTAGTAATGCTTTGGTTTCAAGAGTCAAGAGGCAAAGCTATCGAGGAACAAGACCCTTACTACACAATCATTTGAATAAAAGGGGAATAAGGTACATTTGATTATTTTGCAGGACAAAGAAAGACGTTTTTCATATGGTTTCGTAGTTATTCATAATGTAGATTGTGTGCATTGGTTGCCTGTACCTGCAGATAAGTCCTATGATGAACAGCGTGACGGCAATGAGGTCACACTTGTTCCAAACGTCCTGAATGTACACTCGAATCCTCTGACGCAAAGTCTTCGTGCCCAGAAAGAACGTCTTGTCAAAAAGAAAAAAATAATTGAACAGTTTTAAAGAAATACCATAGAGCCAAAAACCTATCAGCATTTTATTACTTTAATTGATGTAATTTATTCTGTTTTATCTCCTGTGTTTGGTTGGTTGATCCATGTGAGCATGACTGTAATTTCTGTAAGTATTCAGTAATGTACTTGTGTTTACATTGTCAAAGGCTGAATGCGAATAAAACATAAAAACCACATAATCGGATGAAAGTAACATGTTTCTCTGTGCTCACCTCCCTGATCTCCTCGCACACGATGGTGAAAACCCAGAAGTACAGCACGCACTCAGTGATGGCCGGGCCTGCAGGCGGCGGGGGCGCAAAGTCCACCAACAGCACGTACGCAAACAGCAGCAGGAAAAGGAAGTACATCAGGACGTTACCCAAAAATGAGGTGACAGGTGCGAACCAGAACTGACGCCATCTTGACACGATGAATGGACGCTTTGGCGGTCTGTGAGAGTAGGGCATGCCTGTGGAGAAGGACGATGGGATGTGGATAAGTAGCTGGATATAGTTGAAAAAATAGCTGCTAAAAAGGTTTGAGGAGGGCTCACCTTTGATTGTAGCTGTCATGGGAGAAAGCGGTACTTGTACATCAGCATCACTGGAACAACAATCACACATTTTTAATCAGCCAAAAGACGCACAAAAAAAACATTTTTTCTCCCCCAAACTCTGAAGATTTCTTACAAAACTGTCAGACCAGTTCATCATTGCATTAACCTGATTTAAAAAAAAGGAAAATTGAAAAATCAAAGCTCTTTCAAATTGTTTGTTTGTTTACATGTGTTTGATGTCTGAGAAAGAGAAGATTGTGGTCCCATAGAGGCTGTCGCTGTCTCTGCCTGGTCCGTCTTCATTAGGCTTCCCCTGCTCCTCTTGCTGATTATCTTCTTGTTCCCTGCAAGGCGGATGACGTTTTAGATTTTCAGTTCTGAAATCTGAATCCTCTCACTGCTAGAAATAAGAAATATCAGTAATTAGGATAATTTTACCTGTAGGAGATGAGGTTGGTGTAGCAGAGGACTGGGCAGAAGAATGTGAGCATTAGCTTCCACACCTCTGTGTTTCTCTTCATGTCGCCCCACCAGATCTGAGACAGCAGAGACTAGAGGACAATAGAACATTTTAACAAGTGCAATTTATTTGCTCAGAACAAAAGAGGGCTGTGTTATTTGTGAGGTGTTTATTTTCAAAGTCCTACTAAAAATCTGTGTTCACCTTTGAGATACTTAAACTGAAGTCAGTCATTTAAACATTTTTTTTTATATACCAGTCACGATTGCATAAATGGTGACACACCTGTACTCCATCATGGCTGAAGAAAAGTCTTGCGTCGGCGCCCATGCCCATCTGGAGGCAGGTAGTGCCGCCCCAAACGGGAGATTTCCTGATAAGCAGGGTGAAAGAGCGACTCTCGTTGCTCCGGTAACAAGAGCTGAAGACATCTGAGAAGATGGAAACACAATGAAGTGCTGAAAGTCAATGTCATGTTTCAAGTAAGAAAACAAAAAAAGGAAGTGACTTTGGCAACATAAAGATTTTGAGATTAAAATCAAGCAGCACTTTCATTAGTGTGTATTGAGTTACCAAATAACATTGGGTAGAACCTTTCAGATGTGAAATTTAATGACATCACTTGTCATTGGATTCTTTATTATTCTAACTACTTTGAATGACTGACGGTCTCACCGTGTGCCAGGTTCTCAAACTTCTGAGCGAGCTCTTTCATGGACAGCTCGGTTTCAGTCTGGACCTCCAGCTTGGACAGTTCCCTCAGCATCTTACAGCCACTCAGCGCGCTCAGCACCGACTCGCCTGCCTGAGAGGGATACATGGAAATCAGACACGTGGTCCTTCTTATGGGGGACTGATTCTAGGGATATCAGAAAAACATTTCCCAGCATGTTCCATTAATTACTCACTGAAAAAATAATGCTTCGTAAAAATTAATGTAGACTAATCCCAATAACAGCCTATGCCACTGATCATACAATTGATGAAAAACCATGCTATAAAGGCTTTTAATTTCATTATCTCATCTATCTGAGAGAAAACCCTTCAATCATTTAAAAAGCCTGCACAGATGCCCCCCACTGACACACACACATGATGTGAGGAGGGTCCACACACACGTTCTGAGAACCGGAAACACACACACCATCTTACATAAAAGAGATGTCCCCAGGGATGTCCAAACTGTAAATGAATCAATCGAGGTGACGAGTGTCGCTGTTTTTAAGCTTGTAAAAAGTTCTGATCACATTTAGAACCACGTTATTTTGGATTGTTTCTACACTGTAATCCTCCACACCAGACTTAAAAGATGACTCAAAATATTGCTTAATTTATTCTTCTTTTTTTTTTTTTACCATCTCCCAGAAGAACATGGCCATCTCGCTGCGGTTTTGAAGGACGGCCCAGATGAAGAGTGAAGCCCAGGGGAAGAGGCAGCGCTTTTCTCTGTACATACAGTCTCCACGCAGCAGCTTACCGACACGCTGGGGTGGATAAAAAGAGAAGATATAACCATAAGAAAGTAACAGCGACAGGTGGAGTGTCATAAGTGTCGTTAAGCCAGGAGTTCAGCGGCTTTAATAAACGTCTGCATATTCGGCGAAGAAGAAATAAGAGTACCCTCAGAGCTCTTCTCCTATGTGAGATCTGTCCTAATCCCAAAGCACTGTAGTAAAACGGCTGGCAGACATCCCCCATTAACAGCTCCAGAACCCCCTCAACCTGAGGGAGAAAAAAAAAGACAAATGAGGGAATATTACAAAATACATTTCTAGCGTTATTTGGTCAAATCTAGACCCGAGGTATTAAAACCAACCTCAAAAAGGCTGATCTCCGTTGAAGGGCCGCTATGAATGTTCTCTGCGGCCACTTTGGAGGAAGACTCCGGCAGGTTTGATGATGTCACATGAGCTGCAGTACCTAGTCTCTCCACTAAGCGGCGCTGTAGAAGCTGGTAAAGCAACGTGCTGTCAGCCACAGAGTAATACAGGCTCTCCAGTCTACCGTATGTCAGATAGTCCAGGATGTTGAGGCCGTTCTCCGTGAAGAGGCGCACAAATTGAGGCTTGTCGTTAACCAGGGCGTCTGTCATGGAGTCCTCCAAGTCTTCATACTATTCCAGAGAATAAAAGGTCTATTAGTTTGTTATTATTATTAATACTACATTATTAGAAATTTCAAAATTTTTCTAACAAGTTTTTTTGTCTTTAAACTCCACACTTAATACATCTTCATCTGGCTGGATGCATTTCTCAGAATGTGACATCTGATGGGATATTTTTCCCCTCTCACCCTCCACTGGATGTCTCCGTTGAAGAGTTCACTCTTGGCGATGTCCACCCTGTTCCACGTGACTGCAAGCTTCAGCTCTTCACTGTAAGGGCTGTCATCAACGGACGCACGATGTTTGCTAGCTGGAAAACAAAACATAAAACAAACATCAATTTAAAAACTTGTCACCGCTTGGGGCTGTTAATTCTTCTTCTAGCTGCACTAGGCTGTCTCTTATCCAGTTTAAGGCGCTCCATAGACTTCATTACAGCAAATATAAACTCTCCAGAATATTTCCGGATACAATTGATGAAACTTGTGGTAGATGCCCTCAGGCTCCTTGCAACCTGACTCACATGTTTTGGTCCTGTTCTCAATTAGTTAATTACTGGCAGTCCTACTTTAAGTCCATCTCCGACATTTTAGGTATGAACATCAATCCATCCCCACATATAGCTATTTTCGGTAGGTCTCCTGACGATCTTGCCACCTCGACCACTCAGGACAATGTTATTGCTTTTGCCTCTTTAATTGCCCGCAGCAAAATCCTTCTCTTATGGAAATCTTCACAACGTCCCTCCTTCAAAGCATGGCTGCCTTCTAAGCATCTTGCTCTCTGCCTTGTTTTTCAAAGCTGTGTATTTAGAGGTGCTGTATAACTATTTTTATATTTCTATTACGTACCTCCCACCAAAGCTTTTAGCAGGACTGTATCAAAGTCATTTGGGCCCTCCTGCTCTCCATGGTAGATTGTGATCAAGTCTCTGTTCTGGTAGATGCTCAGAGCCTGGAGACACAGAAACAAGGAGAGAGAAGAAAGAAGAAAGAATAATATTAAGAATACTTAGAACTTTATCTTCATAGTACTAAAAAACTTTTCAAATGCTTTAAAATGAATGAATGAAAGATAGCAAAGCGATGAACAACATGGGAGAGACAGAAAAGTGTCTACTAGCAAAGGCTTTATTGTGTGGACGATTTCAAGCGAGAGTGTAAATATAAAGACAGAAAACGAATATCAAACACAGGTAAAGACATTTGATTTAAGAAATAAAACCAGCTTTTATACGAGTGTGTTTTTAGGTCAAAACTGGCTACTGATTTTCACAGGTAGGCAAGTCTGGCTGCAACTGTATGTAAGAGCAGTAATTGTAGAATGATCAACCGAGATCTGAGATATCTATTTGTCTTTGTTCAGAAGAGAAAGAGATTAAAGAGATCATGATTCCATCAAGTACACAGCCTCTCTGTGCTGAGTGATAAACTACAGTAATAGTTAAGCAGAAAGCGAAAAAGACAAAGTCGGTATCTTATCAGTCTCCAGTCAATCAGACGACCAATCACAACACAGCAAAGTGAAATTTTGGCCACTTACGGAATGAATAGATCACTGATCAGCTTTACTCTTGTTTCAACATCATTTCTGATTAAAAAAAGAGATCAGTGAAGATAAAAAGAAATACACTGCTTTTCACATTTCATAGAAAGTCAGATTTCTAATGCACAAGAAGGACTTTGACAGCAGATTTCATCAAAACATCGTGAGTGTCTGTTTCAGGTCCTTCTTTAGTTTGATAGTCATTGGCTACATACTATACAGCCGTCCTGTATTTCTCAGGGTTTTCGTCAGCTGCTGCATGAAAACTGAAACTGTCTACCAAACCGCAGCTTTTGTAGAAGTGAAAACAACTGAATAACAGCCAGCAGTTTCGGGAATCTGGGTCAAACTGAGTCAGGAAGTAGATTGAGAAGAAGCGTGAGGTGTGCAGAGCCAGATTAGCCATAATTAATATAACTGGCAATAATAGCAACGTGCTGAAAAACATGCTAGTAGGTGCTAATAAACACCATTCACATAGAAATGTTTTGGCCTATTATATTGAGTTTTGTTTTTTTAAGACTAAAAATAAACTCTTGAGCATGAAAAGCAGGACGAGAGATCATCAATATGATCAGACAAGCCCTGAGACTGTGAGCGTTTACGTCTTTCAAATCTAGCCAGGAGCTCATGAATATACAGCTTCCTCCTGATGCACCTGCCAAAAGTCAAACATTTAGTCTGTACTGACCCGTTCCACCAGTTTGTCTGGCTCCGCTTCAGTAGGGAAGTGCTTCTTAAACCGCTCTGCCAGTCTGTCCTTCAGATCCACGCTGGGACCCGCCTCGCTGTCTGCTTCACCAGAGGACTGCACCGCCGCCGGGGCCGATGACAGATTCTCCAAGACATCGCTCAAGAAGTCAGCGAGGCCTCCTGATCCGGCCAGCACCAGCCACGGCATGGAGGTCTTCAGAGACAGGTCCACTCTCTGACACAAATAAGGAAAAGAGAGATAGACTTTTATCTGTAGAGGAGCCTTAAAAGAAAATGATAATAGTGATAAATGAATCAAAACGGAACACATGAACGGTGTTGGCTGTACCTCCAGCAGGCTTGTGTCCCCTGATACCAGCATACAGATGACTGGAATGTCAATGCTGCCACTGCCTGCAAAAACAAACACGTGCTAGTTTTATTCCAACATTAATTTCTTATTTTAGACTTGATTCCCTTTATGATGATTCCTGCAGACATTAAACAAACTGCTTATTTTTCTTGTAATGCAAGAGCTTAGAGATAGCACGGACACTGATAGAGGCTGCTACACTGCAGACAAATCTCAGCTGGATTATACATCTTGATGAGTCGAGTCTCATATACACGCAGCGGCATGCAAAGGCTTTCCTCCAGTGGATAACAGGGGATCATTTTATCGTCACATGTTGTAGTAAAAGTTCACCACAGGAGGGCCAAATAGTTTGGATTCCAGACCGAACGTGTGAGAGCATGCACGGTTAAATTGGCAGACATCTCTTTTCAGTTTACAACAAAAATACATTCTTGGAATAAGAGTTCAGAGGTCTACTTTCTTCAGCTGTAAATGCCAGGATGCACAATTCTACATTCATTTTATATTTACTGTGTATCTATATCACTTACCCCAGATGCCTGTTCGCTGATGGGAGATGAAGTCTTCCAGTTTGGCCCTGAAACCCGTCTCTCCTCCTCTTCGGCCTTCACTCCCATCGTCAACCAGCAGAAACGCCTGGTAGTTGTTGTCAAGGCAACAGGAGTCCCGGGACGTGTTCTGGACGTAGTATTTAGCAGGAAAGCTCCCCTGTAAGAGGAAAGATCGAGAAATATGATAGAGCAGCGTTTCATAGAATAAATGTCAACATCTGCAACCCTATGGGGAATCATTAAAAACACCTTTAGTTTATTATTAACGGGAAATCATACATTTTAGGAGGCTAAATGAATTTGTGATTACAACGAATGAGTGTTTGTACAACCTGAGGGTTGACCAACTGCTGTCTGTTGTGCACAAGGCCCCAGGGAGCGATGCCCAGAGCCACCACCTTGTTGAGAGACATGGACGAGGCTGCAGTGGCATGATCCCTCACCGCTTCTCCTACACACCTGCCAACACCTTCACGCAGGCCGGCTGTCATTATCCACGCACCTGGGTAGAGGAGTAAAAGTAGAATTCTGGCTTGATTTTACGTTGTGTGGATAATTTATATTATTATTATTACCATCAATTATGGATAATTGGGAACAGTTCTTTAGTGAGTGTATTTAAAAGTCTTAAAACTGTTGATTTGTATTTACTGTTCATTTGTATAGAAACAAATAGCGTGTAAACCAATGAAAAAAACCTCAGCATTTAGAGCCTACGTTTATTTGCAATGTCTGTCTCGAAACAGGAATAGAAATGTGGTTTCCTCTATGTAGCAACTTTCTTTGAAACGGTAGTAATGATAAAAATATAAAAAAAGATCATAAAACAAAGTGCAATACGAGAGAATCTGACCAGAAATCATCAAAATGAAAACTGAAGGAATAGAAATGCTGAGAACAGAAACTTCCCCAGTCACAAATGGGGAACTCATATAGATATATATATATGTATGTATATATTGTGGGCACACATAATATCTTGTTGGAATTTTATTTTTTACTTTTTGGGACTTCAGGGGCTCCGTGCAAATTCATGTCACATAAGAAAAGAAAGTCTCTTTTGTCCCTGAGAGAAATTGTCTAACTGTCTTACATGTTTGCTCTGTGCTATTCATTTATCCTTTTTACTGTTGACCGTTGACCGAGCATGTTAATGACATGGGGGTATGTAAACTTGTGTATACAGAATACACATTTTTTTGTAATTCTAATGTATAATTTCATAATGTATTTTCAGTATCTGTTGTTGGATTGGGATGGGACTTTAAATTCATTCAATTTTAAATTTGTAGAATCCCCATTCTTATTGTTAATGATGTATTTGCATAATGTGAAGTCAAAAAAAAAGAAGAGGTATAAGAAAAGATTTATATATGACCATTGAAATATACTTAAGTCATGATATGTTCCTTTATGCAGCTTTGACCATATAAAAACAATTTGTTCTATCAACACTGTTCTGTGTCTTATCCTGACAACCATGTTTGTTCTGAGGCCAAGCAGTAGCAACCTGTCAGCTGAATGTTTTTGCATGCATCTGATTATCTTCGCTTTGATCTGAGTCCTTGGAGAGAGCAGAATAGTGAAAACTGACCTCAGATGACGGGAGATCAGTATCGTGGTGCGCCACCTGTTCTTGGCACAGTAGTCTAGAGGAAATGGCCATTGTGCTACCAAATTATGGTGCGACCCCGGGGAGTCATATGGATTCATTACGCTAATGCATTTTGTAACAGCTGTATTTTTCAGACTAAAGCCACAATGACTGAGTTCTGTATCTTCCAAGTAAGGAGTTGATTCTTATTTAGCAACTTCAGCCAGTTACTTAGAAATGATTAAGAAATGCAAGGGACAATATAGAGAAAAGAAACAAAGAAATGAAATAAGGAAATCATTTACTACAAATTCGAATAAAGCAGAAGCAACTCAATCTACCAAAGTATTTGTGGCCAAAGTTGTGGTTTTCAGCAGAATTAGCCGAGTTAAAATGAAATCTGTTAAAGACCTTTTTACAACATATTGAAAGTGAAATGACTGATATGTCAACTTGTATAATGGAAAACCATATATAGAGGAATCTACTATTAAGATACATTTTTTACATTACTGTCAGGCAAAAACAATCTTAATTATTTGAAATAAAATAATAAAAATAACTGGAAAATTTAGGGAAAATGTCACTAAAAGCACCCAGTTTTAATTATTAAGTAATTGAGGCACGTATATTCCTCTCTGATACAGACAGCAGAAGAAATGGTGCATGTTTAACTGAATGTCTACGGCATTCTCCACCAATCATCGACAGTTACAACAATCCAACTTCAGTTTGTATGTGATGTGATTAACATGGACGTGCTGCTTTACTTCTCTTTACTTACCGATACTACAATGCAACAATAATATTCACCTAAACTTTGACCTGACTTTTGTTTCATTAAGTGTTTACCTGTACTTTGAGAGGCTTTCACCAGTCCCTGCCTGAGCACCTCGCGTACCCAAGTCTTCACCTTTGTCCTGCCTTCTCCACCCACCACAGAAACCACCAGGTTGGGTGAGGGGAGACCCCAGTGGGCCGTCATCAAGGTGTAGACGATAGATGGGGGTGTGTCCCATGACAGACGCAGGTACTGAGATTCCCAAGAGAGAGAAAATAGACCATTGACTGATTAAAAAACAAATACAACTCCAATAAGTGGTTACAAAAATAAAAGCTGTGATCATTAAAAGCTACAGCAAGGATTTTTAAGCTAGTTTTAAAACAAACTGATATAACTTTATGACCCATAAAAGTCAACAAGACCATCCACATAAAGGCTGACGATTGTTAATGCTTTTTCATTGTCTAAAAAACGTTACCGGGACTGTAGGTGTCAGACGAAGTGAAAATCAGCAATTTACATTTTACATGGCAAAGTTGTTTTTTTTTTACATGTGATACAATAAACTGCAAGTACTGAGTTTTTATGTGAAAAATGCTACTTATATATGTATAGGAATATCACTGGAGCATTAAATATCAATAATTAAAAAATCTAAGAATATGGAAATCAACATTTATCAGGTAAATTAAAAGGCCACCCACAGAGCTGTGCCTCTTGCTGGCTCCTGCAAACTTTAACTCTCCGAAGGCATCAGTCGGGTATTCGGAGGAGTGCTGGGCGCTGTCCCAGTGGTTGACAATCGCTGTGCTGAAGTAGTCACCCAAAGCCACGGAGGCATGTTCGTCTCTAGCACCCCCACACTGACACAGAGCACCATTGCTGAGAGAGGTAAGTAAATCACACGTGAAGACATGATCACCCTGTTGTTGCATCACCACAGTAAACAAAGAGACCCCTACTATCACAGAGGAATGTGATCCACACAGAGCTCACAGTACCTGAAAGAGTCTTCTACAAAGGTGGTGCACACTCTTTTCTTGATGATTTTGGGGATCCAAGTCTGAAAAGGTTTTCAAAAGGTTAATTAACAGCATATATGTACAAGCACATTTAGTTTTGAAAGGGGTTCAGGTCCCTACCCTTTTACGCCTGGAAATCATGCAGAGTGTAGTAAACCGCTCGAATATGAAATGTTAGCTTTGGCTAGGAGGGATAGCTGGCGATACTTTGGTGAGGTATGCAGTGCTTTAACACCTGACTCTGAATTCTGAGTAGGTGCAGTAATTTCAGCTCCAGTTTCTAACTGTGTGTGTGTGTGTGTCTGAGAAGGGGAACGAGTGTGTGGATGACATGTGTGCAGTGCATACAGTACATTCATAAAATAAAATAAATAAATAAAACATTTTGGGGTGGCATTAGCTCAGTCTGTAGGGACCAAATATGGAAGTTGGTCTAGTAGCTGCTGAGGTGCCCCTGAGCAAGGCAGGCACCAAACCCCACCAGCTCAGGAGTGCCTGCCGTCGGCCGCTCCATCACTCTGACATCTCTCCATTAGTGCATGTCCATAGGATCCTGTGTGTGCATGTGTGTGTATATTTCAGTGTGTTGCATGCGTACAGAGTGTAAAAACAGAAATCAATAAAGTTAATTCTGCAGTGTTAAAGCAAACAAAGGAGCCCCACTGAACTGGTTTCTTTAACTTTGGATGGCATCTCTTTCTACCTTAGCGACAAAACTTAAACCTAGAGTTTCTTTATATATATATATATATATCTTTTTTTCTTTATTACATTTTGATGTCAATATAGAAGTGTCACAACTTGGATAAATCCCTCCCACACGATCATCTGTCCAGTCAGAAAAGTGTCACTGTTTACATCTCATTTAGTTGTGCCAGTCAAGTCCACTCTGCACACCTTAACGGAATGCAGCCAATACACACGTAATAATATTTTAATATCCATATTAACCTCAAGCACAAACACGTTTAATGTGTTGTAGTTCAGCTAACGTCGCTGATACAGTAAAAAAACATAACACAGGGGGCATGCTCTGTGCTCGTATTTGTTTCAGTAGTTCTCGATAACTTCTATTATAATTAGCGTTGTTTTTGATAATTCCTCCACGACCCGGTAACCTCCGTGTTGTTACCCAGTTGTACAGCTGTTGAATGTTTCAAGCTAGCTTAACTTCCGGTTTGACACGTATCCATAAACATGAGCAGAAAGTTGCTGGACTTGGCTTCAAGCGGGTCAACACGCGTTGTTGTTTACACACAGTTTGCCATGCTTTCAGAGCATTTTGGTTTCCCCCAAGAACAAGACCCTAAAAACTGTTGAGTACGACCACTTCAAACGAGCTGCTAAGAAGTAGGAAATGTTTGTCCTGCAGCGCTCGTCATTGTGACTCAGAACAACTTTCATTTCACAGACTACACTTTTTTTTTTTTTTTATCGTTTCACCATTGAAGGCTTCACCCACCGCGATATCCCAAAAGAAGCAGAATGATTTGAACTGTACCCACCTGGTCCTTTTCAGATTTAGAAATGTGGTCGCCACCTCCTCCTCCTTCTCCTGTGTCTCTCATTGTTGTCTTCTCCTCCGTTCGCCTCACTCACAGATTATGGGAGGAAGAAAAAGGCTTCAGTGTTTCTCTTGGACCATTCTCCAGGGATGAGGCTAATATCCTTGGATTTGCTCTGACAAAAATGTATCCTAAACTCTAAAAAAATGCCATTTGAGGACACAAGGTGCAGAGCGGACACACCACACAGGTGAGGGTGTGGTTTTTTTTTTTTTACAAGAGGCACACAACCTGCAAATTCCTTAAATCAAGGAGGGGCAATTTGTAGCCAGAGAGACTGCATACCTGGGGTGTGAACTGAGCCAAATCTTAATCTTCTCTCAAAATGAGTTAATTTCAATGGAAAAGCTCCCCCCCCCCCCCTCCTCCCTCCTTGAAAGAAAATCCTCTTTGCCACTAATGACTCAATCATTTTGACACCACTGTAGCAGACAGACAACTGAAGACACATGACTGAGGTATTTGCTTCTTTGCTGTTTGGCTAAAAATATCACACATTAAGACCTGGATTTCCAACAGTGCAAGTGTGAAACCACCATCAAGGACAACTTACTTCTTCGTTGTACTGTCCCAGTCGTATTTGCTCTGTGTTTTTGTTGTTTTTTCCTTGTCAAAGCAACTTTGAGTATCTAGAAAAGAGCTATATAAAACCAATTTATTATTATTATTATTATTAATAACTAAAGCCAGATGGTTTACCCCTTGGAAATATTGAATCATTTTCCTTGTAGGAATCTGTTTCCCTAGGTTAATCCAGGCATGCATTAATTGCAAGTCAACTCCAGACATTCGTTGATATAAAATATTTATTAAACAATGCATTTAAATATTGAGGAATTGATACTATAAAAAGAAATATGGTGAAGCATTTCACGCAGCATTCAAACATCCACATTGTGTGTGTGTTTACAGAGAATAAATCCACGTTCCAAGTACCAGTCAGTCCGAACATATAAACAGAGATATTTGGTTGTAAATGCATTTGAAGAACCGTACTCCTCTTTAGTCCATATCTATGTTTTCTCCTCTCGTCCCTATCTGCCGAATCCCTGTGGGCTGTCTGCCTCCTTTGACACGTCTTTTCCTTTTATCTTGTTGATGTGGTACAATGTGTTGGCCAGGTTATGAAGCTGGCACGTCCCAAGTTGGCAGCCATGCTGAGGTGCGCGCCGTGGACGCAACTTCAGTGCCATGCTGTTAATAAAAAAAGAAGTTGAAAGAGGGCGAACAAATATTAGATTAATTAAAATACAAATATGAGCGTTATATTATACACTAGGGCTTGAGTTTTATATCAATTTGCTAATGTATTTGCTCTTTCGTACCTGCGTTTCAGTGCATCCAGGTCCAGATGTTTGTCCTCTGCATGAAATGGGATGATCTTCAGTGCCTGAGCATGGTGCTCCTTTGTGTCCTCTGAGCTTTCAGCAGCTGAAGCCTGTACAGTGTCCTCTGGGAAGACAACGTCTTCGTCTGACCTGTGAGTAAAAAAAAAAAGAAGGTCCTTTTTGTTTACATTTTTTAAAGATAATCTAACACAAAGTCCAGTTCATCCTGAAACCAGTCTGCAGCAGAATCTTCAAATCCTTTTGGAGGTTCATTTTGAATAGAAACCAACACAAGGAAAATAAATCAAACATAAACGCTGATAAACTTCTTTGTGTGTTTTTTTGTAAGTAAGCACTTGTGAATTTGATGCCTTCAAATTCTATTGGTGTCTTAGTCAGCATCCTCTCTTGTAAACTCCTTTTACTGCTACCTTGTGTCTGAAATGTCTTGATATTTTAGGTGATACTTCAATATGGTATAATGAGTATTTTACCTTCATTATTAGCAGTGTATTTACTGATGTTCTTACTGACCTGTGAAGGGGTCTAAGAGGTGAGGCAGAAGTCAAAGGGACAATCAGCAGCAGCAGAACAGCTATCTCCATACCGCACAGGCCTGTGGGAGAAAACACCATTAGTGATGCTGAGAAAAACACACCGTCCTGACCAGAATAATTCCCCCTAGATCGTCTGACAAAGTCAATATTTAACCTCAATAACTCAGACAACAAACCTGTGACAAGAAAGGCCATTAAAGATGATAGTTATTGGTTAGACATGTGTTCAAAACATCATAAACATGAATCCAGGATGTAACTTACCACCAAAAGAAACCCAAGATCTGCTGTGGCTTTTTTTAATTTTTTTAATGGAACCGTTCAAAGTCTCTTGTTGATTGTTGGATGCTCAAGTCTGACATCCCTCTGTACCTCTGGTCCTTTATAGTGATGGCACAGTGAAGGGGTGTGTCTTTAACGCAGTCATAGTGGCAAACCAACTCCCACACTAATAAATCATCAGTCACTGTGGCAGTTTTGTTTTTCTTTATTTACAGGCGCTATGATTCCAAAATAAACATAATATATCAGTCCTTAGCAAAACATTAAACATAAACTCAATGTGACCTTGTACCCTTTGCCATGTTTACATTGATTTTTATGTTCACTCTTTGCTCGACATCCCCCCCCCCCCCCCCCTCATCCACATCCTCCTCCATCCCTCAGCTCTCTCGCTCAACTCGCTGCTGAGCAATTGTTCCAGAAATCATTCTTTCATCCCTATCACCTGCAGGAAGCTCGCGGAGCCCAAAATAACCTGATTTTCCTTCAGGCTTTTCTTTATCGCCTCATTTTTCCTGTGCCTTTTTCCCTTGAGTCACTTTGGCCATCACTGTGTTTATTCCTCAAAATGCCCTTCACTCAGCCCCCTGTTCACATACAGTGTTTGAAAAAGACCTCAAGATAGTCAATCTAATTAAGATGACCTTATTGAAGCAGTCAAGATTGGTTCCTGCTTGTGTTAGCCATGCAAAAAAAAAAAAATCTTAAGCTTTGAGACTTGGCCAAATACAGACACCTCTAGGAAATAATCTCAGAGTTCTTCATCTTTTAATAACACAGTAAGTCCTCAGGGAGTTAGTGATACATTTAATGTTTTCCAACCTTCGCACTAAATTTCTCCCAGCCTCTCTCCTTCTCTCTGAATCACAACTTCCCCCTCTGGAGTCCATTGTGTGGCCTTCCTGTGACCATCTGGGCAGGTTGTGTTTGTCAGAGCAGTGCACTGAGTCATGACAGGCGCGCGTGCACTGGAGAGGGCAAGCCGTTGAATGAGAATGCAATCCTGTGCTTTCTCACAAGCATAATAGTCGATTGCATCAAATGTTTGATGAGTAATTTCCTCGAGAAGTGCTACAACCTGCACGACAGCAAAGATTATGTGCTGAATGAAAAAAGGCAGTCTCTCGTAAAACCGTGACCTGTTTTCGTCATAACTACACGAGGAAGCAAGCTTTACAAAAATAAAAAAATAATGGATTAGGCAATATAAAGCAGATTATTCTCACCTATATTGATAAGAAATGCATGCTCAAGCTGTGTAGGAAAACAACATTTTGGCAATGCCTGGTTCCAGGTCCTGCTACCATGAGCTGCTACGTTTATTTAGTGATAGTAAACTGCATACACGTGGGTTTTAAAGGGATGTTTTTCACCGTTCTTGTCATTTTACACCCTTAATAATTTCTATGATACACAAGAAACTGAGAAAACAATAAGCAGGATAACGGGTCATGTCATCTTTCATTGCAGTATTACAGGGATGTTGCAATGGGAAACATGTTGGAAGGTATTCTCCATATGGAGAGTAGGTCGAATAATGAAGAGAAATCTATATTGCTGTTTCTCCCACCTTAGCATTTATAAGCACGAAACCATTCAAACATGCTTTCACTTCATTTTTTTAAATTTGTAAGCAGATCAACGTTTTGTGTGAGGAATGCGATTGTTTTCATCTCATTACTGCACCGTTATGTGCGTCCTAACTGTTTAGATGTTTTTCTATTTCATTGGATCTAATTTGAATACGTTCATATTATTATTTCTTAATTGATTTCAACTCATTTTTTAAGGCGGTTTATTGCTCATAGTAAGTGTCCTGCAGGTAATAACATTGTAAATAGATACTGAGGTATGCCTGGCCTTTACAACAACAGCAACACATGTTGATGCTTTGATACGACCGCATCAGAAATGACAATATAGCATAGTGTACTTGTAGTTTCTTATAAAACACCCTGAACACATCATCCTGACTGTTTTTCTTTTTTTCCTTTTTTATGTGGTTGTTGTTAAAGCGACACACGGTTTAGGCTGGAGGGCAAGAAAAGAAAATGCACCCAAACCTTGAGCAACTCCTTATATCTTTGTCTGTTCATGATGACTAAAGACAAACAGGTATAATGTGAAAACAATACACACACTGACATTAAAATAAAAGATAACAGAAATATCTTAATTACAAATGTACAACTGGGTAATTCAATACCTCGACACAGAAAGTAAACAAAAGATAAAATACCCTCACTATCATAGGCAAATATCTCACTGGTGTAAAAAAAAAAATGTACTTAAAAAAAATACAAAAAGGTGAAGAGGTTTAAAACTGCTTCTTTAAAAGTGGACTGACCCTTAAAAGCTGACAGAGATCAGTTGAGTTTAGGCTACATGTTTTATGGCATGTCTCAGGTATTACCACAATCATGATGTCAGTGTGTGTCAGCATGATTAAAGCAGTCTGTCCTGAATTCAACACGTCAGGGACAACACTTGTTTTCTTCCACTACTTTTAAAGGTCACTTTGGGTCGTTTGTCTGACTTGTTGATGTCCTCCTTCTCAAGTGGCTTAATTTATCTTGGAGGAATACAGGTTCACTTCCATGAGAATACTTGTCTCCCACTATCCCTGACGTAACATGCATCCTGTTGTTGTAAGCCTCCGACCACCAGCCGGCCACTCCAACACTCCCGGCCGTGTTTCCTCTGCCCACTGGGCACAAGAGTGAGCATCCTGCCAGGAAAGACTGCCATTCACTCGCACTTCATCTTCTCACACATTACGTCTCTAAGGGCACTCAAGACACTTTGCAACAAGTGTGTAAACTCCGGCCTTATCTTCACAGTATAACGTGTACGACAGGTTAGCTAAATTTAAAACAAAGACATCCGACTTAGTAGAATAAAGTCAGATCAAAACATTTGCTGCCTTCCCTTTATATGCACTTTGGGTTCTGGCCAAGCTGATCTTATGAGTTTGGATCTTTTGTATTGTCTTTCAATGGAACCTTTATGATGTACACTCATTGTGTAAGATATAACCTCGAGAGACTTTTAATCGGATAAACTCAGCCATGAAATATCTCCATCTTGTGGGAGTGCTATCAAACAGAATTGTAATACAGATTGCGCAACATGTAGTCTGCTGTACTCGTGCATTTACATGACATCTGAAGCTGTAAAAAATCAGCTAATGGGGAAAAACAGAGTTGTGCCATCTTAGGTGAATCTGCAGACACATTTTTCTGCTGAGGTTTTTGAATCCACTTTTGCCGTCAAACGCTCCGCTGTGGTTATGCAACAGCCTGAGATGCGTGATTAAAACTAAAATCTTAATGGTGAGTGCGTCGCTCGGTCATTCTCAAGCCATTAAGAGATTTGAAGTGAAAGACTGCGTTGGATTGGAACGGAGAGAGAGACAATGAGAGAGATGAGAGAGATGTGCCACACAAGTCTAGAAAACCTGTAGGTTAAAGGGTCAACACAGAGATATAAGCTTTGAGTCCATTAGTGGATTATAACCATAACCACTCCATGAGTCCTGCACCTCTCTAGGATTAAATAGAGAGAGAGAGAGAGAGAGAGTGAAACAAAGAGGGAGAGCAAAAGAGAGATATGCTGAGCGCATGAAGGTGACTGGAAAGCAAGTGAATTCATCAAATTTAAAGGGAGAATATAGTTAACTGTGCAAACTTGGACTGGAAACACTGGCAGACGAGCTCATCTGAAGCACTCTGGTGTGGGAGATCTAAAGTACTTTTGGTAGACTTAAAATATATCATCTGGCTGATAAAATCCCAGCACAAGGTAAGTCTAGACAAATATATTTAGTGATCTGTCTGTCGTCTTTTTTATGTGAGTGTGGTTTTTTTTTAATATTTATATTTGTCTGTGTGTGTGAATAAAATGTTCTCGTTGATAATTGTGTAAAACGTGTAAGGAAGCATTTATCACTCGTGATGAACGTTAGGATAAAGAGGCAACATTTGTGTTTTATTGAAAATCTCTGATTCTAATGTGACATATTTACTATATTTCCATAAACTCAAAGCATACTATATATAATGTGTATGTTTTGACATTATGTATTGAATCATGCCTATTTTCTGTCACCCCCATTATTGTTGTGTAACTTTAATTTTGTTATGGCCTCATATTGTGTGTGTGTGTGTGTGTGCTAATGTGTGTGTGCGTGTGCAGTAAACATGGTGGTGGACCTTGAGGGGATTATCCGCTGCATCAAGCAGGGGGATGAGAACGGTGTTCAGTCACAGCTGCAGGAGTTCAACAAAGAGGTAACGCAGTGTAGAAGCTGGCACACACTGGAGTTAGGCTGCTGCTGTGACACTTTCAGCCCCTCACTTTGTGTCCCTCTCTCCCCTGCAGTACGCACAGTGTTTCTTCTTTGATGCAGAGGAGAGGGAGCGAAGAAGAGTAAGTCGGTTGGTGTTGCGCTCATTCACGGAGAGAAAGTGAACTACCCTGTTAACCCTCTCCTCCGTGTTCTCTATCCCTGCTTACAGTCTGTCTGTGATTAGTATTTCTGCTGTGCAAGTTGCCCCTGATCCTCTCTCCCTGCATGCGCCGGCAGATTGGGCACAGACAAAGTGATTGACACATCGCAACATACAGTATGGTAATCTCTACAACACAGAGAGCTCTGTTGTCTGCAGTCACTGTGCAGCAGCTCTCTGGCCATATTCACACTACCAAGCAGTAGGTCAGTAGTAAGTAAGCAGTAGTCTCAACTTGTGTTTTTAGTCTACAACACAGTTCAAAAATCCAAAACATAACATAAACATTAAAACAAGTTACAGGTCATCTGAAGGACTCCTAAAAGAGCAGTTTACAGTGAGCCAAATGCTGCCAGTACTGTGCATCCTGTTGTATGAAAACAATGAAATAGTATGTTGTTTTTCTATAGAGATAGGCGCCATACCTTTTTCATTATAGCTTTGTATACTGTAGTGACCAAAAAAGTTAATTCTGATTAAGAACCTTATAAAGCTCATTTCAGGAGCACTAGTGGTAGCCTAGTGTTTATGTCACGCACCCCACGTACAGAGGCTATAGTCTTTGCCGCAGCAGCAGCAGCAGTCATGGCTCTTTGCTGCATGTACATGGTAAATGGACTTGAGCTTATATAGTGCTATTCTAACTACTTAGAGTGCTTTTATGTCACACCCACCCATTCACACACTGATGGCAGAGGCTGTTACGTAAAGTGTCCATCAGTATTAACTAATCCGTTCATACACATTTATGCACCGCTGACAAAGTGGCAGTAGCAACTTGGGGTTAAGTGCCTTCACATCGGACATCCCCCCCCCTTCCCTCCCCCCACCGTCATTTCCTGTCTAAATTCAGATAAAGTCATATCTCATTAAAAAAGGCTAAAATGCCCCCCCCTGCTCATTTCAATGAAATATATTTCTCCCTTCATGTCTGCCTCCCTAATGAGAGTTACATTTTAACTTTTTAATGTTTTTTTTCTAGAATTTCCTTTCATTTTCATTCGAATGCACCTTCTCGTTACTTTACCTGAATTTTATTCTGTCCTGTTTCTAGATAGCAGCGAGGTCAAAACTTTATGCCAGCAGAATTTCCACAAGCTAGACACTTTTGTTCAAATACATTTTTTCTTTCTCTTCTGTTGCGCTGCTCAACGAAATCTTACCTTCCACCTCCAACAGAAAAGAAAACTAGAAGAGGTACGGTGCCCGCGACAGTTCAGAAATAATGTTTACATTTTGTTTCTGATTTCACAAGAGAGGATCAAAAATAATTCAGAAACTGCAATCTAGTATAAAACTTTGACTTTACTTCTTCTCCTCTCTCCTGTTCCAGTTCAGGAAGAACAAAGTGAGGGAGTACACTGATTCTGACTCGGACTGTGACGAGTATGACCAGGAGAATCGAGACCTTATCCTCAGACAGGTACCTGACACTATCATGCTCTGCTTGCCCAGAGGTTGTTTTAAAAGGAATGTCATAAAACTTCAATTCTTTTTTTTCTGTCCCTATCCTCAGAATTTAGCTGTTGTCCTTGTGAGGTTCATCAGTACAGGAGTTAAATGTCACGTGTTGAGATTATGTCTGCGCTCCCTGAGGATCCTCTCCAGAGACAAGAAGGTCCTCGGCCCCCTGGTCACCGACAGCGCTCTCATCACTCTGGCCAGAGTAGCCGGCCTGACTACAGGTGATGCATGTGATGAAGGCGGGGACCCTGACTCGGATTTCTATGACAACATCATCGCTTCTGTCTCTGAGGCCAGAGTTCTGCAGAGTTGCTCTGTAGAGGACGGAGATAATGTTGAAGCCAGTGACCAAAACGAAGAGTGCTCGGCTTTCGATGAGGACGCCAAGAGTGACATAAGCATCGCCAACAGCGGTGACCTGGACAGCATCAGCTGGTGCGGGAGCCACCGGCCCAGCATCAACGAAATGCACCGAGCCGGAGACCACCACAAGGTGCTGGAGCGTGGGAGGAGGGACCGCAGGGAGAGCCAGATGGATGGGGAGGGAGAAGAGGAGGAAGGGCAGTTGGGAGAGGATTTGCAGAGAAAGGAGGCCATGAAGGTGTTGTGTAATGTGGTATACAACAGTACCTGGGCACAGGAGCGGTTCAGTGCTCTCAGGTGGGATAACTGGCAGAAACATGCACATACAACAAAGCATATAACAATCAAACGTAGACATGCATTGGTCTCTATGATATTTAGGCTCTAGGATAAGGACAGATTGTGTAAATGAATCCAAGTTGGAAAAGCATTCACATTCCACCTATTCATTTTTGGTGTCGATCCTTTGAATCTGGCAAATTGTTCTGCTTGAATTTAACAACCAGCTTTGATTTAAAGCAACAACCACCTGTCTGTTAACAGACGGTTCCACAAAACTAACCAAATGTTTTCCTGAATCAGGCTCTTGTGTGGCCTCACAGAGCGCCTGTCCTCCAGTAGGAGCTCCTCATCTCCGTCCAGTGGTCAGTTTTATGAACTACGCCTCATGTTTCTCATGACGGCACTTCGGCCAGAGCTCAGGACTCAGCTTCAACAGGTCACATATGCTCACTTACCCTAAATAAACATGTGAAATAGTTAATTACATAGAATAATAGTTCATATATGATGTAAATGATTCTGATAAGCTGTATCTCGTGTTGATCTTGAAAATAATTATTGACCAAGATTCATGCTGCACACGTGAGTTCTGGTTTCATTCCTGCACTTAAAATTGTTCTGTTGCTCTAACAGGAGGGCGGCGTGTCCATCCTCACTGCAGCCATGGAGAGCAGCCTGGAGGTTCAGTGGAAGGACCAGTATGAGTGTGTGTCGAGCCCAGCAGAAGCTGCAGCACCCATCTCACTTGAAGCCTCTCAGCGTGTCATAGAGATCCTAAAAATCCTCTTCAACATCACCTACAGCATGCACAGGCAGGAGCCAAATGAGGTTAGTGAGTATATGATCATTAATGAAGCTGACAGCTTTCAGGTGGGATGTTTTGAGGAGATACACAAATAAACTTTTCTCTTTATTTTCATGATTTGATCGGATGAGTACAGTAGAGCCCTGGAGGTTACATGGGTGGGTTTTTTTTTTTATCTCGCACGTACGACTTACTATCTCGCGCGTGTGACTTATAATTCATGTCACTGATGTGGTTCCCCTCAGTCGTTGATGATACGTAGATGATGAAAAGAATCGCCGTTGACACTGACTTGCTTTCAAAAAGGATTATTTATTAACAAGAAAGCATCAGTAGACACGTCTGCCTAGGAGAGTCATGAAGCCAATAATGATCTCTGTCGAACACACAGAAACTCTGGTATATATGGACACACCCCACAGGAGAACAACATGGACATCTGTTTTTCAGGACAACCCCTCTCCATACAGCTGTGGGGGTTTCTGTCTCAGATGTATGTAGTATGTCATAAACTCAAAGGACAACACAGGTCCCAGATACAATCACTTGTCCAGACGTGGTCTCCACACCCTTAAGGAGTTCACCGATGTCTCAGGAATTTCAGATATTTCAGACACTTCATCACCTCCCGGGCTCCGTAGATGAGCCCAGTTTAGTACTCGAAGACTGTATGGCTGCATCCTGGCGCTCCCTCGTCTGTGAGCTCTCGTCTGTGAGCTCTCGTCTGTGAGCTCTCGTCTGTGAGCTCTCGTCTGTGAGCTCTCGCCTGGATGCCTGAAGCACTCTAATCTCTAATTTTCAACATAAAGCCATAAAGCTCCAGAAATCAAAATATCTGTAGTGTTGTGATATATTACATACTTAGTAGGTGTTTATATACGACGGAGGATTAGGGCCATGTTACATTTTTTTTTTTAATTTCGAGATTAAACTCGTAAATTTACGAGAATAAAGTCGCAAATTTATGACTTTAATCTCGAAATAAAAAATTAACGTGGCCCTAATCCTCTGTCGTATTTATACATTCAAGGCTAAATAAAAAAAAGCATTTTCGCCATTCTATATGTATATGTGCTTTTTGAGTTATATATAAACACACAGCTCAATCAGCAGCATCGGTTCAGCTGTTGAAAAAAAAACGTCACTCTAAAACTCTCCCCTGTGCGTGACTCATTTGGTCTTTTCATTCATGTTACAATTCACTAAACAGACGCTTTTATCCAAAGTGACGTACATCAGAGAGTAAGTACAACACTAATCCATTCATACACCGCCACTGAAGCAGCGGGAGCAATGCAGGGTTGAGTGTCTTGCCCAAGGACACATCGGACATGCTGCTCAGCTGGGGATTGAACCTTCCTATTGAGAGGCGACGACTCTACCAACTGAGCCACAGCCACCCATTCATGAATTCATTTGGGCTTCTTGTAAACCTCGGGCGCGTGACTCCATCTTCTTCACCGTCTTCTACACGCTTATCATCTTTTGACGCGGTGGTAATGTTTGAATTAATCATACTGTAAATATTAATTTAATTAATTGAATACATTTCTGGAGGAGCGGGGAGCCAGAGCGCATGAGACGAGAGCACACAGACGAGAGAGCGCCAGGATGCAGCCATACCCGACTCGTTTAGTCTGCAGTGTATAGAGGGACAAATGAGCTGAGCTGTGCCTCTTCTCCTTCAGGAAGATGCAGCTCTTTACCGACACCTGGTGGCGATCCTGCGTCTTTGCCTGACGAGGAAGTGCACGCTTTCAGATGACACAGACGAACTGCAGGGGTGAGCATGAACCTCAGTGAGGATGGTGAGAAAGAAAAGCTCACTGACAATCATAAATTCAAATGAGCTGAAAGGGCAGTAGGAGGTGTGAACAAGGATGACAGAAATACTCCATGGATTAATATAAATAATCCTGACACTCATTTAAAATGTGATGATATTGCAATAAAAGCACATTTCATTTTGTTAAATTAAATCAAATTAGAAGCTTTTAGGGTCAGTATTAATCTACATATAAAATATGTTTGAATAATTATGTGCTGGTTACTTACTCTACCTTTTATCTAAAGAACTTTTAATTCCTATCACAGTTTTATTAGCAGTATAACACTAGTACATCAGGCAGGCTTGTTCTGTTGAGATATTTAAAGCTAAGCTAAAGACTGTAGTGTATGAGTTATGATTTCTCTGTATGTTTTTCTGAGAGTCTGAGTGTGTTTTTAATTGTTTTTAGTTTCTGAAATGTTTTTAAACTGTATTTTGTATTAACTTTCGTCCATCACTTTGACTGAAAGCGCTATATAAATAAAAGTATGATATTGTGTGCTTCATTATAGGACACTTATTGTACGTTTGTGGTGGATGAGTTTACAATAATCCATCACGCCAAACCGAATCACATTCTTCACCTCTCTGCTGCTCTTTTTTTATTTAAAAACAACATTCATCCCTGATCTGTAATCATGTCTCAGTCACACAGTCAACCTGCTGTCAGCGCTGCCTCTGCAGTGTCTTGATGTGCTGCTGGTGGCTCCTGTGCAGGGAGACTCCCAGCCGAGTCAGGGCGTCAACATGGACTGTGTCCACATCCTCCTGCTGTTCATGGAGAGGCGCCTCGAGTCGGTGAGGGAGAATGCAATGTGCAGAGAGAATGACCAATATTCTTTAAAAAAAAATACAAATAACCTGAGGAAGTATTTTTTTCAGGGTGACAAGATCAAAGAAAAACTGACTCCGGTCCTCAACCTGCTGACAGAGAGCTGCAGGGCCCACAGAGAAACACGCCATTACGTCAGGAAACATGTAATAACCCCCCCAAAATAGGAAAGCTCTGAGAAAGCTCATGTTAAATCTTAACCTTTACTGGGTTATATCAACTTTTTTTTTTTTTTTTAAATCACTGAAATGAAAATGATTGCATCGTTTAGATCCTGCCCCCTCTGAGAGACGTGTCACACCGGCCAGAGGAAGGCTCCACAGTGAAGAATCGTCTGATCCGTCTCATGACTCATCTGGACACAGACCTCAAACACTGCGCAGCTGACCTCATATTTGTCCTCTGCAAGGAAAATGGTAACAATGATCCCTTCCATGAATTAACAGGGATGAATTAAATTAGAGTTTTCAGTCATAGAAATACAAGTCTATAAAGCTAAATGATCATATTGCATTGTTGTTTACAAGCTCTGTCTCCAACGACCATCCCCCTCACTTCTTCTTCCAGTTAGACGTTTTGTCAAGTACACAGGCTACGGTAATGCAGCAGGCCTGCTGGCCACCAGGGGTTTGCTGGGCGGCCAGACATCCAGGACCCTAAGCTCTGACACCCAGTACTCGAGCGACTCGGACTCGGACACAGAGGAGTACCGGCAGGTCAAAGATCGCGTCAACCCGGTGACGGGGCGAGTGGAGGCAGTGCAGCCGGACCCCATGGAGGGCATGACGGAGGATGAGAAAGAGGAGGAGGCCAAGAGGCTGATCATGCTCTTCAACAAGCTTTCCAGGTCAGTGATAACACGAACAATAGCCTCATAAGACCTTTTACGTCAGGTTTTTGAGAAAGTGTGGAAGGCTGTGGTTCCAGCTACGCTCACAGAAACATGTATAAAAATACATTTTATTAATCTAATTAATTAATTAATTTAATTCATTCATTCATTAGTTAATTAATTAATTCAGGGCATATATCTTCAAACTGAAACCAAAAAAAGAAAGCCTAGTCAAACAGCCTCCTTACCTAAACAGTGTACCGTTTAGTCTTCAAGAGCACTCGGCTTTAACCTCGAGTCGACCACCCTGTCGCTGTGAGCAGAGGTATTCTTTCTTAGTTACTCATTGGAAACAAATGGGTTTCTGTTGACTTCAAGCTTTGACAAGAAAGTTCAATAACTTAAGTTTCCCCTCAAAACCTTTTTCTCCACACATGGTTCCCGGTTTTAATAAGGCAGGTCGGAGAAAGAAGCTTCACTATTTGTATTCTTGGATATTATAATGTTAAAGCAACATTTCAAGTAATACGATAGAATTACTTTTTTTTTCCCAGCAGATGTGTCAGATATATTCATCAATAGTGTTTTCTGATTAAAGATGTCTTTTACACCAGTTAGCCTGATAGAAATACATATCTCTGAAGGTGGCCTATTAGTTTTTCCCTTAAACATTTGGAGAGACGACGCATGTGGATTCAGGTGACGTGAAAAAACGAATAAGAAAAACACCCTCCTCACTAAATGTCCAGTAAGCCTATAGGGAAGAACCAGATAGATTCAAAAGTACAATAAGCACATCTTAAATAGCCTACTGCTGAATAAATTGTTCTTTTTGTCCCGCAGAGACAAGATAATTCAGCCAATGGGAGTGAACTCAGAGGGGAGGCTCATCCCAATGTCGGGGCTCAGGGAGAACTCCCTCATTGAAGAGGGGGAGTCCGGGTCAGAGAATGACGGAGGAGGAAAGGAAGGAGAGAAGAACTGAAACATGGCAAATAGTCAACTAATAGTAATTCTTTGTAAATATGCAAGCTTGCCCAAGCATTACAATATTTGTTTAAATGATTGGAAAAACATGACATCAAAGTGACATTGAACTCACTCAGATACAGCGAGCCATCATGAAACTAAATGAACTCAACAAAGGTTATAAAAAGTGATTCTTTATTTAAATTCACACTAGAAACACACGTCAGCAGAGCAATCACACCAGTTAAAATAAGAGAAGGTCCAATACATTTCACGGTGTAAATGTGATTGTCCAATATTTTAATCATGTCTTAAAAATGTACTGTTTGTATTTTGACGTCTCTTCTCTAGCGCTGCTTTAGAGCTTATCTTGTACAGACTATTGTCCCAACGTAAACTAACACCTTAAACGACCTGGAATAAACATCTGCAAGGAAAATGTGAGTTTTGTTTTGTAACTCCCTCACATTGTGCTCGGCTGGGTTTTTTTTCTTCATATTGTTCTGAAGCTTCTCATGAAACGAGGTCTAATCTGTGATTTTGTGTTGAACGCTTAATTTTATGTGTTTTTCTGCGTTGACGGTTTTAGTTATAGTGACAGAAAATAAATCTCCATGCACGCACAGTATTTAAGATTTGATGAGGATCTTTTAGAACCATAAGTTTGCTTTTTGATCTGGTAAATATAAATATAAACACAAAGAGGCCACTTTCACTTTCCCAGCAGCATGATGACTTTAAACAGATATAAAGATGACTGACAGCCTTTGAGTGGCATTTCTCTGCAGTCTGAAGGGAAAACTGCTGTGTTATTTTGTACAAAAAAACAAGATTGCTCATTTTGGAACACACTTTCTGCAAGTGTTCCAGAAAGACTGAGTGAAGAGATACTTTTTACATCTTAGTTGAGTGACAGAGCTCTTCTATTCAGCTGCTTGTCTTTGCAGCAGTAAGCAGCATGGTATCTTAGCATCAATAATATAACTGATGGCAGCATTATCCTCTTAAACCACCTTTGATTGGTCCCCATTCTCATACCCTACTTATTGGAAGATAAATTATGTGTATAATTAGGACATAAAATGTGTAAACAATGACTTATTTCAGTGCAGCAGAGTGTGTAGTACAGCTCCATCATCTCTTCTAGTGAGATCTGCAGGTCCACAGACTTCAGGGAGGAGGCGCCTCCTTCAACAGCCATGTTCTTTAGTAACTCGATTGAGGTCAGGACCACCTAAGAGAAGAAAAGCAGCAAGAAGTTAAATGGAATGACAAAACTATGAAAGCAAATCGGAGGTTAACAGCAACCATACAATTCAAAACAGCAGGAGCGATGAAACATATCAGACTGGATTCTGCAACTTTTCATGTCAGCATCAACCACTGTTCTAAAACCTTGAACACCACAGGGGGATCAGGTGCCACTGCAGGTACTCAGGCGTTCTTCCCTCAGTGAAATGAATCAATGCTGAGCCCCCTGAAATTTGCAGCTGACAAAAGCTCCCTTGATGGGCAATTTCGGGCGTTTGATAATTCATGACATTTGGTCGAGGTACTGTTTGTGCAGCAGAAGAAAGAAAAACTGCCAGAGTGAAATACTGCTTATAGGTCTTTGGGGGCACACCACTGTCTGCGCATTTAAATAATTTAAAGGTTTTCTCACCTCTACTGTGATGAGTTTCTTCCCCCAAGGCCTGTCGCCTGGGTCAGGCCACTTCTCTCCAAGGCAGAAGAAGAGGGAGCAGGGAGGGGAGTCTCTTCCATCAATGAAGTTCAATATTCCTGCAGGGAAAGGATATCAATCACTACACTGAGCAAACAAGCCAACAGCACACATTTTCTATGGTAAGCTCAAACACGCCACATCATTTGTCCTTTCATCCCAACCTTGAATGAAGTCCCTGAACTGAAACAGCGGTTCAGGATGCATTTTAGAAATCTCCTGGATCTGTTTGCTCTTGTCGTACTTGGAGAGGCTCCAATAAGCTTTGATTTCTCCCCGTCGCTGGCTGTAAACCACCTGGCCTGACACCCCCACGTCCAAACCATCCCCCAGCTTGTCCAGGATGCGATGGGTCAGTTTGGCTTGGGTTTGATCCAACATTGCTCCCGGACTTGGCAGAGAGACCACAGAAAGGCCCGAGTCCTGATCCAAAACTGTCCCGCTGAGCTCAGGCCTGATGTGTGGACATTGAATACAAGAGATTTTAACTGGGACAGCAGTAAATAATTTCTCTGCACTAATCAGGAGATGGTTGCTTAGTTTCAGCACAAAGCTAAACTATAAAGACAGAATTAAGAAAGCAAAAGACGTGTTAGTGAGCCTTAAGATAGCTGTTTGTGGTTTTAGCTCTATTATGTGTATTTCATGAAGGCAGTGACTGTCATAATGTAATAAATATATATAAAGCTAATGCCAGAATGTGGCTAGCTTAGCACAAAGCTAAGCTACCAACACAAGTGAAAGTAAAGAGATGAAAAATTGTATTATGAAGCACTAGATAGGCAAAGCAGACGGAAAAGGCTAGGCTACCGCTTTGCCATGTGTCTACAATTGTCAATCTTCAACTCAACTACTTGATTTCAAGCTAACTTGGGAATAATGAACATTTGTCAGACACACTTTCTTGTGTTAGAGCTCTATTTGGATGTTACCTATAAACTAGGCGAAATCCAGCTTCATTCTCAACCATCTGCTCAGACACCTTCACCCCTCTGTAGTAGACTATTATCCTGAAATTAGTCTCTAGGGATGAAGAAAAAGGAAAGGCATATTAAAAAAAAAAAAAAAAACTTATTTAAACAGTATTCCTTAAGAACATGCTATTATTCATACTATGAAGTATTGGTGGCCAGTTAATCACATTAAATATGAATAATTAAATCAATTGTGGAGTTTCTGAGATATATATATTTTGGCAGTTTCATCCATCAACCTACTAATACTGTTTCCATCATTGGTCTGGGTCATAGTCTGCAGGAACTGCTCCACAAGTTCCCCGTCACAGGCCCCGCCCGCAGCTCCCCCCATTGGATATACTGGTTGCTCAGGCAACCCAGTTTCCTTGACTGCACCCTCAAACGTTACTGGGTACTGCTGTTGCCCAGGAAACGCCTGTGCACCAATCACAGCCTGGCTCTGAAACTGCTGTTGCTCAGGAGGAGGCTCGAAGCCTGCGATGCCCTCTGTGGAAAAGTTGGGCAAAGTGTTAGTGGGAAAGTAGCTTCTTGCTTTCTGCTCATTCTGCAGCAAAGAGAATAAATGAAGAGGCGAGGCTGGTGAGCCTACCTGTTTCAGGGCAAATGTTCAGTCCCTTTAGACACTCCTGGAGAACATCCTGGTGCACAGTGGATTCTACTGGCAAATTTTAGATCGGCATTTTACAGAAAGTGATTCTAAATTCCTGGATATGAATTTATGATGTGACAAATGCATTCTTACCAGAAAGCCCAGTTTCTTGTTGATGAAAGAGAAAGCCATCAAGACATGGGACAACCTGGCTCTAAAATATAAAAGAAACATATTTCAAAGAGTTAATAAGGAAGATTAAACTCGTTTATTTGAATGTTTCCGTGAAAGTGGCTTACTTCTTGTATAGGAAAGCCACAATTCTCAAACAAATCCAGGTCATCTTGATCCTGGGATCCAGGAGATGAGTTGGCTGTGAGAGAGAAAACGAAGAGCTCAGTTACAATCTGCTGCTTCCCATCTTTCGATCATTTACTTTCTCCTAAGAAACACATCTTTACTCTGATAGTCCCCTTCACAAATGGTTTTAACAATCAAGTTCTCCATTTGCATTTCTGCTGGACATGTCAACCACAGAGACCTAAAGAATAGAGTAATGTGATCTTCAGGTGAGGAGCTGATCAGATATGTACAATATGTAGCATTCCAATTTTAAAACCAAACCCACATGCATAAAGCACGAAGTAGAGTCAAGGTGCATTTACTGTTTCACTGTATTATTTCTTTAATTTAAATCCCATTAACAGCACAATAACATGACAAACAGATAATGACTCCCACTGCTTGGAACTACTGTATAATGAACACAAGCAAGCTAAATCATTTTGCACAAGACCAAAGCAGTGTGTTTGGATTTAGCAAGTTTGAGCGCAATCTGTTTTGAATTTTTGTTGGGCCCTTTTTTTAATGCCAGGTGCCAGAGCATCGCCGCATATCAAATATGTTTCAATGCCATTTCATTTTTAGCAACGCATGACAGCAGGGAAACATACTTTTATTAACTTGCCTGTCATTTACAACAGGAAAAAAAAAAGGACCAAATGTCGATTGTCTATGGAAGTACTTGTAGATCCTCACCTCCGATGACGCAGACTCTTCCGGCCAGCGAAACACTTTGTGTGGGTGCGCTGCGTCGTTTTTTTTGTCAGACACCAGTTTGAAGCCTTTGGCTCGGAGAGCGCTGCGGAAGTTCCTCTTCCACACTGAGGCGTCTCCCTGTGCCCGGCCGTTCCCACTCACCTCTGCCCAGGCCTGCACAAGAGGACACAGGTCAAAGAAAATCTTCAAAGAAAAGTATGTTGAATGTGCAGAACACATTGCATACAAGAGATACAGGTCGTCAAATAAATGTATTCGGTTTGTCTCCTTCTGTATTGTACTGTGTGTGTGTATTATTTCATTAGTTATGGCATGTGCTCCATAATTACCTTAAAGATAAGAATGTCAGTGTTCGATGAGTCCTGTCTTAACGCATGTTTCCAGGGGATAGAGAACTCTGTGCGCTCCGGGTTCATCCATTGGACACCAGGAAACTGTTCGCTGTTAATCCTGGCCCGCAGCCACGGGATGAGCAGAGGTTTAGGAAGAGACATTTCTGCAGGAGCAAAAAAAAAACAACCTAATGTAACCTAATCTAAATTAATTGTTTGGTGTCTTTTGATTATTAACAGTAAGCTTATTACTATATCAATAACAGACAATTCCTACATCTAGCCTACCTCTTTGTATGCAGGGTACCTAACTTGGAATTAATGTACAAGTTAAAAATAAAAATCACATATACACACAAAACTACAAAATAAAAGAAAAGTTGAAGGATAAGGAGTAGGTCAATAACATGATAGAGACAAAAAATATTCAAATTCTAAACTTCTATGCTACCAACACACAGAAGGTCTGAAATGCAAGTGTAGTGGTTTCCATGTGTCCACGGTGAAACTACAGTTCTGC